CTAATATATTTATACGTTATATCTAGTGTTTCTATAGGACTATAACGCTAGTAACTTATTTTTATCCTTAGTCTATAACTACTACTCTAATATATTTTCTCTTATACCTTAGCTAACGTACCTATATAGTAGGCAGGCTATTATAGTAGGCAGGCTACTTCCCTCTACCTTTCTACCTTTTATATAATTTAATTTAACTAGATTATATAAAATTAATTCAAAATATATATTACCTTATTCTTTATTACTATCCTAAACTACCTTATAGGTTTATACGTTATATGTAGTCTTTTTATAATTACTATATTATTATGTATATAGCTTACTACCCTCTATATAACCCTCCTTTTAGGACATTTTTCTACCTCTAGCTTTAATACCCTCTTTTTCTCCTTCTAGTACCTCTGCTTTAGTTATATTAAGTAACCCTTTAAGACGTAGTTAGGTCTTTTTAGCCCTCTAGCGCTTACTTAGTATATTTATCCCTATATAAAGTCTAAGGTTCTTAGCCTTAATAAGAGTAAGCCTATATACTAACTTACTAATACCTTTAGCTTAGAGTTTAATTACCTTATATATTAGTGTTAGTAAGCTTTCTTAATATCCTTAGATCTTTTTCTTTAGTAAACTAGCACTTTATATACCCTTAAGTATAGTTATTAGTGTCTTTAGGTCCTATAAGCCTAAGCTAGTTAGACGTAAGCTAGGAGGTGTTAGTGTATTTAGCTTAAAATCTAGGGAAGAAATAACTACTTTAGGGTTAAATAGTATAAGGCTAGCCTGTCTAAAGCTAGCTTATATATTTACTTCTCTTATTAAAGTAAAGGATACTGCTTTAAAGGTAGGAAAGAAGTTATCTTTTATAATATATAAAATCTATACTTATATTATCTTCTTAATTTCCTTACTATATAAGAGCTTTAATAGGCTAAAATAACCTATATTAAGAGGCTAAAGCTTTTATAATAAATAGGGAGGTATATATAAAGTAATAACCTTTTATTCCTTATAGAAATTATTAAATTTAGTTATTTATAGCTATTATAGCTATTAAGGATTAAAAGTTAATAAGTACCTTTTATATAAGACTTTATATACTAGTTAAAATAATTTAACTAATTTAAGCTAATCTTATTTATTATCTATTTATTTTTACTTAAGTAGATATGCTATTTAGCTAGGAATTAGCTGTTTTAGTACTAAGAGAGGAGGTAATATTTACCCTTTATAATAATATATAGAGCTATTACCTAGCTATCTATATATACACCCTAAATAATAAAAACTTATTCTTAATTACTAAGCTGCTTTATATAAGGCCTTCTTTTATAATTAGAGGTTATAATAACCTTTATATATAATAGTATTTTTATTAAGAACCTAGTCTTATTAAAATTATAAATATTATAATCCTATATTTTATACTTTATAATTATATTTTATATAAATATAAACTAGCCTTATATAATTATAAGATCTTTAGCTAAGGCCCTCTAATAGTTAATTTAACGTTAAAATTATATTTTTAATTAGGGCTGTTATTATATAAAATTCTCTACTTATTAAGGTCTAACATACGTTACGTTACGTTTATTTAGGAGTTAGTTAGCTATATCTTATACGTCTTCCTATTATAAAGGAAACCCTTAATTAATTAGGTTAATAACCTTTTTAAGAATTACCTCTTCCTCTATTTCTATTATCTTCTTTAATTCTAGATATATCTTAGCTTATAGTATTTATCTAACGCGTTAGTATTAAAGTGTTGTTCTTAGGACCTTAAATATAGAAGCTGCCTTTTATATAGACATTTTTAGGTCTTTTTTAATAGCTTAGAGGGCAAGGAAAATATAGCTTTTAATTAAAGAGGATTATATGTTTATACGTTAAGGAATGTTAGTATAAAGGTTAAAGAGTTAGAAAGGAAGAAAAGTAGCCTGCTTACTATAATAGCCTGCCTACTATATAGGTACGTTATAGCTACTCTTTATAACTAAATGTCTTATATATTAGCTATAGTAAGACTTCTTTTTTATCTAAGGTAAATTTTCTTAGTTTTTTTATATTAGTTAAGTAGGTTATTCTCCTCTTAAAGGCTTTTAACCTTAACTTTTAATAAAGTATTTTTATATATATATCTTAGTACTTCTTTAAGAATATACTTAGTAGCTATTAAACTATATATTAAGAAGCTATTTAGATAATTAATAAAGTAATTCTTAATTAAAGTTTCTTAAGAATTTATTTTTAATATAGTATATTATATTTAAGAAGTCTAAGCTAAAGGTATTATTAAGAGGGAACCTAGAGGTATTAAAGTGTATAACCTAACGTCTAGCTTTAATAAGATACTTTTTATACTTAAAAGAATAATTCTTAACCCTTTAAAACCTTTTTAAATATTTTCTTTTATAAAAGCTTACTTAAAGGCGTTATAAAATACTAAAAAGAAGTTATTTTTAGTAATATAAGTATTACTTTATTATATCTTATTCTTAATTTCTTAACTATATACTAACTTTAAAGGCCTAAAGTATTTTATATCTAAAAGCTAAAGTAAATAAGAAAAATAAAGTAGTATATAAAAAGTAATAATATTATTTTCTTAAGAAAATACCTTAAAATCTATAAAGTAGTAACTTTTATACTTATTAAAAATAAAAAGGTAATATTTTTTTATATATAACTTTAAATATTAATTAAAGTACTAAAGCTAATTTAGGCTTTTTTTATTTATTATTTACTTATTTTCTAATATTATAATAACTTAGTTAGGTAAAAGACTAGATTTTATATACTAAGTAAAAAAAGATTTTTACTTCTAATAATAATATATAATAAGATACTATAACTAAATAAATTAATAGCCTAAATAACTATAACCTATTCTTAATTACTAGGCTATACTATTTTTATATTTAAACGTCTTTTATAGCTTATAATAACTATTCTAAATATAATTTAGCTTATTATAAAGCTAATCTTATTAAAGTTATAAATATCTAACTTTATAATACTATATTTTATAATTATATTTACTATAAAAAAGAACTATATATTTATTATATTAAGACCTTTATATTAGGCTTTTTTATAGTTATATTTCTAAAATAAATATATTTAAAGCTTTAGTATTTATTTAATAAAGTTTAAGACCTAGTGCTTACTAACTAGTAATATATTATAGTTAGTAAGTAGTTAATTAGCTATTTCTTTAATACTACTAAGCTAAGAAGGAAATAATTAGGAATCTAGGTTAAAAATAAACTTAACTAGCTTTCTTTTTTTAAGTTCTATTAAATTCTATAAGTTAGCTATAGTGTTATATTATAAAGGTTTTTTATTAAAATAGTTATATAATATAGAGAAAAGTACTAAATAGATATATAATATAGCCTAAATACTAGTTTTGTAGGGTCCTTAAATAGCTTTAATAGCTAAAAGTAATTAGACTTTATTATTTAGTAAATATATTATTTTTAGTAGTTAGACATATAGTAAAAGAAAGAAGAGACTATAATTATAGTAGGCTAATTACTTTACTAATCTAATTACCTTACTTATTATATACGTTATAGTTAGTAAATATTTAAAATATTATTAGTATATACTTTAAATATAGTAAGAATATATTAAGAATTAATTATAAAAATACTTTAGTAGTACTATAGTGCTAATTATAGATTTATAGTGTTTTTAAAAAAAAAAATTTAAAGTAAGAAATTTTCTTAGTAAGAGTTTAGTATATTCTAAGTATAAGCTAGCGCTAGGCCTAAAGTAGAGTTAGTAAATAAAGTTATATAATATAGGTTATAAATTTTTTACTATACGCCTATAAGTAAAAAGCCTTAATATTTATATATATTACTTTTATATAATTAGTTAGCCTTACCTCTTATACCCCCCCCTAAACTTCTACCTCCCTACTAGATACCCCCCCCTAAAGCTAGAATACCCCCCCCTGAACTGGATCCCCCTCGTAAAGCTATTAGATAAAGAGGCTAGTGCTCTAGGCACCTCCGTCAAGGATTGGTCTGCGGGAAGTGGGACGGACCGCGCGTCCCGGCAACAATGCCGTGTATCCACAAAACCACATCGAGCCCGCCGCACTCGTGCATTACAGGCAGCCTTCAGCCATCGCAAGACCCTCACCCAAACGCAGTCAGCAATACACCAGACACAGTCAGCAGTTATTTAGCCTGAAACGGACAAACGGATAAGCGTCGTTCGGCCACTTTGCAAGAGGACACCGAGAGAGCACATTGTAACCACGCGACCCCACATGTGAAGGATTCTGATCCCCGGACGAGCAGAAGGCTTGCCATCCTACGATCCACAGCAGAGGTAGGGCTAGATTCCCACTGCGATATGGAATTAAATGGATTTGTCAAGGCGTCATTTGCGCTTCCGGATGCTCAAACGGTCTTAATGGTGAGATCCATCTACCCACTGCCCCAAAGTCATTCACAAGGCCTTTTCCACAGCTCCGCGCAACGACTCTCCCCTCAGCCTAGTGCAAGCACTCCACTGCTAATTCCAGCACCATGCTTCGCGAGCTCTTGTATGGGATTTCAGGCTTGATTCTGTTGGCTTACGCTGCAGACCTTTACTACAATGCAGGGGACGATCCTAAGGAACCAACTCGGATACGTTCGAGGGTGCCCCTGATCGGGCATGTACTTGGACTCATGAGCCAAGGACCTACATACTACAGAAAAACGAGGTATGTTTGATATCCTCTTACGAGGTCTGAGGTTTCAAGGGCAATTCATAACCGGACCTCACGGCAGCAACTCCACCAAGGCCGAGATCTATACGCTGGGATGTTTCAACTTCAAGGTTTACATCAGCGCTTCCAGCCGCCTTCTCCCCTCCATTCAGAAGCAATCCAGGGTCCTTTCCTTCAGACCTTTTCTCCAACTCGTGGCACGAAAGTACGGTGATGCATCGGACGCTGCCTACGAGATCTTTGGCGGAAGTTTGCCCGATGATTTGAGCCAGTCTGTGAAGATGAGCTTGGCTCCTGGCCGGCATCTCGACGAACTGAGTCTGAGAATGAGCAAGAGGGTTCTTATTGACATAGATTCGTTGCTTGGCTCCAGTTCCAAGGTATCCTTGTTATCTTGGGCTAGACATGCTGTTGTTCAGGCGACAAGTTGTGCTGTCTACGGAGAAGAACATCCATTTCTTGATCCAGAAATCGAGAGTTCTTACTGGTGAGTAATCTCCGTCTCGTCCAAGTTGATTCGCTCTGCTAACCAGCTGGCAAAGGAAATGGATGACATACCTCACCGCGCATCTGGTTGGTTGGTTGGATGTGACGAAGAAGGGTTACGCCGCGAGAGCAAAGGTCTTCCAATCGTACATCAAGTATTGCAAAAACCTTCCCGAAGAGAGCTCTCATTTGATGAAAGAGCATCAGCGTGTTCTAGGAGAGGCTGGCATATCCAGCACGGACAAAGCCAAACAAGCTGCGATTTTCACCATTGCCTCCTTCAGCAACTCGGCACCGACGTTGTACTGGACCTTGTGGGAACTATTCTCCCGTCCTGAGATACTCGCCGAGGTCAGAAATGAGCTCATGCAACACGCAGTTGCCAAGTTAGACAGCGCGAACTTCGTTCTCGACGTCGCGGCTCTCAAGTCCCAATGTCCGCTTCTTCTCTCCGTGTTCCAGGAGACACAGAGAACTCGCCACGTCAACCCTAGCTTCCGCAAAGTTTTGGCAGACACGATTCTGGACGACAAGTACCTTTTGAAGGAGGGAAACTACCTTCAGGTACCAGGGAACGTTATTCATAGCGAACCAGGTATCTGGGGCCCGACAGCTTTGCAGTTCGACCCGTATCGGTTCATGCCCAAGAAGGGCGGTGAAAGAGACGCATCAACTGCCAGTGGCTTTGTCCCGTGGGGAGCTGCACCTTATCTCTGTCCTGCGAGACAGTTCGCCTCAATCGAAATCCTCATCATAGCTGCGCTACTTGCCATGAGGGCTGATCTAAAACCTGTAGGCGGAGCATGGGAGAAGAATCCGGCTTTGAACCACGCGGACCTTGCTACCCTCTCGCCTCCCATAAAGGATGTTGACATGCTTGTAAGCGTTCGGGGAGAGTGGGCTGGCAAGTGGACTGTGAGAATGGGTGAGAGTCGAAGCCGTGTTCCTCTTGCCTCCGGGTAAGCAGAACAGTGTCAGGGACTCACTAAGGCTTCGGAGGCAATTACATAGGATGTATTCTTATCATCAGCACCATAGAATTACCTTGAATGGCAGACAGTTCAAGTCATACTCACAAGTGTCTATACCTATCTGGACTGTTGCTTTCATCGTTGGAAATGAGATATGTTTCGGCAAACCCTTCTAAATCAGTTAAAGACAATTTTTCAATAAGCCTAGGTTTGGGTACCGTTATAAAACCCGTCTGATGAATATTACAGCCATCATATCAAAGTAGCTTTGACTTTAATTTTCCTCTGGCGCTCTACAGCGTTTGGATAATGTCCAAATGTACAACACACTATTGGGTCATCAGTCTGGTCACACCGTGAGAACTTACCACCACACTTTAGCCGGCCCAGCCCGTTCTCCCCTCCTACACATGAAAGTCTCGTCACAATATTGAAGGCCTCCTTATATTCTTTCATGTGATTTTATAAAAACTTCAATCGGCCTTAGTTGGCACTGTAAATTCGTAACTGAAGTATCGTAGTAGCTGGGCCGCCCTGCATTGTGGTGGGGTGACAAGGCTAATGACCTAGTACTGAACTAGACATCGCAACCAAGTATCCTGAAAATACAATATGTGGCCTGCGGCTACCCAAACGCTCTAACTACTTTTGGACTTCTTGACAAACTCACACATGCATGGATGTGCCATCTTCAAGTTCAGCTCGATACGAATTTGCTGTTCGGGTTGTCCTGCAGGAATCCGAATCTCCTCGTACTCCTGACAGATTCTCGCCAGAACATACTCCATCTGCTGCTGCCCAAACTTCTGACCTAAGCAGTGTCGGGGGCCACTTCACGTTGTCCAAATCAGCTTACGTTTCCCACCGTTACCATACTGAGATGTTCAAAGACTTACTGGTTGTACGGAATGAAGTGCCAGCGATTGATGTTGGCGCCCTCCCAACGCTCGGGTCGGAACTCGAGCGCATCCTCGCCGTAGATGTCTTTACGACGCTGAAGACCACCTAGAGAGTAAACTTATGGTTTTGTAAGCAACGAGCATGTCCAAAGTACTGCCTCAGCCGTATCACTTACTGATGGTTGTGTCCTTAGGAACTGCAACGGGCTCTCTGCCACTCTTTCCTCCTCCGATCGGCAGTGTGGCATCTTTCAACGCCATTCTGACATTCATGCCGACTATATATCATTAATTAGGATTGGTCCTGAACAGATCTTTATCATCTACTACTTACGAGGGTGATACAGTCGGAAGGTCTCATTGATCACGTAGCGGATGTACATCATCTCTTTGAGATCAGATGCCGAAGGCGGCTTGTCGCCAGATCTGACAGGGTATGAGTATGGTTTGATGCAGTCGGTATGGAGCGGTTACTCACACTCGTGCAACCTCAGCTTGCATCTTCTTCATGACGTTGGGGTACTTTCCCATCAAGAAGATAGCCCACGCAATGAGAATGGCCGAGGGGTCCTGGATCAGTCAGTTCGAATGCTGGGTTTATGCAACGTATCTCAAGACCCAAGTACCTTTCCACCAAGCATGATAGTCATCATGGAGTCTTTGATGTCCTAAAAATGTAATGAGCATGCATTTCATCGGCCGCGAAAAAGCTTCTTGCTCACCTTGACACTCTTCTTTTGGCTCACGAGGTCGTCCAGCATGTTATAATCCTCGGGCGACTTCTTTGACAAATCTCTCGCGTATGCTCGGTCCACAATGCCAGAGGTATAGTCGTTCAGTTCTTTGAGTGCCTTGGGAGCCAGATACTTGTCCTTTACATAATAGGCATTCTTTCCGAACAGCATACGCGCTGTATTGATAGGGTGCAACGTCTCCATAGGTTCTCTGAATGGGTGATGTCCTGTGAGGGAGTCGGCCGACTCGCCGAAAAACACCTCTGAGACGACATCAAGCTGGTACCGGTCGGCGACATCGTATACCTCGACAGGTTTTCCGACGTCGAAGCATGCGAACAATTTCTGGGCATGCTTTTCGGTGATCTCAAGATCGTCCGAACGCATCTTCATAACCTGTAGAGATTCCATCGTCAGCCACGAAACTGCATGGAATTGCTGTGGTGCTTGTGCACTGGTATTTCACATACATGACCCTTGATGCGCTCTTTGCTGTTATGCCAGTCCTCTCCGTCCACTATATCACACATCAGTAAATTTCACAGTCTGGATGAAGCTGTAGGTCACTAACCAACAAAGATTTGTGTTTCTCCGAGCATGTCTCCCCAGATACGCTTGGTCACTTCGCCTCTTCCGAAGCTGGACCACTGTTCCATTGAATCAGATTTCGTCTATCTGGAACCACACATTGGAGGTTCGGTTTTGACATGGTGTTAAACGTACCTCTGTAGACATGATTGCCTTGATGTTGGCAGGCTCATCGGTGAAGATTAAGCCTGTGCCAAACATTCGCATCTCGACGGTGCGGCCAGGCACAGCCTCAAGCCAACTATTGACGAGCTCGAAGAACGTGAACTTGAAGAACCGGTATAAGGAATACACGGCCAAGTCAATCCCTTTGACATCATTTGTGAGCAATAAAGATATTTTCTCTAGAAGTGAAAACTAACCAAACGGGGCCTTGAACGGGACAAGAGGAGGCGGGGAGCCAAAATCGCGAAGCCTCTTGTCGCGACGCGATTTGGCTCCCCAGTCGAACACGTAGATGCTAGCGACCAGCAGAGAGGAGTACGCAGCCCAACTCCAGCCTTTTGACATCTCCTGTGTCAACTTGGACGATGCGATTGTGTTGATGTTGGACTTGACGGCGTCCGGTATGTACGGAGAGATGATGCTGACAACGTTGCTAGCGAAATCGGTCAAATTGCCACCCAAGGCTGTAGGCAAGCCTGCCGAGGGAATAGAGGAGGCCATAATTGCCTAAGTTTCTGGATCTTCTTTACCGCTCCAGTAACAGATTATTGGGGAATGCCGACTTGAGCAACACGCTTCCGGGTTCTGCACGTTTGGCGAGATATATCAGGTAGCTCACAGGAGGTAGTTCGGCCAGTCGTGGCTCCGTCGATTGTGGGCCAACACACAGCGAGTAAGCAGTGTCACAAATGGTATTACTTGGAACCCGAGATTCGATCAAGTATCGAAGGGTCTAGAACAGGGTAGTGCGAGAATCCTTCATGACACTTCATTCAGGGCACTCGTCCGATGTTTACGGAAACGTGTGACCACATCCCGTTGCAGGTTTGCAGGGATGTATCTACCCGCGTATCGGATGCAGAAGCGGTGGGGGTTGGGATGGATCTGGTCGTTGTGCAAGTCGGCAGGTCTTCGGGAACTTGTAAGCGCTATGGCGAGTAAGGATTGGTATTTCCCGTGGGAGCCGCCCGGGACCGCCAGACCCACTTCGAGTCGGAGCTCGGAGTCGGAAGATTATTCGGAGGCTAAGTATCCGAGCGGAGGATGACATGCAGGCTCCTTCCGTTCATTATCTGATACTTCGACCTTGGAGACATGCCGAGGCGCCTCAGGGACCCTGCATGGAAGGCTGAACGTAAGGCTCCGCCGTGCACGCGTAGGATCATCGCAATAAAAAGGGGAAGGCCTGGGGACAGTGGTTTCAGTCGCCAGCAGTAATTCCAGAACGACGTAGTTGCGAAAATGGCCAAAGGGACGACAATCACAGCTCTTGTTCAATCACCAAATGGTGGGGGGCCACCGGTAGTCTCGCGAGACCAGCCTATGCCGCAAATCAGAGAGCCACACGAAGTCCTGATCCGTGTATCGGCCGTCGCGCTCAACCCAACCGACTACAAGATGCCGGACTACCACCCAGTGCCTAACGCTGTCATGGGTTGTGATTTCATGGGCACTATTGTCGCTGCTGGCCCTGAGGTCGACAGCACGTGTCTCGGGATGCGTGTGTGCGGTCCTATGCATGGCTCGAACCCCGGGAACCCGGACTCGGGAGCGTTTGCCGAATATCTCATCCAAGACAGGCGTCTTCTTGTGCAAGTTCCGGATTCATGGAGTGATCTCGAGGGGGCAGCGCTTGGAGGGGTGGGATGGGCGACCGTGGCACTGGCCATGGAGGACTCGCTCCTTCTGACGGGCACTCCCTCGAAACCTGCCCCCCTGCGGTCCGACGGAACTCGAGTGCCAGTCCTCGTGTATGGCGGTGCTACGGCCACCGGCACCATGGCTTGCCAGTTGCTATCGAGGTACGTGCGATGCCATGCCAATCATGTTCAGGCCAAACAAACTCACATCCCTTCACAGTGCCGGCTACGATCCCATCGCTACATGCTCTCCGGCTTCCGCGGCTCTTGTGAAGAAGTACGGTGCTGCTTCTACGACTCCATACTCCTTCCCAACCTGCGGGGAGACAATCCGCGACGCGACAAAAGGCGCTATTCGAGCGGCAATTGACTGCATCACAACACCTGAGTCGGTAAAATGCTGCTTCACAGCTCTTGGCCGTGCGGGTGCGCGATATGCTTCCCTCGAACACGCCCCCGATGAGTGGAGGACGAGAAAAGCAGTCAGGATGGACATGCCTATGACATATGTAGTCATGGGCCGAGAAGTGAAGCTCGATGGCGTATACCACCGCGACGCGGACCAGTCCAAGTTTGACCTGGGAGCACGGTGGGCGCTCGAGGTTCAGGCCTTGGTGGACGAGGGACGTCTGAGATGCCATCCGGCCCGTGAAGTGCCGGGCGGATGGCAAGGCGTTATCCAAGGCCTCGAAATGTTGAAAGCAGGCCAAGTCCGAGGGCAAAAGCTTGTAGTAAGAGTAGGGGGTGCTTGACATTCTTACGGCGGTTTGCGTGTCAGTATGACCCGTAGTATGACGCGACAATCTATGTAACTTTACGTTTGCCTCAAGAAACACGTAGCAGGCTGTCTTGATTAAATTGCGGCCTCGAATTCGCTCAATGCACATGACTTGTCCTGAACAGTGTTGGTTATTGCCAATGGTCCTCCGCTAATGACCCAAGATTAGGCACCTAGCACACATAATGGGTGCCCTGGAGCCATGTATTAACACCAATCCATGAAGAATTCCTGGCCATCATAAATGTTGTTAAAGAAACACGGACATATATTCTCTCGTCAGTTTCTGGCAATGCCTATGGATGCCTATGGATACACTTCCATTCTAGATATGGTATCCCATCGAGTGCCAGATGGCTCCATTTTTGCCAAGGGAGGGGTAACGCCAATCAGGGCTTCCAGTTGCAATATTTCTGTCGAATTATACAATGGGATTCACAGTACATCGATTTACTATAGATTCTGGGTATGCCAGAGGTACCAGCAATCTCTATCAATACATAACGCTACATCACAATCTAAGCAGCCTTTTCGAGTTCTCTTTCGTCGTTGTGGTCGTATGAGGCTATTCCCCGATATCTCCCGCAATGGCTGTAATGCCTTTATACTACCACAGTATGAACAGGGTGAATTAGCCCCCCTCGATCCCTTTCTATGGGTTTGCCACGGAATCGAGGTATTCCTCTTATCTGTAGGCCGCCCGGGGCGTGATCGCTGACGAGCTTCTGCTAATGGCCTAAACTGTTGAATTAGCTGGGCTGCAATCAACTGACGCCATTAATACTGGCTCTTAACTGTTCGCCAGCTGGCTTTACCCCAGAGCTGTAAAAGGAAACTATTCACAAGCACTATTTCAAGCAGGAAGTTCCAAGCAATTAACTGCCAGCCCCCTCGACAAATAGGGCGACCCCATTGGTAATAAGACCTCATTTGATCGCCTGTATCAACGCCGTTCATGTTATGATTATAGGCGTTAATTGCCTCAGGCACTGGGAGGTCCTTGCGGACTTCAGGCCTAAAGACCTGCCGGGCAGCCCGCTTTGCAGCGGAATCCCCAGTTGGCCGGCGCCGACTTCGTATGACTTCCTGGCCGTCTCGGAAGACGGTTGTCAGGAAGAGGACAAGGACATTATCTTTCCAGGTGAACTGGTCACCTAAACAAACTGATTAATATGGCAGCACCTATAGAAACTAAATTATAGTGCCATACCTGCCCATCAACAGTAGGGATACTATGGACCTGACCCTAAAGGGATATCCCGGCCTTCAACCTCTTTTTCAGCGACTAGAATTTCACTTATCCCGCTATCCTTCCGGCATGTGCCCGAAGCCCCGATCTGTTGCTTCCGAAGGGCCCGGAAAAGCCGTACAGAGGCAAAGAGATTATCGAGGAATATATGATATATTGCGGCCGGAAGTAGGGCAACTAGCCTTGTTACAACCCGTTGAGTCGGCGTTAGACCCAGCCCAGCCTCCGAGCCTGGCAGCGGCCGGACCTGTGGGGCTAGCCCATACGGACCCTTCCCGTGAGCATGCCATAGCCACCGGAGACAATAGCCCGATTGGGCGAGAATCCAAATCTTGAAGCCGGTTGGGGTTGGCTTGGTCGGTATAGTTGTTGTCTCAAGAGACCAGCCCGTAAACCGGACCATAGCCTCATCAACAGCAAGTTCAGAGCCAGGTATATAGAAGGAATCCCCGGTTTCTTGAATATGAACCGACCACTGGTTCACCTTCCGATAGATATCCGGCATCGGATCCTCCCGGGGCTAGGCCCGGGCCCGACGGCTAGACGGAGCCGTCGGCTGGCCCGGCTGGAACTTTGAGGCATCAAAAATCCGGAGCCGTTGGAGCAATAGTTGGAAGCGGTTCCGTGATATGAACCGGGTAAATGGATGGATTGGATCCTCTTTACGCTGTTAAGTTGACCAGTATCTTGATAGTTGAGATTCATTATGGATTCCCATATAAATCAAAATTCCTATAACGAGGTATATCTCTTCAGCAGAAGTCTCCCGCCAGTTATTCGTTCGGGACTGTCTCGTCCGGGGGCCCTGCTTAGACAACGGCGCCTCGTTTGTCCACTGGGCCCACTGGTCAACGAGGTTCCGGGGGATATACCGGAGGAATAGATCAAACGGGCCTGCTGGTAGGTGCCGTATCTCTCGGGCCCGGGCTGGCACATCAAAGAGGATAAAAGAGCCCGGAGGCCCGCGCTCGAGGACCGGGGGCTCGTGAGGCCGGACGGTACTATTATCACACCGCTCCGGCGTACAGTCGGCTGTACAAGCGGCGGCTAGCTCCTCCGGGAGGATCTCAACAATAATAGTGCTTTTCACAGAGGCCACAGAGGCACCGGAGGCATCCGAAGCATCAGAGTCACTAGAACACATCGTAACATTAATCAAAATGCGGGTTCTGGTGGTGATGACAGCAAAGGGAACATAGGGATAAATGCGTACTGCTATTGTACCCATTGTGGTGCGGGGTAAAAGTGGCTCTTAAAGTGGGTATTTGAGGCCTTGGCGAAAATGGAGCCATCTGGCACTCGATGGGATAGCTGTGCTAATGTCAATTCGGAAGAGGCCTCTTCCCCATAGTCTAGTCTCCATCTATTTATGAGTCTTGCCCAAATAGGGCGCACGATTACCATGTGAGATTGCGGGCGGGCAAACCTGTCAGCTTCGGGCTCCTTAAACCCCATTCGGAGGCTTTTTGGTTAGGCAATGTACATTCGGTGCCTTTTCAGCGACTTTAAGGGGCCTTTCAGTCCACTAGCAATTGGTTTCTGGCGTTGGTAAAAGTACGCAGGGTGACCTGTAACATTTAATCAATTGTCTTCATGTGCTTCTCCCTTGAAGTTTCTTTGTTCAACAACACTGCATCTCTTTAAGAACTCTTGGTATCGACTTTATCTCCGCTCTCGACATTCACGCTTCTACAGAATAGCCAGCAAAGAACACACTCGTGAAGATGGCTACAGCAGCGTTTGGAGCCAACGAACCGGCCTCCTCAAACGGCGTCCCCGAAGCGCTTGAAGAATCCACGACAACGCTTGGCGCAGAAGAATCAGGCGCAAACTACCCATGGAGCAACCAAAATGGTACCTGGCGCCGTAAGCTAGGCTCTATGGAGTCATTCTACCAAAGTTTGGCTTCTCCCGAAGGCCAGCCGGTACACTGGATGATTGGATGCAGCGTGACAATTAAAACGCATGTCGACACCGTTGACACGGAGACTTCTCTCCGAGAAGCTTGGAAAAGTATACTACGCGAGTTGCCTTGCGTTGGCGCCGTCGTGGACCCTGTCTCACGGGAGATTGTGACCCGCGAAGATGTCGATGTAGGGGAATGGCTGCGGAAGTCCTTCCGAGTTCACGAGGGAACAACCGCAGATGAACTCTTCTCAGCCTTCAGGAGCCAGTTCCACATCACGCTCCATTATCTACGTGATACAAATCAGCTTCTGCTCCAGTCACCCCATACCCTTATCGATGGGCGCGGGATGTTGTATCTGTATCACGCCTTGTTCACGGCACTGTCAACTCTGCCGGGCGACGGCTCTCAGGAGCACAAGACGACTGAAACACCAAAACTTTCAAAGCCATTTGATGATTGGTTAGGAGTCCCGGCCGTTCCATCTGAGAAGAGCTTTGCCGATGCCCAGTGTATATTCCAGCGGGTCTTGCAGCAAGAAAAGCCGATCCGGTTGCCCGGGGTCGACTTTACAAACGCTCCTCAAAGACCAGTTCACAGAGATCTTGAGGTGGACGAGAAGACCACTTCTTCTATCATTGGCGCATGCAAAGAACGAGGTATCAGTGTCACTTCGGCCTGGCACGCTGCGCTTGCTTTGACGACGCAGGTTAGTCCCTTCCAGTCCCTTCTTCATATGCCGATTGATACTAAAACCCGGGGCTCGCAGAGAATACAGTCGACAGCTGGCGAGGAGGGCGCCTCCTACGTCCAGTTCACCACCATCGACCTCCGTCGTTATTTTCCCTCCTCTTTCGTCCCACATAAGCACTCTATCGGGTCTCTCCAGACGGCCCTGCCTCTCGCAGCTGACGTCGGCAAGGACAATACTTTCGAGTCTCTAAGCCAGTCCTTGCACAAGCAGTACAAGGCCCCTTTCGCTTTCGTCGATAATGATTTCAGCTACCTTGGCCCTTACATGGCCATGTCTCGGCAGATTCTCGAAAGCGGCGGCGTGCCGCCCAGTAGTACGCCGTCACTGTCTAGCATGGGAGTCGTAGACGACTATCTCGAACGCCGATACGGCGATTGGGAGATCAGCAACTTTTGGGTCAGCTCTACGATGATGACTGGTGATTTTCAGATGTATCTGTGGACATTCGGAGGAAAGCTCACCTTCAGTGTATGCTACAATGAGGCGTTCTACGAGGCGGAGCAGGTAGACCGCATCATGGAGGGTACCAGGGACGAAATGCTTCGAGGCTTGACTCACGCATAAGCATTTTCAGTGTTGGCATTAATCTCTTGCAGTTTGACAGGAGTTATACAATTGAGCTTCGTTATGATTTGTGCCCCCTTCTTACTTCTCCTATCTTACGGAAAGATCGCACTCTTCAAGTGACAATGGTGATATACTATTCGTCGTTGACTTTGATTAGTTATCTGCGACCAGATAAATCATCCACCTTGCTCTTTTAGTACTTGCTCGTCTATACGATCATTGCAGATGTATCAAGGAAATGATTGTATGTAATATAACTGTCACGAGTAGACACTTTTACAGGGTGCGAATGAAGATTGACGGGTCTGATTGGTAGCCATCTGTGCTTTCTGATAGCTAAATTCTATATTACGGTCGTTTATCAGACGGTGGTGGATGCCTGTGGAATCGAGACTGCTGGCGAAGCGCCCATTGTTTTACACATGATGATCTCGTTCCACCCAACATCATCTGATCGCCGGCGCCAGATCCGAGAGTAGCAGCTGTCATTGATTTGGGCCAGGCGGGGTGGCTTCCTGCGTACTGGGAATATTACAAGGCGACACGGGTAGGGCTAAAACCGAAATACTCAATGGTACTACTCTAGAAGAATGGCCACAGATTCTCTCCCAAGCTTTTGGGCCCCATGGACGACGACACGCAATACCATCTTTGACTTTATTTTGCCTTGTTCAAGAGAATCTGATCACGTTTTCGGTGTACGGAAAAGGCAGAGGGCACCCTCTTATTGGCGTTAAAATAAAGGTTATTAAAATATAGTACCCGGTAATCATGATCAGACACAACGCCTGCAACTTTGTCTGGCGAGTTGAGGGGGGGCGACGGCTCGTCGAATGAGCTTCCCTTATCGAAAAATTTCACATATAGGGCAAACTTGTTGAATCTTGAAACTCGATGATCTACCCAGACCAGCACGAACGAGAGATCCAGGGGTGCGTTGCGTGGCAGCTTGACCAACCTACTAGCTCAACAGAGCTATAAGTTCTAGCTTTCTTGGCCATCTGGCTTTTCCTGAGGCCAGGTTCTGATGAGGTGGTGTAATCAAAAAACAACTTGCGTAAATGAGACGGAGGACACAAGATAGCTCAAAAACAGCCCAAACTGCTAATTCAGGACCCCTCTGACTATCAATATGTCTGCCGGAAACTCTTGCATCATATTGTGGCTTTAGATGCGCCATCCCTGATGGCCCTTAGCTCATCTATGTCAGGAGCGGTTTGGGATCGCCGGCTGCAAGGGTGACTGGGCTCAATGGAGTGTCAGGCGCAGCTGAACAGGTGCTTTCCGGCGTAATATGAAGACCAAAATGCGCTTCAACTGGAATGGCGTCTATTTCGGTCCGACGATCATGATTCATATCTACAGAAATAGGCTAGTAGTCAGGACGACGCAAGTGTAATTCAAGCGTTTTTTTTCGTTAACAATGCGGAAATTCCTCTGAATTACATCAACTAGATTGTTCTCTCGCGGCTTCCAAACTTGAGCTCCGTCATGCCACTATAAGAAAATGGGATTATAAAGCATTCTCCCCAGAACCCCGTCGTGTTTAGGTCGGTATAGGCTTCTGCTGAACTTTATCTTGAGCGCAACTGCTCCCGAATCGCATTCACACCATAGGTCACAGATGCTTGAATATGCGTCTGAATAGACGAAATAGTTTCTCAATTTCAAGACATGACTGCGCGCTTTAATTTAGACGGCACTCTGTGAGAGATGCGGCGGCGGCGGAGCCCACTCCGGCGCCAAACCCAAAGCGCAAACGCATCTACTGGTAACCCGATGGACCCTGGTCAGAGGAAGTCATCTTGGCGACCCACTTCGAGAACCGTCGCTGGCAAGAATGCGAAACCCATCCAATGGGAATACTTGAGCCAGTTCCGATGGCGGTGGCGCTTCCGGGGCGCTACTAACAAGTGGAGCCTGGACAACAGCCGGAAATGGTCCGTCAGCTAGCTCTTGAGGGCATCGCTTTCGTCAAGAAGCATGACCTAGTCACAGTCCCCGAGGTAGCCGAGACCTGGCGCATGTTCATGATCTCGGCAGAGCGGCAAAAGGAGTCACCGTTCTTTCTCGGTGACCCGTCCTTCTGGGTTTCGTATCCGACCCCCACCATGGACCACGAACTGAAGATGATGGTGATGCGCGGCAACAATCCCCACTTCTCTCGTGCCACGGCCTTCCACGAGCTCATTCCCGGGCATCGGCTCCAGCTCTTCATGGGCAAGCGCCACCACCCTTACCAAGAGCTCTTCTCCACGCCATTCTTCGTCGAAGGCTGGGCCATGTACTGGGAGTACGTCTTTTGGAACAGGGGCGATTTCTTTGTGAGTGCGGAGGACAAGGTCGGCACTCTGTTCTGGCGCATGCACCGCTGCGCGAGGATCATCTTCTCCCTCAAGTACCACTTGGGAGAAATGACGCCCCAGCAGTGTGTCGACATGCTGGTCGACTGGGTCGGCCACGAGAGGTCCAACGCCGAAGGTGAGGTCACTCGATCCTTCGGTGGCGACTATTCCCCGTTGTATCAGGCCGGGTATATGCTGGGTGCATTGCAGCTGCACGGCCTGCGGGAGGAGGTTTTGACAAAGGGTCTCATGGGCGAGAAGGAGCTTCATGACATGATTCTGAAGGCAAACACGATGCCCATTGAGCTACTCGGGGCACTGCTCCTTAACCAAAGTCTTACTCCGGAGCAAACCTCCAAGTGGAGATTCTACGAATAAGACCACCATAACTGCAATATCCTAACTATGCGGTGCTCGTCATTAGTCGAAAGAAACTAACCAGATAAAGCGTGTATCAAAATTGAACAGATAAAAAAAACCGACCCCTCTAGTCTGCAGCCATGCAAGCTCACATGTGCCGCTATAGCCGATGGAATACCTATCGTAGTATACATGTATTACCGGGTGAACAGCACTAGACCGCTCATGGGGGCCTAGAGCGACCACACCCCATCAATAGCCTACTGATGGCTATAAATGACTCTGTTTCAAATGATCTAAGCTTACCATTATCCAATCAACGACGAAATTCATATCGTATTTCCCCATAAGTAAGAAGACTGGTTTGGTTGATTACTCACCTGAGTCACCTCTTTACAGAAGGAATTCCGATTGCGACATTGATCTCACCTGACAAGGTATCTTGTAACGAAAAAGAACATTTTGGGGCGGATTTACCCGAAAGCTTGATCATTAGCATATTGCTCCACAGAGAGCCCCCTTTCCTGACGAGTGCGGCTATTCGGCCACATCTAACTGCTTTTAGTAAGGGTTTCTTTGTTACCCAGGCCAGATAGCCATGCTCTTTCCGGAAAATCCGATTTAGTAGTAGAATTTGGCATCTGAGGCTGACATTCGATACCCGGCTAATTCTTACGCCAAACTGCTGAGGTTATCAAAGAACAAAGATCGAAATCGATATCGGATTTACATATATCCCCCAATGTCCCCCAATGTTCATTGAACATTTTCCATCTAGGAGAGGAGGCAGGCTCGCTTCCGTCTCGCGAGGCCACCACAGTCTCCAATATGGTCGAACCAAGCAAAAGCCAGATGGCGCACTTCGAGGCCATCCCTTGGGTCGCCGAAGAGCTCTCAGAGCCAGACCTTATCATCCGAGAGCCCGCCAGCCGCGTCTTCGATCCCGACCTCCGCGCATTCGAGTTTTGGAGCTCCACATTGCATAGCTCTACAACAATACCCTTCTTCGTTGGCGCCTACCACCTACCGCCCGAGTCAGATATGCAAGCCCTGAATGCGGAAGATGCAGACGATCGAATAATCGGCCCGCAAATTGTCACAAGAGCCCGGTTCTTTCTGAGTCTGGGCCGTGGAGTCAGCACCATAAATAAGAATCTATGCCATGGTGGAGTGGTTGCAGCCATCTTCGACGAGTGTGCCGGGGCCATCTGCTGGGCGAATAAGGCGCATGGGTTCTTGGAATTTCTCCCCCAAGTGACGCAGAGTCTCAATATAAGCTACTTGAAACCAGTTCCGACCATGTCGACAATAGCTGTTACGGCCTTACTGGAAACGAAAGACGGTATTAAGCTGGTTGTTGACTTAATGCTGCAGGATAAGACGGGCACTGTGCTTGCAAAAGCAGAGGCTGTATTCAGATCGATTAAGAAGCGGAAAAAAGGGGGAAATGAGAAGCTGTAGTTAGTGGATGATGGTGGAACAGGGTAGGGCAATCTGGTCAAGTGCTACTAATAGACGGCGGGAATCACTTAAGCTTATACTAATCGGGGGATATAAGAGCCAGCGGCTCAGCAGACAGATATAACAACAAACTTAGGCCTGGATTTCCCTGCCTATCTTTCCCTGATCAGAGGAGAGCCTTTCTATATTTACCTTTCATTGTAATAACACAAGAATCTCAGGAGCGTTTACTCTTTCGATCAGCCTTTGGCCATACTTTGATTAGGGCGACTATTTGTCCTGACCAGAGTGTTCCACTGAGCTCACCAGGGGAAGCATATTGTGTTGGATTAGTAGGTGTTTGTGTTTCTACCTATACCATTGTACTGCATAGGTCCCCGTTTATCCTACACCCTTTCAATAGTAACTTTACAGGAGAATTTCTGTCACACCGATCTCATGTGCTGGCCCGGATGGTTACTTCCGTACGAGAACCGATGTTTCACCCAAAACATTTGTAGGCCTGGTTGATCTCTCGACTAAGGCTCCGCTCGGCCCGCGTACTTTTAGAGGGACATAGCACAATCTCATGACTGGTATCTTTGGTTGACGTAGGACCAGTCTGATCACGTCCCCCAGAACCAGCCTAACAGCCCTCCATGAGCATATGCTTCAGGTAGACCAAGCAATTCGCTAACTGGTATAGTGTTCTGGCTACCAAACTTGTTTGTTGGGCTCGCAACACGGAACTCGAGCAGGAAGCACTAACACGCATGTCTCGGCAAATACAACTGCAAAGAAAAAGAAACCACAAGAAAATGGAAAGAAAGGGGAGATACAAGCTAAAAAAAAACCAAAAGAAAACCACACCTGTGGAGGATCAAAATCCTGGAATGAGGATTGACCGGCGAAATTCCGTCTAGGGGTGGCGCAGTTACATGTACGAGCTTTACCTATTGGAGTTGATAGAAGTGCACTCGGTCCCATAGGAAATCATCCCGATAGGGCATGAACCAACGAGGGAAAGGCGATGATCCGGCATGCCGGCTCCTGTTGAGACACAACAAAAAAAGCCACAGCATCACAGAGCCGTTGGGTTGGGCGCCATAGGATTGTTTCGCTCGACGCCAGGACTGCCTCCAAGATGAGGTGGCGTCCAACTGCCGTCTCAGGCCCGCTTAGCGCCATCGGTTGGCGTCGTCCAACCCGGAGTCAAGGTCTCGAGATTCGAAAAGGATCGTTAGATGGATGATTTAAATATTCGATTCCTCCTTTTGTTTCGTCTTTCAAATCTGAGCCTCAAGCATCCCAGTCGACTTTCATTGCCGGATCAACACACTCTTTTACCAGTATCACTCTCTTCAACTACAAACATATAATTTTTCGAGACCTTCAACTTGCTTGTCGATAATCAGAAACACAAACCTGCTTAAAAAGATCAAGGAACTATCAAAATGTCCTACAGACTCATCGCTTCTGTCGCTGTCCTTGCGACCGCTGTTATGGCCAAGACGGACCTCGCCGGCTGTGTATCCTCCGACTCAGTCGTCACCCCTACCCAGGGCGGCACTCCCTATGCGACCGTCGTCTGGTACGTCCCCGGCACCGGGGAGATCTGCGCCGCCCTCGACTGCGGCGGCGGCCGCGCCCCTCCCAAGACCGATGTCCCCGGCTGCATCGGGTACAAGGGCACCGAAGCGTACTCGCCTTCGTTCCTCCCGCTGGCGACCAGCGACGCCTACCTCGCCCAGCCCACGCGGCCGTCCGTCATCACGTCGGCTCCGGAGAGCGCCATCCCCACTGTCCTCGACACTGCTGCCCCGAGCGAGACCAAGCCGGGCGAGATCAAGCCGAGCGAGATCAAGCCGAGCGAGATCAAGCCGAGCGAGACTGATCTGGTTGAGAGCGAGTGTAGCACCGAGATCGAGACTTCGGCTGCGCCAGCTGTCACCCATGTCGTCTCTCCTCCTACTGGGGTGAATGCGACGGCCACTTTCCTGATGACTACCCCCAAGTCGGCTGCTGGCCGCCAGACTTCAATCATGAGCAACGGTTCCGCTCCCACCTCAGCCATAACAAGACCCAGTGCTTCGGCTCCTATCGGGGCGTCGCGCGAGCTATTCGGTCTAGTTGCCAGCATGGCTATCGCGGCGGTTTTGTTGTAAAGATTCTTAATTCGGACTTTAAGTGGAAGGGGGGGAAGGAGCTTGTGGTCTATCATTAGACAGTCTAATAACAGTGCATTAATCCATTTCGATCTGCTAAAATGTTGCCCCCCGCTTAAACGGTTCCGCCCTGGTAAATATTTGGAACTCTCTCCAACAGATTCTCGATTTCTTGGTCGGCATTGCTTGACTCCCACCCGCCGTCGAGGCCGTTGCTTCGTCCCGCCTGCACTCGGAATCCGTAGACGTTGGTCCACGACCACCCCTCGATCTTGTCTGTCCGGGGCTTGATCTCAAACGTCACCCAGCATAGAGCGCTTTGGTCGGAGACGACGTCGACGCGGCCGCCGCGGAGCCGGATGTCTGTGCCGAGGCCGCTCTGGTTCAGTGCCTTGAGCTGGTACAGCACACCCGCGGTGGCGGCTTCGTGGTTCGGGAGGGTGCTGATGCTGCCGAGGGCGAAGCTCGTGAAGTTGGTAAGGTAGAAGGAGGCTAACGTATCAGCGACGCCCTCTAACGGCGCGGACGCGTTCCCGCCCTGTTCCGTGGCGAGGCCGTAGGCCGTTATTGCGGCTTGCGCGGCTTCCTTGATATTCACCATTGGATATTTGCATGAGAAGACATGGACAACTTCGAATCTTTGAGGCTTCTTCTGGGCATAACCGGGCTTCATGTATGTGGAGGAATAATATCACGGACGGGGACCCCTCAGTTGTAATTTCCTTTCTTCCAAAACCTTGTATTGTGTTGATGTCAGGCGCCACGGCGGGACGCCGGGGTGGGCCGGACGCGGATAAACTATGAACCGAGGGACACGTAAAATGAGAATTCTGCAGGAATCCCAGGGGGGGGGCAAGGGTAGATAGGAACAATCGTCACAATTGAACCCTAACTACACCGATCGTTGACTCCTTTACTCAATACTACTGGAGCGGGGACAGGGATTATGTTTGTTCATTGGATACAGAATGGAATAAGAGGCTGATCAGGGTCAGAAAGTATAAGAACCTTCTGATCAGCCGTATTAGATAGAGAATGGGCATGCTTCTTCCTCCAATTCATCCTTCTTTCTTGAAATCATTAACCAAGAGCCTTACCTCTCACTCGACTCGGCCGACACGTGATAACTCAGGCGATAGGGAGCTTTCTGCCCTGTCGGATTAAGCCTCAAGGGTTCTGATTAGTATTGAAAGCCTGATCAGACCCAAGACACTCAAGATGATCAGGCTGTGTACCTGAGTTGCTTTGAGTTGTAGGGTGTTGTTGTGTCTGTTCGCACATCATCATCACAACCAGAGTCCCCAATCACACCACTGCACGCTTTCACTATCACAGCCTCTGACATGATCGGGCGTGATACTCATACTGTGTTTCTTCAACTGTGTTAGATTACCGCTGTGCATTACATGTTAGCCTCAAAAGGAACCGGTACGACGTATCCAATGGCATTTCGTCATAAGAAAGATTGATGTCCCCGTGCTTGGACTTTGTGTGCTGAGTATTCAAATTCAGTGTCGGGAGTACAAAGTGACGTTCATGACTTGTGCTTGTCTCCATAACTAATGTCCCGGCGCCATGGACTAAACTATTGCGAGCTCTCATGTAAGGACCAAAAGTCTCTCGGTCTCTGAGTTTCCGGACGGGGCCCGTTGCGGGCCCAGCATAAGCTAGCTAATTGATAGACACTCTATTAGACACTCTATTTTGTTAAATGCAGATTGTTGAATGCGCAGACTACATACATCATGCTAATATCCCGCTCCGACCGGGCCGGTATTGAGTCTATCCGAGACTGCTGATGTGTCCATCGTCAAGATGCCGATGCGCTTGTATGGGTATACTCACAGTCCGAGATTGGCAAGTTTAATTCGAATTTCAGATAGATTCGCAAATATTGATGACATGACCAAGATGCGAGGTCTGTGAGAGACCACCTTGGGGAGTCTATTGTAACCCGACCTGCTTTTTGAAATCAGTCAACCACTCGGCAATGTCTGCCGGAGTCTGGTTCCATGGATCGCCACTGGAACGAAATTTGGTTAGCAGAGTAATCTAGTCAAATGCTCTTCCCCAATGGTTTCATCAAAGCAACTCCACTTACTCGTCGTAGAGTATCCAGCGAGCTTGGTACCTTATCTCGTCGTCCGTCGGCACGTGGTTGTTTGGATTGTTGGGCGACATCGTGCTCGCCACGAACCGCGAAAGCTCCCGTGCGAGGCGGGCGTATCGATTCGGGTCGTTGAGAAAGAACGGCATGCCCTTGCCCCTTGGTCGCTCGCTCCATTGCAACGAGAAACCAGACCCGACAAAGATCGTTTTGCTTGTCTCCAGTCGCGAATAGAAGTCTTGCGGAGCTGTCGATGGATTGTTGAAGAAGTGACCACCGGGGATCTCTGGAACGACTGGTTTTGAATATGTTGCTGGCGCCAGGATGCCCGCCATCTCAACCTCGCCGGTCGTCCTTTCGTTGCCGCCGCCCGGAGCCATCAGTCTTTCGGATTCACCAGTCAGCTGGCCCAGCGCTGCAAGTTCACTGTAAAACTCATCGAGTTCACCACCAGCTAATGCTGCCAGTGTGCTTTGGTCAGGACTGAAATCTGGATACGAGCTCACAAAAGAATGTGCTGCCCTTTGGCGCAGAGGAGCAATCCAGTCAGTCGACTCCCATATCAGTCGGACCAAAAAGCCTGCGAATCGTCTCGAGGGATTGTTAGATGAAGATTCGACGCGATACAGAGTAGAGCAGGCTTCCTGCTTGACATCGGTATCTGAAAGACGCAGGCCTAGACTCGTGTACTCTCCGACGTGTCGGCAAAGCCGAGACTCGAGCTCGCAATCCTCAAAAATGTCCGCCTTTCCTTTGATCTGGAGTTGACTCATCCGTAGCTTTGCCAAATGGTTCATTGGCCGCAAGCGAGCTTTCTCGGCTGCCCCGGTGAAGCTCATGAAGAGGTCTCGGAGCCAAGAAGATGCCGTATTCGCGAGATCGGGCGAGAGGAGTTGTGAGCCAAAGATGATGCTACAGCCCTCATACACGAGATCGTCGTCGGAAGGCAGAGCTTCGTTTTCTTCGAAGAAGTTGCGGACAAAATACTCCAGCTCCAACTTGAGCAGTTCGTAAGCGCTGGGAGATGTATCGGCTGGCCCAGTTCCCGCACAGAAGGGCACCGGAGCACACTGCTCCCATTGAACCACATCTATGACTGCACGTCAGCAAGTCGGGCTTTTCGAACCGCTTTAGATACCTACACGGCGGTACTGCGTTTTCCAGCTTCGCAAGCACAGACGGGTCGAACCCCCAATTCCCTTTCCAGTCCGACATCATGCTGCCGTCATTACGATAGTGGTCCGCGATATGATCCCCACGGCCGGACCACGACTCAAATGTGAGATTACAAAACCCACATCTTGAATGGATATCATCCGTCGTGACCTTCCACCCTTCAGCCCATTTTGTCATTTGCTTCGTCCTGTGTACGAGTTTCAGATGCTGCCTCAGGTGGTCTTTCCGGTAAAAGGTGCGCTCCTCGAGCGGTTTATCTGAGCAGGCTGCTTGGTGATGACTGTCAAGATGGTGCTGATCTGGGTCTACCTCTTCACAATAAACGCATATAATGCCTCTGTCAGGGTCGACCTCGGTCGGGCCATGTGGTGAACAGATCCACTCGTCGAGTGATAGGTGAAGGGTCTTTTCATGACGCTGCCAATCGTACTTCGTCTTGAAAGTTTCTGCGCAGAAAGTGCAGTGATACGGATTGCGAGTCTTCATCAAGCTTACCGTCTTAGACTGTTGAACGTTGGTGGCCGTTCGTCTTCTTCGTCGACTCGAGTCCTTTCTGATCCCATGCAGGGTGGTAAGCGACGTGTTGGAGCCATAGGAGTACGCAGAACCGTTGGACCTCGAGCCTCTGCTCGAGTGAGAGGTCGCGAGGCTGCTGCCTGACGAGATATTATCGGATGATCTGGCAGACGACCGCGATCGGTTTGAACGACCCGAACGTCTCGTTGATGCGGCGACGGCACGAGAGATATCCGTAACGGACGCGGGTTCATGCTCTGGGGGCGAATGTTCCCATCTTTGCAGGGGGTTCATCTGCTCAAAAGGCATGGGCGTGGGTCGCCGTGCGGGAATCTCAATAGGTCCGGAAGCGGACGCGGCACCCCTCGGGCGAAACCTTCTACGACGACGGGTGTTGGCGAACCAGTTTGTAAGCTGCTGTTTACTCAGGCCTGTCTGTTTCTCTAGCTTTCGTGCTTCCTCCGGTGTGGGGTAGGGATGATGCTCGTGGTTGTCGAACCATGCCTTTAGGATTCTGATAGCAGCAGAGGTAAAGCGGCTGCCGACTTTAAACGGTGTATCCGCGACAGAGGTATTCGTGCCGTTTGCAACCGGGGGATCCAGATTAATATTCTCGAGGTTGTCAGACAAAGGCGCGCCTCCCGAGACACTTGATGACGATGACTCAATGCAAGCACTTAAGTGCCGGGCTTCACCAGAGAAAGTGTTCTCGTCAACATGATCTGGGGGAAATAGGCAGAATTGACTGAAGTCAAAATCTGTATCGTTTGGAGGGTCTGGCGTCAATTGCGCTTCGATATAGTCGGCCATAGTTTAATCCCTCATCAGTTTTCCAGAGTCTGAACCTTGTTGACATCAATATCAAGGCTCCTCAAGAAGTTCGGCCGCTGGACGGGCTAACAGGACATGCGTTTTAGCAAGACGAAATTGCACGCCAGAGTGTTCAATGGGAGTGGGGCCATCGAGAGACATGTCAATTTAGGGCGGACGTCTGACATGGTATTCCCTCCGCCGTTGAACAATCCACCAATCAATTAGAAAGCGATTCAGAAGTCATCGACGCCAGTGCTGCATCGTTTCTATTGCTCCGAGCTCGGACCGTCAGTTTAATAGACTTTCCGACATTTAATACAACGAATTCTTAGTATAGCTAACCTACATGGGTGTCAGTGATCAACGAAGCTGCATGGCAATGCTGGAAATGTGATTGAAAGGTAAGATATCAAGTCAAGCTTGACATGCCCAACCCGGCGAATCAGAAAAAAACTCTAAGCAAGGGGTGCCTGATACTATAAGTACAAACACTGCAGATGTCACAGAAAATATCCGTTTGTTGAAACCAATATTTACACCCAAATTGAAAAACGAGCCCAGGGTTCCCATTTTATGAAGATGAGGTCGACAATTGTCCAGTAATTGTACTATGTAGAAGTCTGCATCTTTGACGGTAACTTCCCTATTGGCAATGATGCTATTCACCTCTAGCCGTAAAGGTACAGAGCAAATGCGAAGTCCGGAATCGCTCACCTATTAGTCTTTGTCTGGTTCCCAATAACCTCAAAGTCATGCCTCCAGACGTCCCAGTGATCGCTCTTGGCAGGATCTCCAAACGGAGATAGAGCAGCGATACGCATTCTGGAATTCATCAGTAAGCAGAAACAACAGGTCGATCAACTTAGAGACGTGACCTACGAGTATTTTCCAGGTTGAATCCTATGGCCGTCAGCGAAGCGTCCCAGCCACCACGCCTGATACGGAGAATAGTTGTAGTCATCACGGGACAACTCAGTCAGCGGGCCCCTGACAAGGTCGAACTCGTCATGGGAGTCCGGATCAAAGTACACCGTATCTCTTTCGTTATCCTTATCTGACGTCAGACCAGAAGAGAAAAGTGGTTAGTGTTGGTGTTCTCAGGAAATTTAAGCATACCCAGGTAGCCGCCATGCCGATGAAGCCGCCCTTGCCGGGAACGGGCGGGTACGTCCCCCAGCTTTTCTCCTCCCAACCAGACTCAAAAACATCCCACCGCAAGATTTGGGCGCCATAACGAAGCCGAATTTGGAGCCGTGGGAAGTCTTGCTCGTAGACTGAAAGATTAAATGTGAAGCTACCAGCCTGTTAGAAGCCCCCCCTCCTAGTAAGCCTGCCAGAAGCCACTCACTTGGACTTGTATATGATGGGCATCGCGTCTCGTCCTGAGTACATGCTAGGACTGCCTTCAACGAACATTTTCCTAAAGTTCTTGCGAACGTCAGACGCAACACCCATATAAGGCACGGCCAGCTCTTCCCCGTTAGACCCATGGATAAGGACCTTGCCGCTGTAGAGGGGCATCGCTGAGGCGTTGAGGCCTTTGGGAGGCGCAAAGGTAAACCTGCAGGCGATAATCAGTCCAGAAAATCACAGTAACTGGTGGAAGAGGACCAACTTCGCCGTTCTGGTCTCGCCGGGGCCAACCGTAAATTCACCCTCAGGGAAGGTCACGTTCGGAACCGGCACTACGTCCATCGGGGTAAACTCCATGTACTCAGGACCCATCTTGAGGGACACCGCCGCTGTGTTGTCCAAGACCTCGTAACCACCAGCAGCTTGGAGGCAAAATTTGTACGTGACGGACCCCGTGCAGTTGTTTGTAATGTTTACGTAGTGAGTAGGCACAAATCTGACTGTGTCGTTGAGCGCAAACTTGGCGAAAGACAGTTCCGACTTGTAGTTCAGGACCTTGGTAGCGTTCACCAGCCCATTTCCGAGCTGGAAGACGGGGGCCCAGGTGTCGTAGTCCGTCATATTGTTGCCGTCGTTCCAGCGGACGGAGTCGCAGCTCGAAAGGATGCGGGCGGAAAGCCTCTTGCCGAACTCGGAGCCGTGAGTCGCCCGGCCGCCGTATTTGCTGATGTATAGAGCAGCGATGCCAGCCACATAAGGCGTTGCCATCGATGTCCCAGACATGAGGCCATATTTTTTGCCTGGCAGGGTTGAGAAAATGTTGGATCCCGGCGCGGCAACGTCCGGCTTGATCTGGAGATCGTAAAGCCCGCCCATCGAGGTGAACTTTGAACTGACAACAGCGGGGTTCTTGAGGTTAACGAAAGACGTGTGTGACTCGTCATAGAACCTGGCTGTGACGTTGGCTCCCTCCTTCAAAGCGGCGAGGATCTGGACGCCCGCGCCTCGGTCCGTTATGCCCTCGACTCTAGAGGTGCTGTAATCCCCCTCCAGGGGGTATAAGTTGTCATCATTGAAGAGCAGCACATATTCCGCTCCGGCGGAATGGAGCGCGTATCTCTTTGTGGCACCGTTGCATCCCCCCCGAGGGGCCAGAACCAAAGCACCGGACAGGTTTCGCGAATCTGGCCCCAGGAAGCGGCAGCCGACTGTAACGTCATAGGGGTCGAACGAGAGTGCTGTGATGGGTAGACCCGAAGAGTTCATATTGATAGGGAAAGGGTGGACGAGACTCCCGTGGAAGAATCCAAACCTTGTAGTGTTGACGTCGCCGTTCTCGTACTCGAACGTCACGTCGAAGGGCATTCCGGGAACGGACTCAGGCTCAGACGAGGCCACCGAGAGCACGTTTCTCCCGGACTGGCCGTTGTCGGCAAGAAAAGCACCGCCGGCGCCGTCGTTGCCGGCGGAGATGGTGACGACAAGGCCTCTGTCCACGAGACGTGAAGCTATCTCCGCCCAAGCATTGTTGGAGAAGCCTCCCCGGCCTCCTACTGATGAGGTTATGATGTCGGCCTGGAGTATAGTTAGAAGACGGGCTCGTCTTACCCAGTTTCTTGAGTATTTGGACGTACACCATCATCGTAGGCCATCAGAAAGGCCTCAATCAGGGTTTCCTCATCTGTGCCGCCGCTCTGGAATAAAATTGTCAGCCCTGGTAGATTACTTGGAAAAGGCGACCTACATTGCCAGCACCAAACACCTTGTAGGAAAGGATGTTTGCTGAAGGGGCGACGCCTTGCCAGCTGCACATAGATCAGCCTCAAGAACTGGGATAAAAGACATTGAGTGGGCGAAGGAATAATTAAGGACATACCTGTCTGACTTTCCGGCGACGATGCCCGTCACATGCGTACCATGCCCAATTTCACTTTCTTCGTATGGGTCCTTGTCAGGTCTCTTTTCGTATCCCTCAACAGGCCACGCTGTAGTATAGATCAGATACTTTCCTTTGGTATTTCAATCTCAGCTCTTACCTGAGCCCCCTACAAGATCGTAGCCGCCGATGACTTTGAAGCCTTCACCGAATCCTCCGCCCAGCTGTGTGGCGTATTAGAGAAAACTGTCCCGTGCAAGGGAACAATGGCTTACAGCGGGATGATCATAATCCACGCCAGAGTCGACAACGGCAACCTTGACTCCCTGGCCCAGGACACCCTCCTCGTGGAGTTTGGCCACCCCTGTGATACCGTGGATGGTGTAATTCGCCGCGGATACATCCCCAGTGTACGTGCGACCCTTGTTGGCAACGGCCATCTGGACTGGTCTCGACGGCCACACATTGCGTGCACCATAGAGTAGCTGTAGTTCTTCCGCGGTTTTTCCCGTGGCCTCGATACTGACTCCTGTGAACACGTCGCTGTGGAATGTCTTGTACACCTTGGCTCCCGAAATACTAGGGAAACCAGAGCTGAGCTGGCTCAAATCCGAGCCCTGTGCCGTCTTCATTGTCAACGATTCACTCCAGCGTTTTTATCAATAGTGTACGTACCTTTTGAAGCTCTAAGATGAATCGTCTGGGTCCGGGCTGCTGTGTCTCCTGTGAACGTATTGACCTGTGCCCGAATCTAGCCAGGCTGACACTCGTCAAGAAGAATATTGGGATCGCGTTTCTCAGCAGCATAATCACCTATCACAGTCCAGTCCTTATCAGATGATGGATAAGGTATAAGGTAAGGAGATGGGTTGAAATCTTGGGAATTCGCCGTCTTCATATGGACCGCAAGAGGACTGGACCCTTGCCACAATGGATGACTCTGTACCAACATGCTCATGCGCTATGCCGGCCATGAGGGAGCCTGCATCTCCGGCACTGCTCACGGCCTAGAACATTACAAACAAAAAAGGCCCGCACATCCAGCAAGCGGCCCGTAGGCGGAATTTCAAGCGTTCGGATATTAGCAGCGTGGCCCTTGAGAATTGCATAATCGGAACCCAGTCAGGTTAGAGGGATGTCCAGGTCTGAGAACAAACAAACAATTCGCTTCCTATGTATCTATGCTTCAGTCTCGCTGCTCAGGACCCCAATTCACATGGCAAATGAGGACAATATGATGTCCCAGAACGCCTGGACCAGAGGTTGACAGCCGGGTCCGAGCAATGCCGTGACTTAGTACTTATGTCCTGCTCCCATGTTACATCGTAATCTCAAAGAAGTGGGAAGCCGTGAACTATCCACATGCAACACCGATGATCATGACACTGACAGAAAACATGCACCGATGAAAATTGTCGAAAGCATCAGTCTTCCCACAAGTTCTGAGATGCTCTGAAAAGGGCCGAGGTGCTGGAAATGGATGGAAGCCGCCCTGCAAACTGATATCAGGGAACCGGCAGACGGCAGTTAGCGGAATCCTGCGTTTACAAAACAAGCCCGAGAATCAGCCGGTGTGAGATCCTAGATCCTGTAAGAGTCATGCAGGATTGGATCACACCCGGTTGATCGAGCACTCTATATAGACACCTGTGACAAACACACTTGCACTTGTGCAACGCCCAATCGTTCGTCGATACCTCATCGAAGAACATGGTAGCGGATAGAGACACGAGGACATGACTTGGACCCGCTCGCTCTCGCTGTTCCACAACGGAAGGCTGCTGTCCAGCCCCCCTCGGCTCATGACAAACCTTCGGTGCCCTTAACGGAACACGCGAGGCCTCGTGGGATTTCAAGTCAGAACGCAGATCGGCTGCGAGAGCAGACAGGGTACAGTCTAGCCGACGTGTCAGTGCTTGATCACTTGGTGCCTCGAATAGATTAAGATATTATGACACAAAAACACAAACATGGCTTTCTATTTCTTAGGTCGCAAGCCTTTGAGCTTTCCCAGGAGCTTGCCTATTTTGGCTTTGAGCACCGGACTGGGGCCCTCATCGGCGCCGACTAGTCTACGGACGAGAATATTGTACATGCCGCCGAAAGCGAGCGCAATCGCCGTCGACGTGAAGATGATGACGTTGTATGGCATGCTGAAGTCCGGCGTTGGGAGATTCAGCAGCAGAGTGGTTGTCCGAGTACTTTGCGTACGTGGGCTTAAGGTGGTAATGACAGCAGCAGCAATATCGAAGCCGCGATTGGCGTCAGGGGGGTATTCGGTGTAGCGAAGAATTGACTTTTCAAAGTCATAGGTAAGGAAGACGGTTGATGCAGGAGGAATGCGCATGCGTAACTCAAGTTGCGTGCCTCTGGCACGGTCGACAGCGGGACGGTAGTAAATGTCCTCGATGATGGATGGCTGTGAGCCTGAAGATCCCTCGATACGTGCGTTCAGAGTGTGTAGATACACCCTCATGAACCAGGGTAGCGACTCCATATAGATGAACTCAACCTCGGTATCCTTGCTCGGGTTCGTCAGAATGACCTGCATGCCACCATGCTCTTGGCCGTATCCGGTAAAACTGCGCTCAGCATAGATGAGAGGTGTAGAAGGCTCGACGAGCTCCTTTGTAGGATCCTGGCCTTCCATAGCCTCAAGAGGGAGAACGATTTCGAGTTCTGCCCCTGATCCGATCTTGAAGCATCTCGATACACCGTTCGGATTGAGAATTTCTGTAGCTCCGCCAGAGGTGTAGACACTTCTCGAATGAGGCACCTCGATACACACAGGGGGCACGTCCTCATCCGTTAGAGGACATGTTCCCTTGATGAACTTGCCAAACACCTGAGAAAGAGACCAGTCTTGGCCGGTGGTGAGGCCGAGCGGGTAACATGTGTCATCGGAGTGGTAGGGCTTCGAGGTATCGCATTTTAGCTCATGCCCTGGCGGTGGGCGAGGAATCGGGTTATCTCTCGGACGCTTGGACCGGTCAATGTCCAGAACCATGTCGATAGTCTGTTCGATTTGCAGACTACACTCCTCACCATCTGGGCACACTGGCTTGATGTCAATGGCCATGCTCTGGAAGGAGGAATCGAAGAGCTTGTGACCGTCAAGGAGACTCGAGATGCCAGCCTTTCCCTTGCAGGGGAGCAGCTTAAGAAAAGGTGTCAGATTCTCTGTGCAGACAACCTCTTTCGGAAGGACGCCGTGAAGGAGCTGCATGTTTGGGATGGAGGCCTCGGGATGGTGACCCTCTGGTTGGAAAGACATGACGGGTCGGGTGGTTCGGGTTCCGTCGACGAAGTTGAGCGATGCGCAGAAGAGACCCGAGAGGGCATTGGTGAGGGTCAGCCACTTCTGATCAGCCCTGCATATTTGTCAGTCGCAATTGCGCGGCAAGCAGGGGGAACGCCATACTCTTCGTCCGTCTCGGCCTCGAGCCATGCCCACAGTTCCACGCCCATTCCGCCCTCGCGCTGACCATCCCACGGCCGGCTTCCCCAGCTTTCAGCGTCCCATCGCCCCAGGCTAAACCTCAGATGTAATTCTCGCGTGCCGGCATATTGTAGAATCTGACCGAGAGAACGGGGGAAGTATCGGAAGTTTTGCGACTCGAAATCGGAAAGCGACGTGTTGGACCGGAAATTGAAGCTCGCAAGCAATGAGGAAAGGGGTAGCGGACGGAGGTTGAGCTGCTCGTGGTAATCCGCAGCTAGGCCGAAGGACGCCAGGCAAGAAAAGAGAGCGATGGCCAGGAACTGGCGCATCTTGAGAAGAGGAATTACAGCGCAAAGAATAACGAGAGTGACGTCTGCTTCTTTCTTTCTCCTCTACATAGCAGCGCATGGATGGGGGGCCTGAAGTAGAAGTCGTGGTCGTGAAGGTGGTCGTTTGGAGGGACACGAGAGGCGGTGGACCCCGGCAGAATGACCCTTACGTAACCAAGATCTTTGGGCTTGCCAAAGTCGCACCCTTTGCAGCTCTCCACATTCCGCCCGTGGTCCACACCTTCGATCTGGTCTGCTGCTCCATCTCGCGCAGCAGCACGCTTTCTCCCCCAGCCCGAGATTTGGAGAGAGATTCTTTACCCCCAAATCAAAAACACCCAATTCGCCCCACGAACATATCCGCGATACACGACACAGCACGACGACAAGCACGAACACTACCGCACACCACACGCCATGGCTGCAGAACAGAGAAAGCTGCTCGAGCAGCTGATGGGTGGCTCAGCCAGCACCCGCGCCGCCTCGCTTTCCATGACCGACCCCAAAGTTTGCAGATCTTTCCTCGTCGGCACATGCCCTCACGATCTCTTCACAAATACTAAGCAGGACCTGGGTCCCTGTCCAAAGCAGCACTCTGAGGCGCTCAAGGCCGAGTACGAGGGCCTCTCTGACAAGGAGAAGCAGAAGTATGGATTCGAGTACGACTACATGCGCGACCTTCAAAAGTATATCGACGACTGCAACAGGAGGATAGACTCGGCTCAGCGCAGGCTCGAGAAGACCCCTGACGAGATCCGTCAAACAAATGCTCTGGTATGTTGCCACAGCAATTACGGCTTTCCAATGTATTTGACTAACTCTCTACAGTTGAAAAGCATATCAGAACTCTCCTCCACCATTCACAACGGCACTCTCGAAGTTGAGATTCTGGGTGAAATGAGCGAAGTGTCCCGCGCCATTGACGAATTCTACCGGGTACGGCAAGCGCAGCAGACGAAGCTCGATCGCGAGAAGGAGCTCAAGGCCCTCTCTGACACCTCGGGCCCATCTGGCCACCAGAAGCTGCAGGTCTGCGACGTGTGCGGCGCCTACCTTAGCAGGCTGGACAACGATCGCCGCCTAGCAGACCACTTTTACGGAAAGATGCACTTGGGGTATGCGCAGATGCGCAAGACTTTCGACGCGTTCCCGAAGGAGATGCGCCATCGCCAGCGGGCGCCGATCGAGGACGACGGCATGGGGTCCGGCGGCCCCAGGGGGCCCAGAAGTGGCGGCGGCTACCGGGGTCGCGGAGGCAGAGGATACCGTGGCGGATGGTAGGCCAATTCGGAGAGATAACGAGGCCACGACCAGACGACAACGTAAACAAACGGGGTCTGCCGAAATATCGCCGATCCCCAAGCGCAGATGGAAGTATTGTCGCTGCGCCTGTTCAGATACCAACCTCGCCCGAGGAATGTTGAACGACAGACCCCGACAGGCACAACCGCCCCGGCGGACATGTACGCCACGAGTTTGCAGGAGCAAGAATGTGATTTTCGGCATCTACAACAGAATGCAAAACGTGGGTGACGAACCACTGGAGTTCTGTTTGCTTCATACTAAGTCTTTTAGGCCTCGATTCCGGAATCAGAGGACGGCTCGCGCTAGGGGGGGAGGAGAATGCGCACTACTGAAGGAAGACCCCGAGATGAGAAAAACATCTGTCAAGCTTGATGCCTCGAGTGACAACGACGGCGAGTCCCGGACAACTTTCATATATTTCTTATGCTGGTAATGAGGCATTCTACAATGTCCGATGCGCAAAGTGCGCCCTCCGCAACGGGACCATCCTCTAAGAAGCGTGCCTTAATAATCAAAAAATGTCCTACTCGTTTTTTCTTTTATTCGTTCACGACACTGTCCAAAAGATGCATCGTCGCTGTTTCGTGATTCAATCCCATGCCCTGTTCATGTGACTCGTCAAGCCGCAGCGAGAAAAAACCAAAAAAAAAGAAGAAAAAAAATCATTCCGTATCGTTCACGCCGCTCTTGAGCTTGGCGTCGAAGGCCTCCATCTCGTCATCCCATCGACCGAGGGGCGACAGCATAGGCAACGACGCGTCGTCGGTAGTGGACTTCTTGCCGGGCAGAGCGGGGAACTCCTCGGTGCTGATGACGGGGGCCGGCGCGGCGGGTTTGGCACCTTGGGCGCCATCGCCGCCGTTGGACGCGGCAGGATCGCGCTCGTGCTCGTTGCCGAACCCACCACCCCGACCACCGCGTCCGTTGCCCCGCCCTGGACCACCACGGCCCCTACCGCGGCCGCGGCCACTGCCCCCCCTCCGCTCTTCGCCGGAACCGGCGCCGGTGTGCCGATCGCCAGCGTCGTCGCCGTCGCGGGCGAACCTGCTCCCCGAGAGCCCCGCGCCGGACTTGGTTCCGCGGACCCCGCCGTTGGCGCCGCGGAACCCCCTCTTCTCGTCCTCCTGCGCGAGCGCGTCCTTACCCTCGTCCCAGCCGCCCTCCTTCATGCTCATGGCCTTGAGCTTCCTCTCCCTGTTCTTGGCGCGCTCGTCGTCCATGCGCTTGCGCTCCTCCTCGCCGCGGCGCCGCTTCTCCTCGTCGAGCTTCCTGCGCTGCCGCGCTTCCTCCATGCCGCGCGCGTACGCCTCGGCATGGCTGCGCTCGTCCTGCTCAGCCTGCTCGAACTTGCGTGTCTTCTCGGCGTTGAGGATGCGCATCTGCTCCATCTTGGCCGCCAGCTCCGTCTCGGTGAGCTTGGTTCGCGGGTTCGCGCCGGACCCGAGGCGCGCCGCGGCGTTTAAGGCCGTGTTTGCGCCGGGAGTCGCGCCTGGGGTGGTGGGGGTGGTGCCGCCGGCGGCCGGACCCGTGGGCGCGGTGGGCGGGGGTTGCGGCTTTTCGCGGGGCGGGTGGGACGCCGGGGGAATGAACTTTTGGTCCGTCGCGGGGGGAGGGAAGCGGCCACGGCTGTGGGCGACCCGACGCGGTTGGCGCTGTCGCGTTCTGCGCCGCCGCGGGGCCGGCGGGAGGCTGGGGAGTCGGCGTAGTAGTGGTCGTGGTCGTGACCGGTGGCGTCGACGCGGGAGCGGCTTGGCGGGGAGAGCGCGGGGCGGCGGCAGGCTTGTCGGCGAAGCGCGAGTTAGCGAGCCCGCCCCTAGGCGCAGTGGGCGGTCGTTTCGCGGCAGGTTGTTGGGAAGGAGGTCTTTGGACGGGCTTTGGCGCCGCAGGTTTGGGTTTGGGGGGGTCGACAGGCGGTGTCGCGACGGCGGCGGGAGGGGGAGGAGGGGCTGCGACGGTTTCGACGACCTGAGGATTGCTTACAGGTTCAAAGTCGTCGAAGAACAGGTCGTCGTCGGTGCGGCCTCCGAATTGGTCGTCCATGTTGAGGTATTCTTTTCTAACAGGTTTGGTATCGTAACAAAAAGTCAAGTGCTTCAAACTGTAACCCGCCACAGAGGAGCTAAAGATTATTGGAGGAAACACAGGAGGTTTATCTGGTCTGAGAAGTTGACCCGAAGCTGTGGTGGCTGTTTGGACAGCGGCAAGCCATGTCGGATTGGGCAAGTGGGGGAGCCGAGTCGCGGAATGGGGAAGTGGGTGCGGCGGATTTATCCTCGGCCCGGCTGGGTGGCTGAGCCGTGTGTATACAGTGCGGCGCAAGCAAGCACATATCTACCACCTGTTTGGGTCGTTCATACTGAGGAAATCAGTTATTGTATCCAAATGCATCAATTCTCCTGATCTAGGTCATCTTGATGAGCTATCGAGGCCAGCTTCTCCCAGCCTGCTGACCAGTTCCTTCTGCAAGCTCTCGAGATTGGCCACAAGCGGAACCCCATACCGGGCACAGACGGCCTGGACGTTCCCTCGTTTCTTGTAATGCTCCGAGCACGCGACGATGGCCTTTCCAGACCGAGCACATAATCCTAGCTCGAGCAGGCTGATGTGAGCCTCCGTGTCCTGCTCGAAGAAGACGACAATGATGTCGGCCCTCTCCTGCATCTCCAGCTCCCACTCGACCTGGCCCCTGAACCTCTCGTCGGAAACATCCTCCCTCCAAGTGATGTCCCAGTCCGGCCGGAAGGGGTTGAAAACGGTCACGGGGAGATGAGAGATGGACTCGGCGAGATGTTTGCGCCAGTCTCCCTTGCTCGTAGTGCCGGCGAGAAAGATGGACTTCCCAATCGTCGTCGTTGCGGGCGGCCGTTCCAGAGGGCAAATGACCCTGTTGGGGGCTGATGGCGTGCTCTCCATGGCGTTTGATTGCTCGTCTAACGCGTGCACGGTGCCGGCCGGCTGGGTATTCGTTTGGCGATGAGCCGAACCTGGCCCCGTCGATGTAATTGCACAGCCCGGCGTGCTCAAATGGGACTTTGACAAGAGCTTGTTTTGGATGCAACCAGACTGGCGGCCCTTTTCACATTGATGAGAGAACTCTTTGAGGGAGGAGGTTCCCGCCAAAACCAGCAGTCAGCCTTGGAACAAGAGACGGTTGTCCTCGAGCTCTACCATTGGCCATTTGCTAGGTGGAAACAGCTATGGGGGGGGGGGGGGGGTGTATAGGGCCTAATGCATCCTTATCTCGTTGGCTCCCTCGCTTTCTTTTAGTGAACCCCACAACCGCCAGGGGCCGGGTTGAGAAGTTGTGGCCAGCTCGCCTGTGTGTGTAGATAGGTTGTCTTGCGTAATAAGACAACTCACCCACATCGAGACAGTTGTCTCTTTGATTCCGCAGGGTAGTACTTGAAGTATGGCCAAGTCGGATGTCTGATTTCAGGCAAGTGACCCATGGGCTTATGTGGATATTTCCCCAACGATTACTATCCATCCATCATGTACCTGTGCAGATCAAAGTATATACGATGGGATAGCCTACACAGAATGTAAGACACTCTCCCGCCCGGAGGCCGCGCTGGGCTGGCAGCGAGAAATGAGTGGCCTATGAGGAGGGGGAGCGGCCGATGGCACTCTCGCTACACCTTGTTTCTCCTTGTCCAACAGAGTCTCCGTTCACCGGGGCTCCAATTTCGTCGCATGCGTGGAATCTCCCAATAGGGCAGCTGAGGAGGACCCTCGAAGGTCACCATACGCACCCTGGACCGGGGCTTGTGCAACTATCTTGCGGTGAGACGGGCCCCACGATCGCTGAGGCCTTCTTCGCATCTTGCAGCACATCCCCAGCCACTCTAGGTCGCTTCGGCAAGCTTCCCCGGGGCCGTCTCAGCTAGGTGCTAAGTACTGCACAAACACGCTGACAGACAGGATTCGGTCGGGATGCAGGTCGACGCTTGGCAGGCAGGCAGGCCGCCGAGGCCGAGGCCCAACGCAATGGGAGCCGGCAGGCCGGCAGATATAACAAGTCAGTGATGGGCAATCACGCGACCTGGCCCGATCTCGCAACCCCTAAATGAACATGCCTCAAGCTCCGTCTCGGCTGGCCGTTTTCCTTTTCTTTTTCTTGCTTTCTCGAGTAATCTCGTTTCCGAACGGGCGCTCGCAGCTCTTCACCACAGGCGTATGATACCATCCCCTCCAATGTTGCGTCATGAAGCGGTGAGGGAGTCAAAGCCATCAGGACGTCCGTACATATAAGTAGACAAGCTACCCACCCAGTCGCGAGAAACTTGCCCCCCCACCTCCGGACATCGAAGCGGACTCGGTACTACACATCGTTGCGGAATCCTCCTCTCGTCGAATCCAGAACTGTGCGGGATAGCACATCACATAACGCCAGAGATGATGGGTGTGTACAAGTCGGGGGACCACGCTCCGGGCCCGGACGATTGCGAGCAATGCCGGAAGATCCAGGAGGAGGAGCTGGTCGGGCTGTCAGTCGGGTCCGAGTCTTCTGAGGAATACGAAGACGGTAAGTCTTTCAACTCTTTTTATTTTCAATAGGCAAACGACCTTGGACCTTCTCGAAGAGCCGGGGGGGGGAGGACGAAAAAAAAACATGAACAAAGCTCCCTAGTATCAAGGCACAAGTGCCCCCCGTACGGGTGAGAAGCAGAAAGTGTCATGAGACGACGGGTCCAGTCGCAAGTGCCAGGTTGCCCCTCCCCAAAGATACCTACAGCAGTGGACCTGGTGAAGGTAGGGAGCTAGAGCCCCAAAGACAGCCCAAGGGACCACAGAACCGATCCACTCAAACCCAGGAGTCTGGACACAGCCCACCCACCCTTCATACCTCTCCTCGCCTCTGGCTGTTCCGGGGGATCCCCGCCAGGGGGAATTGACAGTATCGTCCGCTCATTTCGTCATTCGCCATTTTTCTGTTGCGATACCGCACCCGCACTCATTTGTCGCCTTGTCTTGTCTCTCTTCTTGGAATGCGTCTCCTTCTTCCCTTCATACCGTTTCACCCGATCCAAAACCACGATCAGAAACCATCTGTAGTATCCTAACCGGCCCGTTGCTCTTCTCTGTCCGGTTCAGCCGTCGCCGCTGTCATTGCCGTTGACGTTGCTTGGGCTGCATTCTCTCGCTTAGGCTTACAACAAGCTGACAAGCTCCCGCCACCCACACAACAGAAGACACAATGCCCTCGGCCATCGCGCCCTCGGACCTGTCCATGAATCTGAGCGATACCGAGGACTACCCCCAAGCCGCCCCCGAACTTCTCCACAACCTCAAGCACGACAGCTCCGTCCTGGCCCTGGCTGTCAGCGCCGAGAACGAACGCATCTACGCCGGCACCCAGGATGGCGAAATCGTCGTGTGGTCCCTGGCCACCTTCCACCAGGACCGCATCGTTCAAGCTCATAAGCGGAGCGTGCTGAGCTTGTTCCTCACCCCTGACGGCTCCATGCTCTTCTCCAGCGCCGGCGATCCCATCATCAATGTCTGGTGCCCAAAGACCATGACCCGGCTGTACGAGATCTACAGTACCTACGACGTTGGCGACATTTTCTCCGTGGCCTATAGCGCCCAGCACGACACGGTCTACCTCGGAGCCCAGAACACCTCAATACAATGGGTCAGTCTCGCCGATCCCAACAACCGTGTGACACACGACTCTCCACAGCACCCCGACCGACGCAACCACAGATTCTTCGACTCGAGGGCGGTGGGAGGGACATCGACCCCGCGTCGCAACGACGAGAGATGGAGTCTGATTCCGCGGTCAGAGAAGGTGGTGGAGATACGTCCGGGAGCTTTGCAGATGTTCGCACACTATGGCTACGTCTACTCGATGCTCATGGCCAAAGGGCCCACGGTTCTCGTTGAACCGGACGAGGAGGTGCTCATCTCTGGCGGGGGCGACGGCACCATCAAGATATGGAAGCTAGGTGCCGAGGGAGACAACCAGGCGGCCGAGAACGACCGTGAGCCGGGTCTGCAGGAACTCATGTCGCTCGGCGCCGACGATGCCGAATCCGTCATGTCGCTTGCCATTGACGGGTCATTTCTGTACGCCGGCAAGCTGCAAGGGGTTATCGAGCTGTGGGACCTGGATACAAAGTCAAAGCTGAGAGTCATCAAGGGACACAAGGGCGACGTCATGACCCTGCAAATGGGCTGGGGTTACCTCTTGAGCGCTTCGCGGTCGGGTTCGGCGAGCGTAAGCCTCCCAAGTTAGTCTCCCTTACCGCCTGCTAACGACCTTTAGAAACACACAACTGCCCACTATGGAAAATACCAAGATAAGCAGGCGGCTGCCAACATCAGCCAAAAATACCAGTGCATCACACGCTGGAAGGCCCACGAGGGCAAGGCCTTGTCATCGGCTGTGACGACCTACAACAACAGACAATACTACATCACTGGCGGCAATGACGACGATGTTGCCATCTGGCACATTGACTGCTCGCCCTACGAGGAGCAAAAGGACACGGAGGAAGCCAACGACGTCATGATCAGGACCCTCGGCGAGTTTGTCTCCTACCGAACCGTATCATCACGACCCGAATTCGCCGAAGATTGCCGACGAGGCGCCACGTTTCTTGGCTCATTATTCAAAAGGCTCGGCGGTCATGTCGAGATGCTGAGCACGGAAAGCAGCCCTCACAACCCAGTTGTTCTGGCCAAGTTCGCCGGCACATTAGAGCCAGCCGAAGAGAGGAAGAAGATCCTGTTTTACGGTCACTACGACGTCGTACCAGCCGACACCAAGAAGAGCAAGTGGGAGACGGATCCCTTCCAGATGAAGGGCATCAACGGTTACTTGTACGGCAGAGGCGTCAGTGACAACAAAGGCCCGATCATGGCCGCTCTGTACGCGGTGACGGATCTACTGCAAGCGAAAAAGCTCTCCAACGACATAATCTTCCTGATTGAGGGTGAGGAGGAATCAGCCTCTCGCGGTTTTAGAGAAATCGTTCGCAAGAACAAGGACTTGATCGGCGACGTAGACTACATCCTCATTGCCAACAGCTACTGGCTTGACGATGAAGTTCCGTGTCTCACTTATGGTCTGCGCGGTGTTCTGCACGCCACTGTTTGCGTAGACTCTCATCTGCCCGACCAACATTCCGGCGTGGATGGCTCCTACATGAACAATGAGCCCCTGTCCGACCTCACCTACACGCTGTCGAAGCTGAAGGGCCCTGGCAACAGAGTTCTCATACCCGGATTCTACGATGACATCCTGCCCATTACCGCCGACGAGGAGACGCGCTACGATGATATCGCATCGACGCTTATGCGGCAGAACCCAGAAAATGGGCTCGCCGACAAGCTTAAAGCCGCTTTGATGGCGCGCTGGAGGGAGCCCAACTTGACGATTCATAGGTACAAGGTTTCGGGACCGGACGGCAGCTTGGTCAGCAGCCACGCGAGCGCCAGCATCAGCTTGCGTTTGGTGCCAGGACAAGAGGTCAACGACGTCATCTCGTCCCTGAATGCGTACCTCGAGAGCGAGTTCGCGACGCTCGAGTCAAAGAACTCGCTTACCATCAAGGTGGACAACAAAGCCGAGCCCTGGCTGGGTGACCCGACCAATGCCATCTTCCAGACGCTGGAGGAGGCCGTTGTGCAGGCCTGGTCCTCCGTTTTCAAGAGCAACGAGGCCGACGACGGCTTAGAGGGGGCACTGGAGTCGAAAGACAAGAAGCCCAGGAAACCGCTTTACATCCGCGAAGGCGGCTCCATCCCGGCAATCCGGTTTCTCGAGAAGGAGTTCAATGCCCCCGCTGCGCATCTTCCCTGCGGACAGTCGAGCGATTCGGGCCACCTGGACAATGAGCGGCTACGGGTGCTGAATCTGTTGAAGAGTAGGGAGATTATCGGGTCATTATTCGCCCGTCTGTAGGATCTGTACTAAAAAAGTTACATGGATACCCAAAAAAAAAAATCAGAACATCAACTAGGCATACATAATGTGCCTCATCTGGTTGTGCTTTGCTGGGCTGTTGAAATTAGTGTGCAGCTCGACTGACTCGTCCGGGGGTGTGTGCCATTCCGAACATCGGCCATGCTGATACGGAAAACCCATGCCGACGAGCTTCCCAATTCGGCCCCCCCCTCGGAGCTTATCTTATCATTCAGTAACGTAACTCCGGCGGACAATCAGACGCCGCCGATGCAAGGAGCCGGTGCAGATGGCACAAGACCACCCATAAACACACTTGCTTTGCCATCGCTAGGACGGGAGCTTTGAGAGCGGAGATTCACTTTTTTTATCCACCAAAAACGAAAAAAACCGTACTTTATTTTTGACAATTTTCGCAATGCAGTATAAGCGCCAGCCGCCTGCCGCCGCCGCCGTCAAGGTGAAACCGCGTCTCATCATCCATGGCGGCGCCGGCAACATCAAGCCGTCGAACCTCGCGCCGCCCGAGTACGATGCATACCGCCACGCCCTGCTAATGATTGTAAGTCTCACATCTCAATTGAGTTCTGCCTCCACCCCCCCAACCCTCACTCCTGCAGCCTACGGAGGAGTGCTGACGCAAAGACGCAGATCGGCAAGACGAGCGCCTACCAGACAACGCCGCTCGCGTCCACGGGCCGGCTGCCCTCGGCCCTGGAAACGGCGGCGCACGCTGTGGCGCTGTTCGAGGACATCCCGCTCTTCAACAGCGGGCACGGCGCCGTTTTCACGCGCGACGGCATCAACGAGCTCGAGGCGTCCGTCATGGTCTCGCGTGGCCGCAAGAAGCGCGGCGTCGGCGTCACGGGACTGCGGCACGTCAGGAACCCGATCCTGCTGGCCAAGGCCATCCTCGAGCACGGCGACGAGGACCTGGGGGGCCAGTCCGCCGCGACGGCCACCCCCGCAGCCGCCTTCGTCGACGTGCCGAGCGCGCAGGGCCACACGCTCCTCCACGGGGAGACGGCCGAGACGCTGGCCCGGCAGTACGGGCTGGCGCTCGTCGACGCGAGCTACTTCTTCACGCAGAAGCGGTGGGACGAGCACGTCCGTGCGCTGGAGCGGGAGAGGAAGGGGCAGGGGCCGAGCACGTGGAGCGCCGACGAGTTCCTGCCGCAGGGGACGGTGGGCGCCGTGGCGCTGGACGAGGACGGCGTCGTGTGCGCGGCGACGAGCACGGGCGGGCTGACGAACAAGCTGACGGGCCGCATCGGGGACACGCCCGTCGTCGGGGCCGGCTTCTGGGCGGAGGAGTGGGTCGAGGACGGCGACCCGACGGGCGCCTTCGGCGGTGGCGGCGGTGAGAAAGGCCTGGTGGTGCTCTCGGACGCCCTGCGGGGGCTGATGGCGGACTGCCTGCCCTCGCTGCGAACGTACGCGCCCCTGCTGCCGCCGCCGACGACGACGACGCGCGCGATCGCCGTCTCGGGCACGGGCAACGGCGACTCCTTCATGCGGGTGGCGGCGGGGCGGACGGTCGGCGCGGTGGCGCGGTGGAAGCCGCTGTCCGGGGCCGAGGCCGTGTCCTTCGTCTCCGGACCGGGCGGGGAGCTGCAGAGGAGCGCGGGGGAGCGGTGGCGTGTGACGGGCGAGGGCGAGGGCGGCGTCATCGGCATCGAGGTCGCGGTGGCGCGCGACGCCGAGGGCCGCGTCGTGGGCGCGCGGTCGGCCGTGCTGCAGGACTTCAACTGCAACGGCATGTACCGGGCGTGGGTCGGCGACGACGGCAGAGCCTACGCCAAGATCTACCGGGGCGACGTCGAGGGCGTGGACCTCGGGGAGCTGTGTGAGAAGTGGTGAGCTTTCACCTCGCGCTTCGATCTTTGCACCTAGATTATGGAAGTCAAGCCCCCCTCCCCCCCTCCCCCTTTGGAGTTTGCTTGGAATCTGGGTGGGGATTCAGCATTCGCGGGAGGGGCAACACGATTGATCAAGACGAATGAGTAGATGGCGACTTTGTTGGTACAATTTTTAACAAAACATCTCTATCCCACAGGTTCAGTACTCCTATCAAACATAAAAAGGGGGGGAGATGCCGTCCTGTTCCTCGGATCCAAGTCCTGGTCATGCCCGAGCCATCCCCTTGAATCTGCCCAGACAAATGAAGTTCCCGCACGCCCTCGATTCGTCCCCGGTGTCTAATCATCTTTCTGGGAGGGATGCGGAAAAAACGGTCGTTCCTCTTCCCCCCGTGTGTCCAGTCCTCGATAACTAAGAAACTTTTATAGTACATGGAACGCCTCTTCCCGCCTTTGCCATATGCAGATTAAGAGAACAGTGTCGTTCGATTTCGGTTGTGAAAAAACAGAGTAGATCGAGGCCTCCTGAAAAGGGGGGGGGGGGGGGAGGAGGAGGCGCTGAGCCGGAAGAGTAGAGAGGGGTTGGTGCTGTGTTGTATTTTCTTTCGTGGGGCGGCCGCTGGATGTCGCCTTCCGGTAAATGAAACATTAAGAGAGACGGGATCGGTTCGTCTAAGCCAATGCCTGCTCGTTCGAAGGCGGGGGCTGGGGCATCTGCGGTCGTATCGTCAGTGTCTTGTCTCTTCCAAGGTTGGATGAGGAGGGGGTGGGTTCCCCTTCTGCCAAACTCACCTCCAGCTTCGTGCTTCCGGCAAACATCTTCTGGAAGCCGATACCGACTCCTTCGATGACGGCGAGCAGAACCGCGCAGCCGATGGCACCGTTACGGGCAGCCTGGTTTGTTTTCTTGGGTCAGCCGAAGGACGCAACGCAAAGTGAGGAAGCTCGAATGCGTGTACGAACCTTGTATCCGCCACGGATGGCGAGAGCTCCTCCGGTGAAGAAACCGGCCGTGATCTATTCCTGTTCGTCAGAAAACATGGACATAGCCAAAGGGGGACCAAGGCCTCCGCCAAGTGGGAGTCTTACGCTGTTCCAAGGATCCTCTTTCTGGCGAATGCCCTTGACGGCGCAGTCGAACGTTGAGAACAGGCCACCCCACACGCCAAAGTTGCCGCCGAGGACGGGGGCGCGCATCTTGATGGCCGAGATGGCGCCGATGCGGCGCTCGCCGTACGGGCTGTTCCTGTAGCCCTTGATGCCGTGCCAGATCGTGCCGCCTATCGCGCCCATGGCGAACGCGCCGCCAAAGTCTGTTCCCTCAACGTCAGTCTGCGGGTCGTGGAGAGGGAGGGGGGGATGGGGCAGGGGACGGATTCGTCACCGACCATTGAGGATAACCCAGGGGCAGGGGTCGCGCGTGTGATCCATGGCGAATGTGTTTGGGTTGTGGTTATCCTAGGTGTTTGGACAATGAGCGAGGAAGACTGGGGGGACTCGTTGTGGTTTGAAGCAAACGAGGTTTACTGTTCGCGGCGGACGTGCGGGGGCGGGTGGTGGCGGTGGCGGTCGTGGACGTGGGAATTTCCGGCGAGGAGGGATTCTTTGTGACGCGATTCCGAGATTCAACTTTTGCGGGCGTGGCGGACGTGCATGCGATTGGGGGGGGGGTGAAGTGAGTGACGAACAAGTCGAAATTTTTCGGTCGGCGGCTTTTCGGAAATTCCGTCTGTTCTTTTTTTTTTTTTTCGGCAAGTCCTTATCTTATCGGGAGCTCTTATCCGGACCTCTCACAGGGAGCTACCTAGGTACGATATACCTGGCTAGGCAGGCAGGTAGGTAGCTTTGGCGGTACCGGGTCGGGTAGCTCTCACCTACCTATCAGAGATGTTGATCCATCTCGTTGGTGCCTGGACTCGGCAAGCATCGGTGGAAAAGTGAGTCACTCTGCCACAAACCGTCACAACTCTGAATGTCACTTTCTCGTTGATCCAACATGGCTGAATACGATGTTGACCCCGACTCTTGCAATGGGGGCTATTCCTTTGTGAGAGCCACCTCTCATTATGTTTCAGAAATTCACACCATTGTCAAAGCAGCATATTCCAAGTACATCGACCGCATCGGCAAGGAGCCAGCCCCCATGAAAGCCGACTACAACCAACTCATCGAATCCCACATGGTTTACGTACTCGAGAACGACCAGAGCGGCCAAGTGGTCGGAGCCATTCTTCTTCGGCATGATCCGGCGGCAGACGCACTCCACATAGACAATATGGTCGTTGCCCCAGCCGCCCAGGGACGTGGCTTTGGACATGCTTTCATGGAATGTGCCGAGGACGTCGCGAGGGCTTGTGAATGCACGAATCTGCAACTCTACACCAACGTCAAAATGGTTGAGAACCTCGTTATTTACCCCAAACTGGGCTTCGTCGAGACGGAAAGGAGGACAGAAGACGGGTACGAGAGGGTTTATTTCCGCAGGGATCTGGAGGCAGGCAAATGATGCCGCCGTTGATGAAAGGCTCGAGAAAACATACCTACTCGATCAGGCCCTTTAGACACGTGGGCACACGTGTCTCTGGTGTCACCAATGATTGTGGAAAGATTGGTGGACTATTGCGCTAAATCGGGCAATCCCGATTAACTATAGACACCTCCCTTGATAGTGATCGGGCGCCGCCAGGATCGTTAGTTAGGCTTTTCGAGAATACATCATCACTTTGCTCAGGAAACCGTATTCCAGATTTGTTGCCCCAGCTGCGAGGCCTGATATTCTATGATAACCCGAACCCCTCAATAAACCCACATTGCATCACCTATTGTTCCCTGTTGGCTGTTCAGCCACCATCAACGTCCTACTTCCAAACTCATCGACACAGCCCATACTTATACGCTACAAATCTCGTAGGGATACTTTACTATTTCTAGCAGGGAAAATAAAAAGACAACGGTTGCACCAATAGACCGGAAATATCTACCATGGACGCCGGAAACGAACAAGAAGACTCTGTGTCCGATTCTTCCTCAGAAACGACGGTCCCTGTGTCCACTCCTCCAACCTCTTTAGCCGCTGACGAGACCCTTGCATATGAACACAGTGATGTTCCGTGTCCGGGCCGTACTTTCCACATCATCGAAAGAACGACCTGCCGGGCGATAACCATCGTGGGGGACAAGCCGGTGCTCATGGGTCTCAAGGGGGGCCGCCATCCAAGCACGCTATGGTACTGTGTTGAGAAGAATGGGTACTATGGCTTCCAGAACCCGAGATCCGGGAGGTACATCGGCCACGACAGCGAAACCGGCATCCGGACCGGGGCTGAGATGCGTGGATGGGAGCTGTGGACGCCGCGGCAGCACCCCGAAGGGGGGTACCAGCTTCTGTCGCCGTGGTGGTCAGACGCGCTGATGGTACTGTGCGTTGCCAACGACGGAATCGGTCTCGCCAGACGAGGCCATGGCACGACTACTTGGGACTTCATTCGGGTCTAATCTGCTTGGCAAGGCAAGATATACACTTGCCAGGGAACATGTAGTAGGTATCACCCGCTATCGGAGTAAAAAACAAATTAATTCAGGGTGGACTCAAGGGCGGGACTTTGGTCTTGACCCAACCGGTGCTCGTGACTTTCACCTCGTCATCGTCCGGCCTATGATCCGTTGTCGGGAACCTGCACAAGATCCGGGCCACAAACGTCCGCTCCGCCGCCGGATCCGTACTGCACTCGACCTTCTGGGCCGCCCACGGGTGCCTCTCGCACGCGAACTCGGCCACGTTCTCGCAGGCGAGCGTGCCGTACCCCTTGCCCCCTTCCTGCGCCTTGTACTTACAGTGCCTATTGTCGAAGAAGTGCCTCTCCGCGTCCAACGAGGGGGGCCACGGGACGCTCTCGAGGCTTAGGGGCTTGTCGAGCAACTTCCAACCCTGCGGCTCCTTACCACAGGGCTCGTTGTCGACCTGTTCCTCCTTCACCCCCACAGGCAACATCCACCACGCGCCATCGATCTCGAGCATCCCGTAGTAATTGGTCATGACCGTGTCCACGTAGTAGATCGCGACGGCCTGCGAGGGCTCCGGGCCGTGTGGCTTCTTCGAGACTGGTGTCGTCTTGACGGTTTCTTTCGAGCTCGATGAGGCCTTGGCCGTGGCCGTGGATGCTGTCACGGGGGTTGGGTGTTTTACAGTCACCATTATAGTTGAGAAGAATGTCGTCCGGGCCGATGGACTTGTGGTGCTGCCAGATATCCGTAGGGTGTAATTGTCGGGTGATTTGGTTGGAACATCCGGTTTGCTGACAGTCGTCGAAAGGACCGGTCTGCTCGTAGCCGTTGGTGCCCATAGAGTTGTGGTGCTGACAGGTACCAGTGGGGTTGTATAGTCGGCTGATTTGGTTGGAACATCCGGTTTGCCCACAGTCGTCGGAAGGACCGGTCTGCTCGTAGTCGTCGGTGCCCATGGAGCTGTGGTGTTGACACGGGTCGTTGGCGGAACGGGATTGGTCCCTGGAGGATGCACGACTCCCGGAGCCGATGTTGATTTTGATGAAAGCGTGACGGGGACTGCTGGGATAATCTGGGGCAAGGACGTGGTGTGGTTGCCCGACGAAGGGGGTTTCCAGCTTGCCTGCGTGCTGGGCACGCCACTGGCAGACTGAGAGACGGCAGGGGATGCCGAACCTCCTGAGGACGTAGGGGAATCCGCGGGAGGTGCACCTTGGGCGGGAACCTCGCACATGGGTTCCTGTCTGCGCCCAGGCCGCATCGGAATCCCCGGCGGCTCAAATACCTGGTCCTTTAACGGCGCCCAGGCGTCCGATCGATCGCCAACCGGCTGTCCCTCAAACCACAGGCGCCACTCGGCCTGTTCATTGCAAGTCTTTGCGGGCTGATACTGCAGCAGAAACTTTCCCCTGACGGTGTTCCTGCACATAACCGCCATGTATTCTCGGAGTTTGTACTCGTTTCCGTCGTCGTCGGTCACGACCTTGTGACTGTTCCACTTTCTCATATGCTCCAACTTCGGGACGTAGGCGTTATAGTCCAACACCTCCAGTGGAATGTCGCCATATACGTTGGTTATCTCCTGCTTCAGTCTCTCGACCTGGTCCGGCATTGCGATCTTGCCCCGCTGAAGATGGATATGGTTTATGATTTCATGCGGAACAAGGCGGCCGTTGGAATCTTTGTAAATCACGGGGGTTATGCGGGCACGCGGCGTGACGATGAAAGCCCGCATGTTCAAGCTAGAAGGCGTCTCGGTGCCTCGGGGCACGTCGCCAAACATGACCCCCGCCTCGCCGAGCTCCGGGCGATCCTTCATCTCCGCCAGGCCGTATTCGTAAAATATGTGATCCGGGTCGCCGGGACTCATCCCGCGCGGGAGATATTCGTCGACCATCTCGTCGAACGTGGTATCGGGGTCCGAATTCTTCATAACGGTTTCCCAGATGTGGCTCACCCACGCGCCGCGGCGGGAAACCAGAATGATGCTAGTGCAGCCGTACAGCCCTTGGAGCGCAAGCGCTTCGACGGTGCTTTTAAAATGTACCCAGCCCGCACTTAGGGGGTAGTGATCATAGTGATGGACGAGTTTCGGACTGTACCTCGGTTGGACTTGACTGCCTTGAGCTACCCCCTCTATCTGGTCAGCAATGAAGCCCTCATGGTTCGGGTAGTCAGTCGGGTCGGTCCATCGTCCGAGCATTGGCTCGCCGCGCTTGAGGAGACCTTCCACAGCAGGGACGGGCCTTTCTCCCCTCTTCTTGGGGCAGGCTTGTCCGCCGCATGTGTCAGGACCACACAATGGTAAGAACGGCGTCGGTGTTTCAGTCGCCGTCACGGTGGTCGTTTTACCGATGGCACTGCACTCCGTGGCTGTCGTGTAGGCGGTCGTCGAGCAGGACGCGTCGGCACTGTTCCCTAGAACCGACTCACGTCAGCGGGTCTCTTGTCTCTGCAAATTCACCATCAGACTACCTTTTGTTACTGAACAGAACACGCTTCTGTGGGTGGCAGTAATAGTGACAGTGCACGAGGATGAAGAAGTCGAGGTTGTTGTTGACTGCTTCTCAGACTTGGTCGGTTTCTCGTCGTCATCCTTCTTATCATCGTCCCCTTCATCTTTCTCTTTGTCGTCCTTCTCGTCACCCTTGTTATCGTTCTTAGGCGGGCAGTTGCCTATTTTCAACCCGAAAAGCTGGATGCAGAACTGTGGCACGTCGATCTTGACGTTCGGGGGGAAGTTTATGAAGCAGTTGAAACAGACTATCGGGGGGCCGACGTGGGGGATAATGACTAAATCCAGCTGGCGATTAGCAGGATCGACAAAAGGTTCAACGGAGACTTACTTGGGACGATCGTGGGGTGGTTGCTCCCTGGGGAGGTGGTTGTGATATACGTGGGCGAGGTGTAAGTAACTCTCTCAAGAGTTTGAAAGCTTACCCCTGACGGGAGGGTAGTCAAAGTCAAATGCGGTTCATCAGTCAGAGTATCGGAACCGGTCGTGACTGAAGAGCTTGTGGTGGTTGAAACTGAAGTAAGGGTCCCTGAGCTCTTCTGAACGTTGATACCCGTCGTTGTACCTGGCGACTGACTTTTGTCACCAAAAAGGGAGGCAGTGCCATTTACTACTACAGACGTGGATGAAAACAGGCTTCCCATGGGAGTGGAGGACGGGGGGTTCAGCAAGGATGTCAACTTTGATGTTGAAGTGGTTGCCAACGATGTGGATACTGAGGTTGGCAATTGAATGGCGAACACACTCGTTAAAGAGGTTATCGTAGGGACCGCAGGCGGTGTTACCGATGAATCGGCGGTCTGAATCACGGCGATTTTAATCTCGACTCTTGTAGTGGTGGTGTTACCGATGATGATGCTGAGGGTGGTTCCTGCTACAGGTATGAATGTAGTTGATGAGATGTTTCTTGACCCCACTTCAGTACTTCCCGCTACAGGTATGGATGTTATCAAGGGGATGTTTCTTGACTTCACATCTGTCTATAAGGGCCAGTCAGGTATCTCATCTGCATCATGCAAGTCTTCCTGTAGCCTACCGTCGTGACGTTTGAACTTGGAGGGACCACCGGAATGGTGCAGGAACCGACCCCCAATTGACATGAGGTCTGGGCTGGTAGACTCCCGGCGGTACCGTTCGCGAAACGGGGAACATGGCGAAGTCGACTTGGGTCTGGCCCCGAATCTGTGAGAGACAACACAGTTCCGAAAACTCCGTAGAGGAACAACAGTGTAAGTAAAAAGTCAGTCATGTTACATGAGAATTCGACAAAACTCTGGCACGATTTGAAAAACGTGTCAGTGTAGGAAACTGCTCGAGGAAGCAGTATCGACGTGGGGTTGCGCCAATCGACTGGCTAGTTATTAAACATCGTGTAAGTGGGTTATTTCCTAAAGACAATTCCTTCAATGGCTCTCCCCGAGTCTGTTTGAATTGGGAGACTGATGGGCTCATATTCCTCCCTTAAGATACATAGAGGGTGAGATGGGTACCGTTCAAAGCGGCCACGATCTTGGCCACCAAGTGTTACACATCGAATTGCGACATCAATACCATATTATCCCATCGTTGCAGACAAGGGAAACCTATTCATTTATAAACAGCGCATGATTCGTATGTTTGCAAAAGCAGTGTCACAACTTACACGACATCGAGTCTACGGCAGCCGGAGAAAATGTTAGAAAAGCCTGTTGAAATTCATGCAACCATCTTGTTTGTGATGAAACGTCAGCTGCTTCTTCCGTCGGTAAATGTAACAGGCTACTGCGGGGATTTAATATATTTGTAAGACGTAGCGTAACCGCCATGGCAAGCAACTTCTTTGTATGCCGCCTCATATCAGCAATGGCGAAGGGATACCTGCGCGCGGTGTTACACACGAAGCAGTACCTTATGTTGAATGTAGCCAACGCCACCAAAGAACAAAGAACTAAGAGTGTATGCGAAGGGAAAGGGAAAGGGAGGGTCGAAGTCGAATGATGTGTATGAGGAGATCAATTCCCAGATTCCAGCGACTCGTTATTCAACGTTTTTCTTTTAGCTTATAAACTCAAATGATTCAATCTAGAGTGTGCAGAAACTTACCTATGAATGATATGGTAATTACAGGTGCGAAGCTATTGAAAGGAGTCAATGATGTGTACAAACCTTTAAGGCTCACTGCGAAATCACCATACCTCTAAGGCTAAGCTAGTAAATCCATGGAGCTACCATCATCTCACAAGCTGTGACGAGTGCGATCAATTTCCACGAAGTCGATGACCCTAGTCTCCCAAACACCCTCATAGAATTTCTTCTTTAGTGGCCTGCACTAAATCCGTGCTGATTCGGATGACGATAACGAGAACGCCTGCAAGATTGTGTCTGAGAGAGGTTTGGACCACAACATCATATTAATACAACATTAATCTGAAGGAAGACTACGTCTGCTTTTGGTGCCTCCGGACAGAATGCGAGAATATACACATAGATGATGTGGCAAAATAATTGGGAAAAAAAACCGGTTCGGTTATCTAGCGGTTACTGCGAGTTCGAAAACTAATTAGTTATATCTAGACTAAAGACCAACTGCCACGCTCATATTAATCGGCGTTTCGTGCTAACCGGTCTTGTATGGCATGGTGGGGTTTCCTTGCCGCGGGGTAGCTTGGAGGCGAGCCAAAATATCATGCATGATGCACCTCAGCAAGGCCTTTTAAGCAGCGGCGTCTCGCAGCTTTAGCCGTGGAGGATTTCCTTCCCACACATCAGATTGCATCCATTTCCATCCGGTCAAACTGGTATGCCATGAATCCCGAGCCAAGCCTGAAAGTGATCATAGTTGGCGCAGGCATCGGCGGCCTGACCTGCGCCATTGGATGCCGAAGAGAGGGTTTTGAGGTGGTGGTTCTCGAGAGAGCCAGCAGGATCATAGCAGTAGGTCCACCAGTGACGCTCGCATTATTCCATTGCCTCGCGATCCACGAATACAAACCCCCTAACCGTCATGTTATAGATGGGCGCGGGCATTCAGGTGCCGCCCAACGGCACAAAAGTGGCGCGACAGCTCGGGTTTCTGGACAAGCTACACCGGGTGGCAGACATAGTCGACGCGGTGGAACTCCGCCAGTTCGAGGACGGTAAGAGGCTATGCGAGCTCACCGAAGCACAGTGTCGAAGGAATTACGGCGATCCTTGGATGGTGGCGCATAGGGCCGATTTCCACAACGTGTTGTGGCAGACGTGCCAAGAGCTGGGGGTGAGCCTCAACTTGAGCATGGAGGTAGAGAGCATCGACTTTGAGAATGATACTGTGTACATGGAGGATGGAGATGAGATTAGCGGTGATCTCATCATCGGCGCCGATGGTAAGGCTGCTTGAATGATGCGTGATGAAAAGAACGACGCCTGACATGAGCAGGACCCCTGTCTGTATGCCGCGATCAATTCCTTGGGAAGGCTTCGCCTCTGATCGAGACGGGCGACGCGGCATATAGAGCAGTGCTCCCAATTGAGCACCTCAGGGCCCTGAATGACCCTCAAATCAACGATCTCTGCACGCACAACAAGATCTTGACGTGGCTGGGACCAGGTCAACACACTATATTTTACCCCGTCAGAGGCGGACGAGAGATCAATCTCATCTTGATCCGGCAAAAATACAAGGAGCCCGAGCACTCGTATATTGAGGGCGACGTGGGAGAGATGAGAGACTTTTACAACGGATGGGATGAGACGTGAGTATCTTACGTATCTTGTTACTGCAAAATGACGTGATGTGGCCAGTTAAGATGGGCTAGGAACTAAGCTGCCGAGGCTTGGTCCGGGTTACTGGGGTACTGACACTGTACAGACTGCAGAAGATCGTATCTTTGGCACCCCGAGTTCAAAAGTGGATGATCCGCACACCGCCCAAGGTAGATCTAAAAAGCAAAGTATGAACGTTCAGTCCCCTTTCAATGCCTCTCTACGGCATACGAAACTCACAGATATCAAGCATCATTTTGTTCTCCTCGGCGACGCTTTTCACTCGAACCTCCCCTACCAAGCACAAGGCGCAGCCATGGCTATGGAGGACGGCGCCTTCCTCGCCAAGCTACTCGGCTTAGCGAAAGAACACGTACAAGGCAAATCTGCGAGAGAGAAAGAAACTGTTTCGGGACACTCTCAGAAAGACATGAGAGATGAGTCCGTAAGGGAAAGCGAGCTCAAGAAGCTGGTCCCCGCCGTGCTTCAAGCGTACGGAGTGTCCAGAGGGACCCGAGCATCTGACGCACTACGCGGCGAGGGTAGCACGGAGCCTCTTCGAAAATGGTTCCATGTGCCCAAAGGACTCGAGCAAGAGGCCCGAGATGCCGAGTTGGCAGGTTATGACTTCGATGACGAGTCGTCGCACAAAGCATGGCGATTGCATTGCGATTCGGTACTTGGGTATGACGCACTTCACGAAGCTACTCAGGTGGCCAAGACCGACTTGAAAATCGGATGAGGTATGCTGATGCATCTACATTCATCGCATTCTCGACAGACAATGCGCTACGTTCTATATACAAGCTTATCGACTTTTGACGGTGGTCAAGTGCCATAGGCGGACCAATCGACCAACAATTAAACTTCATGTAATCTAAGAAGCAAAGCCCATTTACTCACAGAGCCAAAGTACTTTTCCAGATCTCCACGTAAATGCTTAATGATAACTGCCATGAAATCGTGAACTCATAACGTCTCAGGCATCTCTCGTATACTCCGACTTTTGGCGCCAGACGTGGCCGTATCTCATAATAAGCGCCGGGATGGGCGCCAGGCAAATGCTCAAGACCCCAAGCATCGTAAATCCCCAACCGTATCCGAACCTCTCCATCATAGGCCCGCTGGTCAGAGGAAGGAAGGTGCCGGCGAGACATCGCGTCACGATGACACCGGTCATTGCGGAGGCTGAGTAAAGGCCAGTAGCGTCGACAACGTATGACGAGATCGGCAAGGACGCCATGAGCATGGTGAAGCCGAGCATTGCTACCGATAGCAGGAGGTAGCCCACGGGGAGGTGTAGCTCTGCAATCCAGCCATATGCGATGAGGGACAGGGGCAGGGTGAAAGCGCCGATGATGGCCAGCGGGAGACGGTACTCGGGGCGTCCTACCGCGTCGTTGCCGCGGAGCACCACGTATATCCTGTCCAGACTGAAGTTGCTAACTAGGACACTGATGAAGGACCCGATGCCTGGATTGTGTTAGTGATAAATTCGCTTCGTCGCCGGACGAGCTACGCATGACACGTGAACCGGGAACTTACTGAATGCCATGAATGAAAGGCCGGTGAGCGCGGGGGAGAAGCCGTAGACGTCCTGGAGAATGATGGGCAGGCTGACGGACATGACGTAAAAGTATGCAAAGGTGATGCAGCCGAAGAAGGAGAGGCCCATCAGGACGCCGGACTGGAAGAGCACCTGGAAGGGCCGCTTGACCGACTCCCAGAGCTTCAGTAGACCCCTGTGGTCGTCGACGCCGGCCGGGTGCAGGGACGGGCCGTGCTCATCGGCGTGGCGGGCGGCGCGGCGGCGCAGGATGGTCATCTTGTAGGTCTCGCGGAAGCAGGTGAGGAAGAGCAGCTCGCAGAGGGCGGCGAGGGCAGCACTCATCCACAGGACCTGACGCCAGCCGAGGGTCTGGGCGATGGCACCGCTGATCATGGGGCCGACGGCGCCGCCGAGGAGGGGCGCGACCATGACCAAGCTCATGGCGGAGCCGCGGCGGTCCGGGGCGAATATGTCGCCGATGATGGCGGGGCTCAGGACATTGGAGGCGACGGCGAGGCCGGTGAGGCAGCGGGCGGCGATGAGGAGCGGGGTGCTGGTGCTGAGGGCGGCGAGGACGGTGGCGGTGATGAAGAGGATGTTGGCGGCGTTCATGACGGGGTAGCGGCCGTAGATCTCGGACAGGGGCGCGATGAGAAGGGGGCCGGCGGCCTCGCCCAGCTCCCAGATAGTGACGAGCAGGGCGGCCGCGGGGGAATTGATTCCGCCCTCATTCTGGTCCAGGTCCGCTATGATGTGTGCGGCGACGGGCACCACAGAGATGCAGGTAAAGGTGCTGCGAGAGCAATGGTCAGCCTGGAGGGTTGCTCTTCACGAAACGGTGGCAGAAAGAAGACGAGGAGCGTACACAGTGAAGGCCGTGAGGGCCAGCAGACCGACAATAGTCCACTTGAAGGGCGTCGGCCACTCTCTGGGGTTCTCAGGGTCGCCGTTGGGGTCAAAGTCGAGCAAATGCTTCGACAGGTCCTGCTCGCAGAGAGGGTCCTCTACGAGCAACGGCTGGTCCTCTGCCACGGTCGCCATGGTCATGTCTTGTCCAGGCGGGGAAGTTTCTGGTTCTGCCAGGCGCAAAAAGGAACACGCAGAATTATGCTTGAAGAGGACCCGATCATCAGCATGCAAGCGTCTGTTGCGTGCTCGCCCCACGTCAGGGACTAAAAGAAAGAAAAAAAATCATGGGTGGCAATAAGCGGGCCGGCGTTGGCAGTCCCACATGCATGTCAGCCACTATACTAAATGATTCATTCACAGACTACGGAGTATAGAGTATGTATGTGTACGTGTAGCCAGGCAAATGTCATTAGTGTAGTACAAATGCTCCTTTACCATGTTGCAAGATATCAGGCGAATCAGGTACCTCGTCACACCGCGGTATCGTTGACTTCCGCCTTGCATTGTTGACATATAACAACCGGAGCCGAATTGTGATAGGTTACTGTAGTATGTACCCATTCAGGATCTGTTCGGTCGTTGATTGGCTGTGGAATCCGAGCATCCACACCGGGTTCTGTCGGCACCTCATCGTTCGTAGCGCGCTGGATCATTAGGACTAAAACCGTATAAGTCACCAATCCAAGCACGTCTGGATTCTCTTGGAGTAGCTATCGGGCCCTAGAATTATTGCCGAGGAGTGAATGCAAAAACTTTGAATAACTAGATCTCGGCTACTGCGCACGCATACCTACTCGGCCGGCATACACGCTGTCTCCTCAGCGCAAAGACAAACGGACAGTCTAGCCAACACCTCCCCAGGTCCTTCTTATTTTTCATACATAAAATCCCAACATAGGCTGAAGAGTAATAGAAATAAATTGCTGGTCAATTTGTAAATATAACTGAATAGAGTAACGTACGTTCAAATAATACATCCTTAATGATTGAGGTCATTGTGAACCTGTGTAGCTGGAACGGCATATGTAGTAGTGGTTCTAGTATTCCGTAAAGGTAATGACTGATCAAATGGGGTCATCGCCCTGTGATGGACTTCGATGTTTGCTGACTTAATATTTACAGCCGATCCTCACTGCGTACCTCATCACATCATATCTCAGTAATCCAACAGATGACTGCTTATAGCCTCTGCTATAAAGCATATAGTATAGGTGCAAATAAGGTCAGCAATCAGAAGTCGATATGAATGTCATGAGAAGAGACGTTTACCATATTTTTGAAGCCCAGTACCTCCCTTGATCGGCACCACAGGTTCAATCTTGCGGGCGTGAGACACTTTCCAAACTAAGGCCGCCACATAGTGGTCGCAACTGGGTTGGAGGCACCCTGAATCTGCAAGCTAGTCACACCAGCTGAAAGTTTATGGGCCCAACAGTGAGAGCTGCCTCCTTAGGTATAGTAGGCTTCCGGATCTGACAGGCTAAATGGGCCGGGTATACCGACATGTGAACAAACAATGCAGCGTGGCGAAAATACGCGGCGAGAGAGTAGAATGTGACAGCAAAGCAGTAAATAGCGACGAGCAAGAAAGTGGGGGCGAAACGGCACAGACAAAAAATAAGTATTAGTGAGCAGAAAATGTGTTGGTTGGTTCTCCTCGTGAGTATAACAGGAGGAGATCGTCTGACATACCGAGCGGCCAATGCTTATTGCGAAGGACCTTTTACTTGTTCTGGCTGTGCTGAATAAGATAACGCCATGCGACAGGAGACTAGCACCGCTCTTGGGCTTGATTTGATGCTGGCGGTTGAGGGGCCGGTAACGACTAAGGAGTTGTCTTGATAGGTCGTAGAATACAGGCTTCTAGACGCGCTTGGTTGCTCTCATGACGTGGGTGTTAGCAATCTTGATGCTACAGTCCCCCAGAATGCAAGCTTGGGTTGAGTAAGTTGCAGGGGGCGGCAGGCGTCGTTTGATGTACTTAATGAAGAAAACCTTACGTGGGATGACCTGGGGTTATCCGAGTTTTTTATCCTGTTGGAAAACAAAAAAAGGCTTCAACAGTGTTATGTAGTGATGTGAAATCAACTTCATTGACGCCCCCCCCCCCAACCCCCCCTCCTTCACAAGAACTATCCTCTCACGTGGGCGTTCCGCTTTTGGGGGAGTTTGGGCTTCCTATCGCACTCCTTGTTGCCCCGTTGACAGTTCGTAGCTTGCTTTCAGCATATCTTAACATTATATTCCTGAAGAACTACTACAGCTATCGTAAAAAGAGGACGTTCTGAGAGGAAGCTAACGACCTTTCGCCACAATACAGATCAATCTATTATGGATTTCATCTTCGCCCGACGTGATTTGCACTTCTTACACCGCCCCGTCAACCTGTGTCGACATGAAACTTCGATGGTGTCCTTGTCGTTCCCCTTTTCTTGATCATCAGCGGTCTCTATATAAGTTTCAAAATTACTTTCGGAGTCACTTGGCGAAACGTGTTGATGGAACTGGAAACAGTTATCCGGCCTATTGCGAATGACGAAATCCGAATCGTCCTGTGTGTTGGATGCTGGTGTATCAATATCTGCTAATATGTGAAAATGTTAGCCCAGGATTGAAATGAAGATCGCCCGGACCTTTACCTCCAGTGGCCTCAGAAGACTCGGTCATAGATGGTGCTGTTCGACATGCTTCAACACGTCTCAGCGTTTCAATCATAGTCTTCAATCTAATACCATATTTCTCTTGGACTGCAAATGACCTTGACTGTCAGGTTGTGTTCACATACCTATCGTCCTCGCCAAGAACGGGTTTCTCAGACTCTTCTGAAGCCTGCTCAACTTCAAATATGGTCTTCAGTTTTGACAAAAGACATTCTTCAACTGCGTACAGGCCGAAATTCGAGATGAATCCTTGCAGAGCGTCCTATGCAAATCGCCACAGTTAACGCAGCTGCAAAACACGGTCTAGGTCATTCGGAAAACAAATAACATACCTCATAATAAGCCGTCGTGTAATCAGAGGCGAGCTCACAGGCTTGGCGATGTAAGTTGCTCTCGATGTCGCAGGCTGTTAGTAGTTCGTCCCAATCTTCCGAGCGGTTCGCCTTGAAGAACCCGATTTTTTGTTTGCCCCCGGTCAATCTTTGGGCTTCGGTTTTAGCCTTCCGCCGGGAATCCTGGAGGCTCCATACGCGCTGGATAACGGTACGATTATATATGAGTGGATGTGCGTAGCGATAAGGGCGCATCAACTCATCGACCTTTTGGCGGAAGTCTTTGATGACGGTCTCCAGCGCCGTCTCCACATCACCGGAGGCTCCCTCGATGTTTTTCGTCCATCCAATGTAGCCAAGAATTTCCCCGACACATTTTCGAACACTGTATGTGATGTCCGTTGTAGTCGCCTGCACTATCTGTTCCCATGGCCGGCATCGAGACATAAGTAGCTCGGAAACGATGGTTGGACTCAGCATCCCAGGCAATCCACTGTTCCAGCTTGATTTCACCATGCTCTCGGTTTCGCTGGAACCATATGGTTCTGTGGATCCTTCTGATATATAGGATCTCTGCTGTTGCATCCTTTGGTCAAAAAGTGCAAGATGCCGTTGGATATTTGATAGTAGCCTGTTGTCAAAAGAATACGTGTCTAACTTGGTAATATTATTAAAAAAGGGACTTGAGTAGTCGCCACTCACGGCAGCCGTTATCAATAAAGAGAACTCTTTACTAATCGTGCTTGACGTAAGAAATTGCTTAGGTGATTCATTTTGCAATGGGCTGGGGCCTTGAAATTCTTTGTTAGACGGTCCTCGCCATGTCGCCTCCAGATTCTGACGTATGTCAGGTAGGTGAGCGAGAAATCTGTCGAGTAGCATATCCTCGAGATATAGGCAGAAAGCTTCTGCACTGAGTACAGGTTCTCTCAACGTATGCCAGAGCGCTTGTAGTGTGCCATCGTCGTCGATATCCGTGCTATATTTGAGTATGCGCCTGCCAAGGAAAAGTTTGCATCTTCGTCGCCTGATAATCTCATGCTCATCAACACTCAATTCACCCAAAACTGGATAACCCATCAACGCAACAGCCAAAGTGCAGTTTCCATCAGGATCAAGCTTCTCAGCAAGGTCCATTCCAGATTGGCTATTAGGGTCGAATGGTGCGAAATCGGTGGCAAGTATAATGTTCTGAGGACTGTGATAAGATGTGACTGCATCTTGTTCCTCAGATAAGTCGGTCGTCCAGGAGGGCAAATCTATTACCCGTATATTGCGCTGACCGGGGCCGTAGATCTCGATATTGATGGTGATTTTTGAAGCACTCCATCTTGATTCGTGGTTGGTCATATGCCGTCTCTGTTCGGCGCTTATTACTCTCAGGATTCTCTTCAAACCTTCGGTGGTGTAGCACTCTTGTATATTTCCAAGATCGTATCTGCACTGCTTCGACATTGCTTCTTTCTCAGGCGGTGGGTGGATACTGGCTTTGATCCTACTTTTGGAGGCGGGATGAAAACCAAAGTGGATAGGCAGTCGGTTGCTAGCGTAGTCGTTTGGAAACGTTAGACCGGAAATAACTTCTAGAACGACAGACTTGCTCTCTGGCGAGCCGCAAAGAACGAAGCTGGGGACGACATTGGAGTCCCCAAGAGTCAGCGAGCACAGCTCTCCGAGGGCGGCAAGCGCTTCCTCGCGATCTTGGATTCGGCTATTCATCCTGTGAATGGGACCAAAGTGGCTGTTAAAGGATCTTCTTCTCGAAAATAGACGCTGTTGAAAGTGCGGATGCTCTGATTGAATACCCATGAGCCTCTTATATGAATAGTGTCTACCTTGCTCACCTCACATATGGTGTTTGATATTGATTGTGGAGCATTGATTCTTTTGTGAAGGCAGCAAATCAGCATCAACGTATCGCCCCTGGAAGTAATTTTCGACCTCCAACGAATCAATTTGCGTGATGTTGACAAGTCAATGTAACCATCAAGTGTTCATGCGCTTCTTCCTGGTGGTCATTCAAAACTATCACCATTTCGGCCTATGATCGGCAACATGCGAAGTTACATAAAGTTTGATATTTAAAGTTTAATACCGAGATCTTCGAATGAAAGTAACAAACCCCGCATTATTCATGATCGGGACACAACCTGCATACCACGAATAAAAATTAAGTAATATTACATGTCCTATCTCAAATGTCTAACTAAGATCCAGCTATTGAACCTTAGTGCTGAGGGAATGATTAGTAGCTGTCATGTCGTATGACTGTTAGTTCAGAAAATGAGGAGTGTTATTCCAATTCGAGTGACACGCTCGTAAGATTCCATAGCAAAGCCTGGCATTATTGAAATTACAGAGCGAACTCCTCCAGTAGCGGGAGATCCCAGTCCATGTTCAAACGGAAAATGGGATGATAATAAGATCGGTACACGTCAGATCTTGTCTCAGAGGTTTCTGCTAGGTCAAAAATCATCCATGACGTATTATATAAACCCGCAACGCAGCCTAGCTTCAAAGTCAGCCGTGTGGATGGATAGCATTCTTATCTATCAACATGAAAGTATTGACCAGAGAGCAAAGCCGTGCAGAGTCACTACTAAATTCGCAAAGTACCGACTTATTGGAGCAATAAGACTGCTTGTCCTGTTTATTCGTACTGAATAAAGTGTGCAATTCTCCTATTTACGTTCTTCTGTTTCATCGCCGCCTAGTCTTCAGAGAACTACCTGCCAAGTTAGCGGCACTAACGCTTGGTCCGCACATGTATGCAAATGATATGAGGCTGTTTAGATTGCAACTGGGTAATTGTGTTGGGTGCATCCGTACATTATTCAGCCTATTTGAGCGCATCGTCTGACCTTTGAACATATGGGTGGTTGGGGCGTTGATATCTCACAGCACAAAACCCTGACGTTGCAATATGCACGTAATTGGTTCTTAATATCATCCTAGTCTCTGCTTGTGATTCTGGAACGTTTTGTGTAGGGATGTCATCCAAAATTTTCAGGGGGTGTACCCCATCGTGGATGATAAAACCGGAGCTACCAGCCCTACGCCATGGACACGTTTGCCCCCAATCGAATCAGGGGCTAAGCACGGTGCTTTAGAACCCGAAGTCTTGCCTGCCGAAGGAGCCATATGAGAATGTAAACTATGGAAGACTCAGATCATGATGGGTATCTTGTTGAAATTGATATCGTAATGCCTGGGCCGATTCCATCGTACAATAGAAGTTTACTCTGTCTCCTGCTTACTATGCTCGTTATATGAACTATCAGAAATGGCTATCGTGCGTTTTCCTTTTCAGATGTAAAAGTGACTACACTTTTCCATTGCTTTTACGCCACAGAGTTCCCGCCTCCTGCAAATAAGACCCATAAAGCTTGATGGCGTTGATGCTTGCAACATTGTCAGTCATACCAAGTAAAGATCTGTCGCAAAAACGACGCCGTTAATTACGGGCAGTAATTAACGCCTAATATGTCCTGTGACAAGGTCTAAGCTCGAGGCAAGCTGTTCACTTACTAGTTAATCTTGTCTAATTTCTCGTTTGTACTATGGTGCCCATCTGTAGGCCGGCCAACAGGGAGCAGCAGCACGTTTTTCTTCAGAATCCTCTTGAAATCAAGGGCGATGGGGATACTGCGGGAACATTAGATGTGAGGTCATGTTACGGCTTACAACTCCCCGGGTCTTGGCTTACCTGCCACCCTCACACGTCATAGCCGGATCGACACCCCAGACATTCTTTGTTGCTTTGATAGCGGCTTGGTAGTTCCAATGACTAGCATCCTCAAAGAACCAATCGTTAGGGTAAGCTTCAATCTCTATGTCATTCTTGCTTCCGAGTCCATCGAAACGTTCTTGGATGTACTTCCGTACGATCTGATCGATTTCGTCCGCCTTCATGAAGGGCACAGTCCGAATGCTAAACTTGCCCACCAACTTGGCGGGAATTGAGGTGACAGCCCCAGCGCCAGGCAAAGCGTTCTCGATCCGATGCAGACTCAGGGACGGCTTCTTCCATCTATTAAACATAAATGTAAATTCAGTGAAAACTGTAGGCGGAACATGAAAAAGACTTACCGAGCAATGAGTGCGTCAGCCTGGTTGTCGTAAAGGCTCCTTCCACCAGTTCCACCGTACAAGGACTCTTCGGATATGTTCAGCTTCTGGTAACTCTGGTATTCCTTCTCCGTGACGTGTTGAACGTTATCATAGATCCCAGGTATCAAAATCTTCCCATTCGAGTCCACCAACGACGACATGATGTTCACCATGTCAACCATTGGCTCGGAAATCTGACCCCCAAAGCCGCCGCTGTGTGCATCCTGCTTCGCGCCCGTGATCGTTACAAGATAGAAAATGATGCCCCTCAAGCCCTGAGGGATGCTAATCTGCTCGTTGCTGACCCAAACAACATCGGCGATGCAGACTACATCAATGTCGGAGAAGTACTTATCTGCCTCGTCCTCCAAAGCCTCTCGGAGACCGAAAGACCCGGTTTCCTCCATTCCCTCGAAGCAGAAGACCAAATTGGCCGGCACTTCCAAACCAGCTTTCTGGAAAGCCTCTATCATGTTGATCCACCCAACCAGAGGGCCCTTGTCATCCGAAGTGCCGCGGCCGCAGAGCCTGCCACTTTCCTCGACTGTCATTTTGAATGGCTCGTGTTTCCAACCGTCTTCGAAGGAGGCAGGTTGAACGTCATAATGGCAGTACACGAGGACTGTCGGCTTTTCGGGGTCTTTGCCATACCGTCCTAACACCAAGGGCGGAAGCTCGAGCTCGGCGTTCTGTTGTTTACCCAGACTCTTGAGTCTCACGTCGATCCCGACAGCTCTCATCTTGGCGGCGACCCACTCACTCATCTACGTTGCGGTCAGTACCAGAAACCTTGTAGCCGCTGGCTTTTACTTATGTTTTGGGATTTGATTATGCACCTAGTTCCGTACCTCGAACACGTCCTTTCTCCGGTCTGCGTAGGCAGAGATGGATGGAATTTTGACTGCATCTCCAAGTCCTGTTGCGCATTACCGTATGAGTATTTCGAATTCAGTCTCACACCCGACAAGCTCCATTTAAACTAATTTACACTTGTTTACTTACTATCGATGAAGAGCTTCTCGAGCTCATCAACTCTGAAAGGGGTCAGTATCGAGGCTGTAAAGAAGAAGAAGAAGAAGCACAATACGACTGAACTCACTTCGCATAGAAACCAGCCAGGCCATCGCTGCCGTACTTTGGAATAGTTGAGGCCATTGTTCAATGTCTGTCGACAGGTCCTGGGAATGCAGCTATTCGACTTGGTATCCGTCAAGGAGCTATTTTTGGCGGTTGATAGAAGAGGGGAAGAGGGGAAGTGGACGCATCGTATCCTACCTGGGCTTAGCTACAAAGGGCCCACGTTGTACCGAAATCGGATACTGGATGCAATTGATTGATTGGCAGCGTGGGGGGCAATGTCGTGGTCCACATTCTCTGTAGCGTGCAAGACGTGGTTTGGGAGTTGGGAGGGTAGTCGAGAGCAAACGATCTATCAACAACGAATTTCCAATACAAAGAACGACAAATGATCTGTAAAGTCTCAGGTCAAAAGTCCGACTACACCGATAACGATAACCCAACGAAGAGTCGAAGAGGGGACCCATTAATAATAGCTCAAGGTCAGTTCACAGTGAACCACCAAAGGCCATGCGTCTCAACCATCTACTATAACTTTCAGTTGGCCATTCTCATTGGTTTAGCCGGACTTTTGACCTAGTACCGTAGACTTTCACTTAAATAGGCTGGCGTGCACAGAGCTGAATAACTCCCGAGTCATCAGTCTTGATACTTGCCCTTTTATCAACCTCACTCCCAAGTTTCTTCCCGTGTTATTGGGTCGTCATCCATCGAGGGCTAAGATGTATTGCTATGCTTCTAGCACTCGTGCTGGACTATATGCGGAAAAGGCCGTTCAGTTTATTCATCGTTTGGGTGGGGATTTGTCCGAAAGTTCGGTAGCAGGTAGCCACGGCCCGGCCTCGGGTGTGGAGTAACGAACCAGTCATTACGGGGTTTATATCCTTGACGCAGTCAATACTATCCGCACCGATATCTGTATATGCCTGGCGCTATATGTATTATTTCAACCGGCTGGAAAGATTTGTGGAACCTGTTTAATAGTATAATTCGTTAGTAAACTATGTTAAGGAGTTGATCGTCTTGCTTTGTATGTTAATGCAATTCATGGATGAAAGGAACACACATCCAGCATACCCGTCTGTTAAGGTGAGGCATCATGCAAAGCACTGGATTTGAAATAGTCTCAGACCGCGAAAGCTTTCTTTTGGCTTTCGGGGACTTTTTTTTTGTTGAATCTTCAAGCCTTGCCTTGACTTTCTAAGCTCATATCGCGTTACACTGTCTCACACGTGAAATTGCCCTTTTCTCTGGTGCCTACACGCACTGAGCGTACCACTCGTTCCAAAGCTTGCAGGTGTACGGCAGAACACACTGAGTCGGGCCGTTCCAACCCGCACCACCACACTGCTCAAACTGCTTCGCTAGATTGGTCGCCGTAGGAGCCGGGGAGGAACTGGTGGCGGTCCGGGTCGCGGAGGTAGAGGATGTCACCAAAGTAGTCCCAACAGAAGATGAGGAAGAGCTCACGATGACCGCAGAGCTGCTGCTCGATGGCCCGGCAGTCGCTGTCGGAGAAACAGACGTCGACCCGCCACCAGAGGAAGGAATGACGCCTGAGGCATAGAAGACGCCGCGCCCGTTGGTGCCGATGTATACGAGATTCTCCTCATTGTTGGAACCGGCAATCTTGGCGCTGTCAACGGCTCCAAAACTCTGGGATCCTTGGAGGTCCGTCCAGGATACGCCGAGATCGGCGCTGCCGTAAAGGCGTCTGCCTGCGGGACCGGTGCCGAAGGCGTAGAGGTTCCAGGTGGAGCCGGAGCCCTTGCCGAGGGACACCTGGTGGGTGTTTGTGAGGACCGTGGAGGCTTGGGTAAAGGAGGACCCGTAGTCGGTGCTGTGAAAGATTCCGGCATTGGTGGACATCCAGACGTCGCCGGCTTTGATCGGGTGTGCCTCAATGTGACTGATACTTGTGGCCGACCCGAGGGAGCCTGCGGTGGAGAAGGTCGCCCCGGCGTCGGTAGAGCGGTAGAACCTGGAACCCGAGGCGCCGTAGAAGACGGTGTTGTTGCGCTTGTCGCTAGCGATGACGGCGCCGGCGGGGATGCTGGAGACCACTGCAAGGGAGCCTGCGTTGGCGCTTCTCTGCACGCCGACCGTCGCCGTCGACCACAGAATGACGTCGGCGTCGGCCGAGTAGGCGACGGAACCGCCGTACTGCGCGGCGCCGGCGGCCGGGCTGACCTTCCAAGTCGCGCCGCCGTCGGAGCTGACGGCCAGCTGCGGGGTTCCGACGGTGTTTCCGACGCGGACAACGTTAGCGACCTTATTGCCTGCGTAGTCGACGCTTATGGAAGTTGCCCACATGGGGTCGGTCCAGGTGGTCTGCGGTGCCGTATCAATGTCGCTTCGGGCCTTGTAAGTGAATCCGTTGTTGTCTCCGGTAGCGACGAGAAGCTCCGAGCCACCGGGAGTGCTGGCTAGCTCCTGGATGGCCATCTCTTCGATGCCGTCAGCCAGGGACTGGATGTTGACCTTTGCTCCAGTATCCCAGTTGGTCAGGTCATGGCCGCCGAAGATAGTGAGGCCGGTGCCCCACAGCCAATGGTCGGAGTCGGTAGGGTCAATCTCGAAGGACTCGATCATCCAACCCAAGTCCTTGGTATCGACATCGAGGAAGTTGGTCTTGATCCAAGGGGCCTGCGATGCGTCAGTGTTCAAGTTCTGTTTGATTTCTATTGACTCATCCTCCAAGCTCTTCGTTATCGGGGGCTTTCCTACCTTTGGTGAAGTCTGGACATAGCTGAAGTTCTGGTTACCATCGGTACCCCATGTCCAAAGTTGTTTCCAGGTATTGCCGGAGTCAGTTGATCTGAACAATTTTGCGTCGGGCCACCAGCTGTTCAAAGATGCCACAATCAGGGTACCTGGCTTTTGGAGGTCCACACTCAAGCCACCTGAGTTTCATTAGTACTTCAAGTTGACTCTTCAAGAAAAGCAACGTTTCCAAATGAATCTATGTTGAGGAAACGATGGGCGCAGAAATGTATCAACTCACCAAAGCCGTGGTACAAGTCTGCGCCAGAAACCGGGGTTATGTCTTTCCAGGTGCCAGCAGTGATGTCATATCTCCAGACGGAACCGGAGGTACCGTCGTAAGGCCCGGTTCCGTCAGCGTAGCTTAGATATAGAGCCTTAAGAGGTTGTCAGTCTAGTACCAATAGCAATCGTCCAACGTAGAACACACCTTCTCGGCAGGCTGGATTCTGCCCTTATGAGGGAAGTATCTTCCCGGTTGGCCGGCAACAGCGGACCAAGTAGAGCCGGCATCGTTGGAGACGTAAACGGAAGACGTTGTGTTCTCGGCAACGCCGACGAATATCCTGGACGTGGCACCGCCGACTGCAGCAGAAGTAGGATCGAAGGTGACGAAGTTCAGACCCTGGATGTCGCCGTTGTACTGGTCCCCGACAGGCCCGGGACGGAAAGTACCGACGGCGGTGAAGGGTGAGACCTTGGAGAAGCTTGCCCCTAGAGAGAGTCAAAATCACGTTGTCCTTGCGCAGACTTGATTTACCATACCTCCGTCGGTACTCTTCCAGAGCCCGTTGCCGCTCCGGGCACCGAAATAGACAATATTGGAGTTCTTCGGGTCGACTGCAAGACGCTCGCCGTTTCCTCTCCCGGGCATGTTTCCGCCAACCTAATACAAATGTCACCCAGTCTGTTGGATCTGTGGGGGATACATGATGCATTCTCAATTTCTTACCTTGAAGGGGAGGTCAGCGAAGGACCATGTGGCACCCCGGTCCGAGCTGCGCGCAATCTGCCCATTGTAGGGATCCCTGAGGAAGAATCAGCAAGCAGTTCAGTTCATCCTAAATAGAAAGTGTAGATTTGGTCCCACCAGCTGTTGGTGTATGTTCCCACGGCAATGAACACCTTCTTATCGTCTTGGGGATCAAGCGCGAGCGCATCGACACCCCACCGGCTCCAGTGAGAATCATCAGCGAAGCTGTTCGCGTCGGTGACTGCGGTCCAGGAGTCGTCGGCATTGAGGCGGTAAAGACCGCCAATATCGGTCCTGGCATAGGCAACGCCCTTGGTCGTGGGATGGAACACGATGGACGGGACGAAGCCGCCGCCGCCGCCGGTCTTGACGTTCTTCCAGGTGAAGGCAGCCTGGATTGGGGCCGCAATAGCGGCCAGGAGAAGCTTGGCGTACTTCATCTTGGGTCAGTGACCGCTGTCTTAAGAGACTAGTCGTTACAAGTCCGGCGCGAGAGCGACGTTCAGGCTTCTGTGGCAGGTAGACTAGGTGATAGAAGGGGAACAGGAATAGGTTGACGACAGCAGACCTGTCCAGCATTATAAGTAAACCAGGTAAGCGTCCTGTTTCTTTGGTAGAACTGAGATAGCAAACGGTGCCACCGTGGTGCGAATGAGCAATCGCGTTCAACAGTTGAATCGAGCACGTTATTCTGACTCCGCCCTCCGGAAGCGAGACAGATCGAGGCTGCCTTCTCTAATTTCCATCAATGAACTGGAGTTTGCCACGACAGGTCGGACGATGCCGCGGTCCCAAGCTTGCCGAAGACCCGGATGCACTGCATCCGTTTGCCGCTGAAGGAAGACATACTTCCGCTTGGCGGGCTTGGGGTGAGGGGCAAGGTCAACATGGGGGACGCGGTTCGTTCAGGCGCAGGTCCCAGGAACCGTGGCCAAAGCTAAGCTTTCTTCACCCGCTCCCTCCAATATTCCAATACTGTTATTAACGGGGATGGAAAGTAGATAATATCATTAGGGTCATTACTTTTCGGCTCTCGCGAGGGGTATGTTTAAGGGTCGTGTGCAATTACAGTAAGGGGATTTGGTTCCTTGGATTAAGGTCGAAGAGCCGTCTGGAACCCGTACTCACGGTCCCGTGAGGACAACTTGTTTCCCATATCCCGCGCAAATCTCTGTGTCAGTAATAATAGCATATGGTGCTGCAAGGCGGCCAAGGTCCTTGGCACGGATGAGATGGGTAATAAGGGCAGTTCGATAATTGGGCGCATACCTTGCATTTCTGTCCTTCTATCATTCTTTTCCCCTTCCAAGTTCCAAAGATCATGCCATATCAGGAGGCCGAGAGGAAGGAATTGTACAGGAGAACCGGGAGCCACGTCCGACTTTCCCTGTAAGCTGCATGTGGCCCCAAGATTTGGGTTATTGATTGGGACCCTATTCCCCCATGGGTTCGCGGAGACGTGCGGAACTAGGCTGGAAGCGACACGCGGTGGATGGCTGAATCGGGAATGGGTGAGACGGATCGACGTTGGCTCACTCAAATAGCTAGAGTGCGGGAATGGAAAGCTTGTATTGGCGGATCCTGCCAGCAACACCGCTGTGGGGCTTCGTTGTTTGGTGCAACATCAGCATCACAGAGCCACCCTTCTTCCTTCACATTGAAGATGGCGAAAACCGAGAAAGCTTGGATGATGTGAGAGGGAATCCGGTAACTGTCAATTCCACACACCATATGGTGCCATGGTGCCGGTCCACGTGTCAGGCGGGTCATCATGGGGACTGACTTATACATATAATTGTGTATACACGCACCCTCTTCAGAGTTTCATGCGCATTTCCCAAGGACCTCAAATATCACTCACATTGCTTGGTGTTCATACACATAAGCGTTTATGAGAGAATAAACCCGGCAGTTAGTAGCTTTGAGAAGATAATGGGTCTTGTAGAGATTGTTCGCGAAGTCATCTTGATTCAACTTGTCACATTGTGACAGAAAGCCAGAAGGCCCAGGTCATTAACTCTTTGACTTGACTCCACATCGATACAAAACGTCAGTGACAGACTTCATAGACAGTCTCATGATAAGCATCGCAACGCTCTACTCTACAAATTGTGTCATTAAAACCCCGGAAGGGTCGATAGGTTGTTGCACCAAGTACGTAGACTCAGTGTATATGTGAGTTGGAGTTTACAAGGCCTGTCTACGCATACGTCTCGCCGACGTCGAGAACATTGCCAGCCCCGTCCACCGCAACCTTGGTCTTTTTCGTTGACTCTTTCCTAGGGTTGGGCGCCTCGAAAATAGTCTTGAGCTCCTCCAGGGTCTTGCCGGCGGTCTCGACAAAGAAGAAGTAGATGATCGCGATCTCTACGCAGATCCACACGATGTATACGATGTAGAGCTTGTAGCCTATCTTCTGGATGCCGACGCTGATACCGTAGGTGTTGATGATGATGGCGATGTTCAGAAACAGGAAGGACAAAGCGGAGCCCTTGGCGCGGGTGCGGTTCTCCATGCACTCGACGGCGTAGAGCGTCTGCAGAGGGGTGAAGCCCCAGGAGAAGACGATGCCGAAGAGGTAGATAGAGACGATGACGCCGTAGGAAAGGTTCTGGTTATTCGGGGTTTCGGCGGTGAAGGCGGTCAACATGATGTAGGCGACGAGGGAGCCGGCCAGGCCAGCCAACATCATGAAACGTCGGCCGAGCTTGTCGAGCAGTGTGGCTCCATAGATGGCCGCGATGAGGCAGAATATGGGGTTGATGGCTGTGAGCAGCAGCTGAGTGCTGTCGCTGGTGATGCCTGCCTGCTTGAACATCTCGGGCTGTTGCATGTTAGTCGTGGGTTTCCGTCGCCGCCTTCTAGTTGTGATCCCGGGGGTCCCCGGAATGGGCTGCTGCTTACCATGAAGTAAGAAACGACGTTATTGCCGCTCCATTGACCAAAGAAAGCCATCGCAATCATCATGTAGAGTCTGTAGCGGGCCGCTCTGGTGTGGAACAGTTCCCGCATGTCCCACCAGGGGTTCTCGTCCTTGGTCAGACGGTTGTCCTCGACGATCTCCTGGTACTGGAGCTGCACAACGGGCGAGCTGGCGTCACCGTCGCCGTGGTACTTTGCGAGAATGGCGAGGGCCTCCTCGCCGCGGTCGTGGGAGATGAGCCACCTGGGGGACTCAGGGAAGAACATGATGAAGCACATGACGACGGCGGGCATGCCGGCCTGGACAAGGGTGGGGATACGCCACGCCCAGCTGGTCTCTAGGTGCTCGTTCGTGCCGTATGTGGTCCATCCGGCAAGAATGTTTCCGAGCCACCAGAAGGTGTCTGATGGGCGAACGTCCGTCAGCAAAGAGGACCGAAAAAACGCATGGGCACCTTAAGAGGGGGGGAGGGGGGGGAGGGGGTTCACGTACTGTATGCGCCAGCCATGGTTCCTCTGTACTTAGGATGCGCAAGCTCAACGATGTAAGCGGGACCGGCAGCAGAGGCAAGGGAGGCGCCGAAACCGAGGACGAATCTTCCGCCAATGAATTGGCCGAGCGTGTTGGCGGGCGTCTGGATGGCGGTGCCGATGAGGACGATGAAGCAGCCGACGAAGATACAGAAACGACGGCCGTATCCGTCGGCCAAGGGGGAGCAGAAAGGGAAGCTGACCACCTGACCGACCTGGTAGATCATGAAGACGATACCGGTGGTGGAGCCGGCGCCGTCGAGGCCGAAGGTCTTTTGGTATTGAGGCATCGCGTTTTGACTTCCCATGAGGGAGCTGTCTGTTGTGTGTTAGTTTTCTCCGGTTACGCTCAACACGTATGAGACATGGCAAACTTACCAAAACCGTTCATAGTAGACACGAGGTAGCCAATGGCAAGAATGCAGTAGAGCTTGATCATGTTGGGCGACCAGATGTTCGGCGGTCTCTCGGCCAGGGCAGCGGCGAGGGCGACGGAGGCGGCATTGATCTCCGTCACCTCGCCGGCGGGGGCCTTCTCGTCGAACGGCGTGCCGTCATGTTCGACTTCGGCGTTGGACTTGGACTCTTGAAGGGTGGCCATGATGATTCGGGGGGGTTACGCCGGGCCGCAGCGCAAGATGTCGGGTCAATTGGGAGGGAGGACGGGGGGGGGACGAAAAGACGAAAGAGACGCGCACGAGAGAGACGCGGAAGGGACGATGGAGTCTTTTAAGCAAAAGAAGAGGAACCTGAAGGAAAGCCAGCCCCGGCCAACACGTTCAATCAGCAAGCCAAGGCCCGGCCACCGGCCAACGATGGTCCAACCAAGGGCCCGGAACGAAGTCGACTGCCCACCGCCGTTACATGACATCTCCATCCTCCCACACCCTGTCCCCGGACGATCTAGGATCATATGGTTTGGATGTGCCGTCTCCACATGGGTTCGGATATGGACAATAAAAGGCGATAAACGGGCTGCGTTGCACGGGGAAGACGGTGCCGTGGGCACGTGGGCTGACCTTATTTCTTTTTAGGCGGAGACGCCTCTGTTTGACAGATGGCGCATGACTGACAGAAAAAAGATATTGGATGCACTAATGATTTCATACTAGTGAAGCAAGTACCGGTAAGCAGTTTTTTAGCACGTTGGGAAGAGGTGCCACCCTCTGCATCTCCGCACGGCATCATGTCTGTTATGGGTTGGTTTACCCCATTTCCCCTCAAAAGGCACACCCGCATCCCCCCCAATAAGGAGGAGAGGATCAAGTCGGAACCCTGGCATATATAGGATACAACGTGTGATTGGTGGTGAACGAACCATGTTCGGCTTGACATGCTCAAAAGGGCCACCACCATGGGCACACTGGGGGCGGGGGAGGAATCACGCGAAGAAACTTACGGGTTGGGAAAGTGATGGCATCAGCCAAGACGCGGGTAGAACCGACAATGAAGGTTTGCGGTTGCGTGCCGAACTAGTTCCCCGGACGATGATGCGACGGCCACAAATGTCCGCCAAGCTTGGAATCTTGTTTTCTTGGGAGATGGGATATTTCGGCTGCAACGATCATGGCGATGGACCGAGGGCAGGATGCCGAGGACAGCCAAGGAAAAGGGGGGAAGGGGAAGGGGAAGGGGGAATGAGCAGGCAACAAGGAAAAAATAACCAAAGCAGCTTCTCCAAATTGTAAACTACCTACCTACCGACAGAGAGGGTATACCTACCCTATGTACGATGTACGATGTACCATGTATGTCAAGGATTCTTTCCTCATCATACCCCCAGATGGGGTGGAAAGCCGAGGCCTTCTGTGGGCGCTAGCCTCGACTGGGGAAATAATGGACCCTGGGGTTTTCCTCCCACATAACCCACGATACCCACGCCGGACGGGGGCACCGCACGTGGATACGTGCCGCGGTAGAATGAGCAGGCAATTGGCGGATGCGGTGGAGATATTCTCGGACGGAGCCCGAGCCTGACTCGAGGTCTGTCTGGATCGGAACGCTAGCGAAAGGAAAAAAGAAAAAGAAAAAAGAAAAAGAAGGTGGTGCTGAAAATATCAAAGAAGAAAACGAAGGGAAAGAAAACATAAATAAAAAACTAGAAAATAGGCGACCAAGGTACGTACGTTATTAGGGCGATACCTATCCCGACTACGGATGATCCCGGCCGGTTCTTAGTCAGTGCCTGCTTGGTCGATTATGCAGTATGTGCCCGTTCCCCCTCCCCAAGAATCTGGCAGCAAAAGTCACGTGCGTATCTTGCCGCTTCGGGGTCCTGAGCCACGTGAACTAGATCCTCAGGCCTCAGTCTTTTAACCTCAACTCTGTCGCGTTACATAAGCTAGCCCGAACCCCTCTCGACCAACAATCAATCAGCTGTTACCCCGCTTCCCCAATAGTGTACCATGCCTCACCAGCCACCTACCTTCCCCTTGCAGCTGGTCTCTCGTGATTCCCCCGCACTCCCAGACACTGCACCGTCTCAGGTGACGTTCGTTCTCGGTTCCTGACCTTGGACAGACACATACCTACACACACCCCCAGAGCTCGGGTCCTGGTTCTGAGACAGTCAGACAGACATCGAGTGTGTTTCCCAGAGCTATCGTTTCCTGCCGATCCAAGCTCCAAACTCAAGCTCCAACCTTCATTGTCATCTCCGTCTTCATCTCCATCTCCATCCGCGTTCCTTCTCCTCCATTGACAGGGCTGTCTGTGAACCACCGCCACCTCCACCCAATCCATCTTTAGACAGCTCATCATCGTGTACATCATCTCCCTTGCGTGTTCCCGTCGATATCTCGTCTTCACCTATCGTGTGTCTCCACTGACCCCAATTTTTGTCTCTCCGCTAGTTTATTACTTTTATTTGTACCCGCATCGTTCTCCGCCTCGGTCGCCGGTGCCGAACCTCGCATCACCATGTCCGAAATCTCCGATGACTATGTCGACATCTCTTCCGAGACCCGCCTTCATATGGACGTCTACATGGAGAAGCTAGGCCGTCACCGCCGTTTCAGTAGCTCGTCAAGTGACGGCTCGTCCGGCGCCGGATCATCTGGACAGCAAATCGCCCCGGTCAAGAAGGCCCCCACGCACACCTTTCCTTCGAGCCTCCCGGACTGGAGCAACCTCAAAGTTCTCCACCGCGGCACCCTTCCGCCTCGCAGCCACTTCTTCCTGTACGACAATGAAGAGGAAGCCCTCACCAGGGACACCTCCAAGTCCAAGTCCAAGCTCCTGTCTGGGACATGGAAGTTCCACCTGACCACATCGCCGTTCGATGAACCCCGGGACTTTTACAAGCCCGACTTTGACACGTCTGAGTGGGACGACATTGTTGTCCCCGGCATGTGGCAGTGCCAGGGCTTTGGCAAGGGCCCGCAGTACACGAATCTCAACTTCCCCTGGCCCGTGGACGCCCCCAACATTCCTTATGATGACAATGAGTGTGGCCGTCACGTGACAACGTTCCAAGTTGGGGACGACTTTGCCGACCACCAGCTCAGACTGCGATTTGAAGGTGTCGATTCTGCCTTCACCGTCTGGGTCAACGGCAAGGAGGTTGGCTACTCCCAGGGCGCTCGCAACCCCAGCGAGTTCGACGTGACGGACCTCGTCAAGATCGGTGAGGACAACGTCCTCGCGGTCGAGGTCTACCAGAGATGTGACGGCACCTACCTCGAGGACCAGGACCAGTGGTGGCTCAGCGGCATCTTCAGGGACGTCTACCTCCATGCCTTTCCCAAGTTTCACCCGGTTGACTACTTCGTCCACACCATCCTCGACGATGACTACAAGGATGCTACCCTCAAGGTCGACATCGAGATGGACCGCGGCGCCTACGTCGACATGAAGCTCCTCGATGCCGACGGCAAGCTTGTGGCCAAGGACATGTTGATCTTTGACCGCCACAACAGCTTCGACATCCGCGTCAAGAACCCTCACAAGTGGACCGCCGAGACTCCGTACCTGTACACGCTCGTCCTCAACTTTAAGAAGTGCAGCCTGGTCCAGCGTGTCGGCTTCCGTCGCACCGAGCTCCTCAAGGGCGTTTTCTGCATCAACGGCGAGCCCGTCAAGTTTCGCGGCGTCAACCGCCATGAGCACCACCCCGACTCCGGTCGTGCGGTGCCGTACGAGTTCCTCAAGCGTGACCTGCTGCTCATGAAGCACTTCAACATCAACGGCATCCGCACGTCGCACTACATCAATGACCCGCGGCTGTACGACCTCGCCGACGAGCTTGGCCTCTGGATCCTTGACGAGGCCGACCTCGAGTGCCACGGCTTCGGTGTCGTCGGTAACAGAGGAGAAAGCTGGGCCACCGACAACCCCGAGTGGCGCGAGGCCTATGAGGACCGTGCGAGACAGATGGTTCAACGCGACAAGAATCATGCGTGTGTTGTCTTGTGGTCCTTGGGCAATGAGTCCTTCTACGGGTCAAACCACCAGCACATGTACGACGTGATCAAGAGTATCGACAAGTCCCGTCTCGTGCACTATGAGGGCGATTGGGCCGCTCGGACAGCGGACATCTACAGCAGGATGTACGCCTCGGCTGACGACATTGTGAGCATGGGCTCCGAGAAGCAGTGGTCCAAGCCTCTCGTCCTGTGCGAGTACATCCACGCCATGGGCAATGGACCAGGCGGCATCAAAGAATATGTCGAGGCCTTCTACAGGTACCCGCGCCTCATGGGAGGCTTCGTGTGGGAATGGGCCAACCATGTAAGTCGCCCAGTGGTGTAAAGTCGAGTGGGTGCCGTCTACTAACAGTGACAGGGCCTCCGCACCAAGAACGAGGACGGCGAGGAGTACATGGCCTATGGCGGCGACTTTGGCGATGTGCCCAACGACTACAACTTTGTCTTTGACGGCCTCTGCTTCGCCGAGCACACCCCGACGCCCGGCTTGCGCGAATACAGCAAGGCCATCGAGCCAGTGCAGACGCTCGGCATAAAGGACAACGAGGTCACCATCATCAACCGCTACGACTTCATCTCCCTGGACCACCTCACAGCCACCTGGCACATCGTCGCCGACGGCATGGTCATCGGTGGCGACCAGGAGGTTGAGATCCCCAAGGGTAAGCACTCTTCGCGCGCCGTCCCACGCGGTTGTCGATATCATGTACCTTAACTAACACACCAGCTCAGGCGTCAAACCACACACCAAAGCCCATCTCAAGATCAAGGGTCTCCCGAAGAACCTCGCCGCGGAGGCCTACCTGCACATCGACTTCGCCCTCGCCAGCGACACGAACTGGGCCAAGGCCGGTCACCTGGTCGCCTTCGGCCAGGTCCCGCTCTCCAAGCCCCCCTCCATGGCTGTCATCCTATCCTCCCTCTCAAACCCCTTCGTCGACCCAGTCCCGCAGGTCACACAGGCCTCCCCCTCCCTCCTCACCATCACCTCCTCCACGGGCCTCTCAATCTGGGGTCTCGACCTTCAGCTCGGCACTATCGCCTCCTGGCGCAAGGCGTCCCGCCCGCACCTCGAGCTCCTCGCAGAGCCCCTCGTCATGGACTTCTACCGTGCCCTCACCGACAACGACCGCGGCGGCCGCTTCGGCCCTAACTGGCAGGACCGTCGCCTCCACCAAACGCGCCACTCGATCCGGCGCGTAGAGTGGAGCAAGGAGAAGCACGGCCTCGTTGTCAACGTTCACTCCCGCATCGCCCCGCCCGTCCTCGCCTGGGCCGTCGACACCTGGACCACCTTTACCTTCCATGGCGAGGCTGTCTATGTCAAGGTCAAGGGAAAGCCCAGTGGTCCCCTGCTGCCCGACACCTTTGCCCGCATCGGTTTCACACTCGGCGTCCGCGGCGTCGAGACGGCCGCCTGGTGGGGCCGCGGCCCGGGCGAGAGCTACCGCGACAAGAAGGAGAGCCAGGCATTTGGCAACTGGGAGGAGACAATCGACGACCTCTTTGTCGACTACGAGTTCCCGCAGGACGGCGGTAACAGGACCGACGTCCGCTGGGTCGAGTTCCGCGGCCGGCTCCCCGACGACGGCGGCGACGAGAGCGCCATGGAACGTGGGGATGACGAGCCCGCCCTCGAGCGCCTCATCCGCGCCCGCTTCGGCGACCTTGACGGCGCGTCCTTCTCGGCGATGCACTACACCACCAAGGACCTCGACGAGTGCACTCACCCGTACGAGCTGCACAAGCGCAAGAGGGAGGACACTGTTGTGCGGCTCGACTGGGCGCACCACGGCCTGGGTACCGGGTCGTGCGGCCCGGCGACGCTGCCGCAGTATGAGCTAAAGGTCGGGGAGTTTGACTTTGAGCTTGTTTTGGACTAGGCCGGCAATTTGGTCTGTACGTGGGTTCAATGGGCCCGTACGAGTATCACAGGATCTGCGCCATGTGCTGTAATGAAAAATGCTGCCTCACAAAAGTGTCTCACAACACAAGGTATGATGTGACGGAAGTGACTCTGTGATGGTGATACTTTGTATTATGCTAGGCTGCAAACCGAACGAGTCAATCAGACAGCTCACCCTGCACCCCCCGCACCTTTGTTCTCTTGTCGAGGTGCCAACAACCTCCTCTGACACCGGGCCCTAGGATATGGAAAGTGACTACTCAGGCCACGGTGTATTCGTATGCTCCGATTAGGTCATCACTCGGATGCACCAGCAAACCATCCAAGGGGAAGCACTGGCTGTCCCAGACGGCATTCTCTTTCGAAGTCCACCGCGCCCTGAGGTACGCCATGCCGTCACGCTTCTTATCGGGGCAGGCGTAGATGTTGGAGTGGTTTGGGTCGACGCCAAACTTGTAAAACCACAGCAAACGGTCGTCCTCTCCGTAGACGAAGGGCATCACGGGCAACTCTCGAAAGGCGTCCAGGTTGGAGCCTGGGGGCGTCGCTTCTACGGAGCTGTTTCCGCCCGGGGTGTAGGAGATGATGCCGTCGGGGTCGGCGTAGACCCTTTGTCCGCCCGGTTTGGAGATCTGGTTGAGAGGTCAACGACGACGACAAAGGAGGGTGTTTGTGGAGCATGGGAGTTGGAATGAGATGGGTGGAAGGCCATGACGAAGATGGCGAGTGGAAGGGCTAGTGGATGAGGGCAAGTAAAAAGAGTCGAAACGAACCCGAAGCTTTCTGAAGAGGCTATCGACAACCGTCGTGTTTCCGGCCGGACAGTTTGCACCGGAGAAGTCTGGGCAGTAGGTCGTGGGCATGTGCTCGCCGAGCCAGAAACGTCCTTCCCTTGCGTTGATGGCGTAGCCATCCGGACATGTCCTTATCTGAGTGGTTTGCTGGGACCAGTAGGCAAAGAGGACGGACGGCCCGGCGGCAGCGAGAGCCACAAGGGCCAAGAGAACAGAATAGAGTTTGACGAGCATTGTGTTGGGATTATTTGTATGGGGTTTCTTGGGAGAGAGGTATAGCTTGATGGTCAACGATGCTGGGTTGGGGATGTTTACTGACGGCGGGCTGTGATGATGAATTTGGGAGAAGAGTGAGGTCAGTCATCCGGAGAGTTGAACTTTATAGAGATAGCAAGGCGAATATGTCCGAGGAAGGAGGCTACCTGAGCGAAGGGGGTAGGATGCGCGTGTTCGCTTGGATCTTAACGGATTGGGCAGCAGCAGTCTTTCCAACCGTCTCATCATCTTTCCTAACAATTCTTTCTGTAGGTACTTTGTGTGAGCCTTCTCCAACATCACCTCAGTTCTGGAAGGATAGCAGGCACTGCTTCCTCTTCCTGTCTACCTAGGTAGGATGTCAATGGCGGAACTTGACTCTGTTCCTTCCCTTCGTTGTGCTTCTGAAGCATGCCACTTGCCGAAAAAGGGCGACGCTGCAAGCGCTTATTTCCGCAGACGCAACTTCGTCATTTGGTTCCTGTGCGTTCCTTCTATCGATTGACGAAGCCTTCCAATGCCAAGAAATCGTGGCAGCTCACGAGATTAGCCCAACTACCTATCACAGCCAGGAGGCGGATGCTTTGGACTGAATACGAGGTGAATGACATACCAAGTCCTTGTAGTCCAGTGCCATTCGCCGTCTAAGGGACGTCCATCTTGAGACACCTGAGGATACCAGAGTCCGAAAGTCCTCTCTACCTCGCGCTATCTATACCTGAGGGAAAGTAGAAATATCTTGACAGAATGAATATTTTGACTTTCCTAACCTTGTACGTGAGATATGATCATGGCTGATAAAAGATGTAGCAAAAATGACGATTCGGGAATCGCATAGTCTAAGCAACCGCTGGTCTACCGCTAGAACACCCGGATCCAATGCAACCAAACGCCGGACCTTCCCAGAGTCTTTATAACCTCTAAAGTATTTACACCTGACGCGCTTCTAACATCTCACCATTACAACGACTCCTCCTTGTGAATCTCGATACCGGCCGGCGCGCCGACCAGGGTCTTGCACTGCGCGTAAATGACGAACTGGCCAGCGACCAGGCCGCAGGTCATGACGATACGGGGACCCAAGCCGGTCAGCAGCAGACGCTTGGGGCCGAACTCCCTGGCGAGCTGGATCATGCGGCTCGTGGCTCCCTGCTTCGGGTCGCCGGCGCCCTTATTAATGGCGGACAGCAGGGTGTCGGCCGGGTGAGAGAGCACGGCGGCAGCGACGCCTGCGACGATACCCGAGGCGAGCTCGACGCCGGTGGACTGCAGCTGGGTCATGGCGGCCTTGCGCTCGGGGCCCATGGTGCGGTAGATGAACTCGACGGCGGCCTCGTGGACGGAGAACTGTCCGACGGCGTAGGGGACCTGCTTGAACAGCAGGGGCACGAAGCCCGAGTAAAAGCCCTTGATCCCCTCCTCGCGGGCGAGGCGGGCGAAGCCGGGGGCGAGGCCGGAGGCGTAGCCGCGCTGGGAGACGAGGCGGATGCGGGTGGCCTCGAGGGGGCACAGCAGGATGTCAGCGAAGAACTCGGCGGTGGCGCTGGCGCCGAGGTAGATGGCGGTGCGCCTGTCGACGGCGCGCTCGGGCCCGCCGGCTACGGTGATGAACTGCTTCTTGAAGAACTCGTAGCCGGCGAACTTGCCGCCGCCCTGGACGAGGTAGCCGACGGCGGTGGGGCCGAAGCCGGTCAGCAGCGCTGACGCGCCCTCCTTGGCGACGATGGTGCGGCCGGCCTTGACCATGTTAAGGCCCTTCATGGCATCGTCGACCTGGATGCGCGTCTTGACGACGTCGATGGGCGTCGCGGCCTGTGGAGTGAGAAGGAACTGAGCACATGTGGTTTCGCGGAGTTACGAGGGACGGCAATGGCTTACACCATGGGTCGAGGTCGCCGCGAGGGCGCCTGCTCCAAAGAACTTTGCATAGTCAATGGGCGAGAAAGTCGGCAGCTCCGACTGTGTTGGTTTGACTGCGGCCATGGTGTGTGTGATTTTCCTCCCTTTTCCCTTTTCCTTTTCCTTTTTTCTGGTGTTTTGTTGTTCCGATGGGTGAACAGAGATCTACGCCGTTTGAAAGAAGAAAAACATGTACACGCAAGGCAGAATGTGTGGCTGCAGAGGCGGCGGACGTCGACTAATAAAGCGCCGCAAGACAAACAACAATAAGAGTCTCGTCATTGCTCCCGGAGCGTCGCAGTGCCTTGGCAGGGGGGGCCCAAGGCCCTTGAAGCCCAGAAAGTGGAGCTGAGTCATCCCCGCTGTGAACGCCCTATGACGTCGATGTGCCAGCGTCGGCGGTGACGGAACCACCGTTCGGGGTCTTCGGGATCGTAAGAATTGCAGGAAAATCGTAGGGATAATGGTTGCACTACCTACAGTGGTGTCGCCTAGGTCCCTAGTAAACGGCTGCCATGCAGTTTTCCCCTTCCCTCGGCTCGTTCTCGGATTGGACTGGAGGAATTTCCGCCGCTTGACGGCATTCGGGCTCACTAAGAGCCCCCGAACCCCCAATCCTATTCCAATGTGGACGACAAGCCATCAACTGGTCTGATGCCGTTCGTCCCGACCGGCGGCTGCTCCCGCGCCGCGACTTCAGGCGAGCCTCCGATGCCGAGGAGCTCTCTCCGACCTCGATATCAATCACTGGTCTCTCCGTCGGCGCGGAGAACGGCAGACAAGTCCATTGAGTGATGCATTCCCTGACGTCCATCTCATCCACGGCACCTTCAACGGCATCTTCAGTCATGGCCAAACCCATTGCCAAATCTGTTTATCACGGGGATGCACCATAACACCAAAGGAAGCTGATGGCTGGAATCATCCTCGCGCGCCACAAGAATAAATCTCATCAGCTCTATTTATTCACCAATGCATCTCATGACGACATATCGAGGTGGTTCCATGTGGGCCGAGAGATTCTCATACTCCTGTGAGCAATTCAAGTGCTGTCATCTTACGACCAGGTATGAATTGCAATGCGCTCCTTGATGGATACAATATCCCGTAGAAGCTCGCTCCTTAGCACACTTGTGTCCTTCCAGCCAAAATTTGGAGGTGGCTTCCATGCAGACATGCGGACCCTGTGGGAATTCGCCCTGAAAGAATTTGCCTTGCACCTTCTTATGCTATCTATCTGACACCTAGTGGGTGAGCACTAATGTTGACAAACTGTTAATTCGGAAATTTTCTGCCTTGTCGGATATAATACAAAAAAGGAACGCGTGTTTGTCTGGAGGCTGTTGGTTCGGCAACTGGAAATGAGAATGAAGGGAAATTGGAAGGGATTTGTTTGTACACTGGCGAGGTGACTAGTACTTAAACGGAGTACCCAGCATCTAATAGGGTATAGATGTCTCATACCGAAGAGCAGACAACTACATCAGTCACATCAATATCTCCTATTTAGGCCATAACCTAAGCTGTTACTGTTACAAGGCTGAATAAAGCAAGCCTCAGCTAAAGACCCAAGTATATAATAGACTCCACGGCCCAGAATCTACCCCGCTGTCCGAAAGAGAACACAAGGTAGTGCAGCATAGAAGACGACCACGACCACTTCAAGTATGCAATTGGCAAAATAAACTCCTCGACGGGGAATTGAACCCCGGTCCCCTGCGAATCGTTGAGTGACAAGCAGATATCCTCACCACTAGACTATCGAGGACTTTGACATTACTGTCATCAAGCAAGCCTAAGAAGCGCACATCGGACCAACTCTGATGGCCCTGGGCTTAGTCACAGGGGCCCGCCGTGAATACTTTACCAGCCAATACAGGCAGCACAGACAGGTACAGAAATACGAAGGGAGCAGGTTTCCTAGTTGAGAATCTAAAAAACCTTGTGTTTTCTTGCTAGTATTGTGTAGCCTGTTGACATGAGCTATTATAGAGGGTCCTTCCCGGTTAGCTTAAATTCTTTCCTGAGGGAGAGTTAAGGTCATTGAGTAGCTGGGCATACGGCAGTATAGGAAACGAAAAGAATGTGTATCATATGTGTAACCACAACTTAACCTACTCATGTACAACTCTTCCCTAGACCCAATATCATAGAAACAGTTCCTTGAAAAGCTGGATCTCCCATTAGTCATCAGAATAACGCAGTAGTATAACCTTAATCTACTAGTCAATTTGCAACTCTCTTTAATTCTAGGAGAAGCGACACGGTCTGAACCTAAGGTTTGACTACCTGAGCGCGTTTCGACATATTGGAATATCAGTGTAAGTGGGGTTGTTAGACATGAGAAAGAGCTAAGATGAGACGTTCTTAGCGAATATTACGAACTTGTTTGTGAGGCTCCACGTTAATATGGGACGCAAGTCGGTAACAGCGTAGGTTTACTATATACAGGTTCACCAGTGAAAGGCCCAACGCCATTGAGAAAGGTTGTGATAGCAACTTTATGCATGATATGGCTATGTGACCGGATGTTATGAACGCAGCTTATGCCAAATAGTCATTTCCAACCGCCAGCCAATAGTTCCAATGTATCTACAAGAGGTGTGAACAATATGCACGGCAAATCACGTGGTGCCCAGATGCAGGTCTCTGTTTATGCCATGCAGCTGATCAGGCTGCCCCTCATTTCAGCAGTCGACTGTGGCTCTCAGCTGTCAAACTCTCCGTTTTTTTGCTTTCGTCGCCACCACCCAGGCCCAAGAGCCTCACTTTTCGTGTCGACGACGTCCCAATCGATCATGTTCATGACTTTGGTCGCAGACTACAATCTATCGCGGAGCAAGACCCGGTCCTGCGCGGCGTTGCCGCTGCAATTTTTCTTCAATCTTTAGCGCCAAGGGATGAGGTCACCGGCTGCGCTACCGTTCCTGTCGTGACGCATCTATCTGGAGATAGTTTATGTGTGCGACTACGTCAAGCTGGAAGAGGTCACCCGTAGACCTACAGCTGCAACTTTATCGTTTTTTTTTGGCGCTCGCTCAGTCCAACTATAGAGACAAGATGCGATATTATGGTGGCCTAAAGATATAAGACTAACTGATACTTTATAGCTAGGTAAAGATAAGAAATGGCGCAAGACAGGCTGCCCGTCTTGACTAGTAACACACGGCACTGCTACTAGTACAGGGTTGGGTCTTGCTACTAACGAAGAATATATTTCTCTCAATACGGATCACTCAGGACTCGTCAAGTTCTACAAGTTCCGAAGCGATTATGCTATTTTGAGCCGTCGAATCAAAAAGATTTCTGAGGAAGCCAGGGCCGAAGTGGGCAGAAGATTTGCTAAACATGGTAGATCTTTCATAAAAGCACGCTATAAATCGTATTCTTGAGTGCTGACTTTATAGCTTAGACCTACACCTACAACATACTGCTGATTCAGAAGCCTGTCTGGACTCACTGGTCTTCCAGGACATCGAGAGTCGGCAGAACAACATCGAACCAACCGTTGCAGGCACAGGTGATTGGATTTTCCGGCACCAATACTTCATACAATGGACTGAGCAAAAGCAAGGACTACTCTGGATCATGGGAGAACCCGCATCTAGTAAATCAACTATCCTAAAGCATGCTCTTGAAAAAGTACGACATCTATACGGAGCGGACACCATTGTACTTTCGTTTTTCTTCCACAGCCAGGGCAATGAACTGCAAAGGAGCCAACTAGGCTTGTTCAGATCCGTTCTACACGTTGCTCTGGCGGGTCCCTGGCGCTCTCTCTGACCTAGTGGATGAATACCGACGCAAAACAAAAACGGAGGGAAGACACGGGCAAAAATGGGACTGGGATCTGATACCACTACGAGGGTTCCTTGAGTCAGCACTGCCAGAGGTTTTGAAACGGTTCCCAGTCATCATCCTCATTGACGCACTTGATGAATGCGGAGAGGAGTCTGTTGTGCAGCTGATACAATATGTCGAACACTTACTCGCCACCTTCGCACCGACAGACTATCGGCTAAGAATCTGCTTCTCTTGTCGTTATCATCCTGCCATCTACTCCAAGGACAGACTAAGCATACTACTCGACGAAGAAAACCAGGCGGACATCATAACTTACGTACGAACCAAGTTCTATGACGATTATGACGTGCGCATCGGAGACCTAATAGCCCGACATGCACAGGGTGTTTTCATATGGGCAAAATTCGTTGTGGAGCGTGTCCTGCAACTAAAACGCCAAGGGGAGTCCGGAACTAAGATTGAAGCCGAGGTCATGAAGACGCCACAGGATTTGGAAGACTTTTATCACGGACTTATTGAAAAGTTTTCAAGTCGCACAGAGACGTTGGGGCTTGCGCAATGGATCTGCTTTTCAGGAAGAACCTTGACGACGGACGAGCTATCATGGGCCATTGCCTATCAACCCGACTGCTCATATCGCTCCACCGAGGAATTGAGAAACTCGGAAAGTTTTATCACAGCAGATGAAATGGATACAAGACTTAAGTTTCTCAGCTGCAGTCTTGTTGAGATCATGGTCTCAGGGGGTAGGAGATTCGCTCAGTTCATCCATCAGTCGGTGAAGGACTACTTCATCAAGCGCGGATTATTTTCTCTGGATACCAAGTTGGAGACAGGCAGTTTGGTGGTTCCTACTGCCGACCGTTCAATTGCATGGTCTTGTATCCTCCACTTGAACGTCGTCTTCTCTTCTTGTTCTTCAGAACATTCTTGGAAATTCGAGAAGCAGAGTGGCTTTCACGCTTTCCTGGGATATACCGCAACCTCGTGGGTGTATCATATGAAACTTGGCGAATCGGTTGAAGAATCCCCGAAGAAGCTTCTGGGCCTGCTCGAATCCTGGACGAAGTCTCCGTGTCTGCGCGATTGGGCCAGGTGCTCTCTCAGTTGCTCAATACTGTTTTCTATTAAGGACGTATTGCCCGCAGATACAGATTTACATTTCCTCTCGAAATACGGGCCGGCAAAGTTACTGTCATGCCTGATTCTTGACGCGGATGATTCTCAACTCAATTTGAGATATCGGGTAGGCATGACACCGCTTTCATGGGCGGTTCAAAACAAACACGAGGCTGTTGTCCAGCTGCTCCTCGAGACAGAAAAGACCGAAGTCAACTCAACAGACAAAAGAAACCGTCCCATTACATCGGGCGGTCAAGAGTGGATGCAAGACTATTGTCAAGATGCTGCTTGACAACAGAAACATTGACTTCAACTTAAGAGATGACGAAAATCGGTCACCTCTATCATTGGAAGCTAGTAGTGGTAATGAAGCTGTTGTCAAGCTGCTCCTTGGGACAGAAAAGGTCAACGTCAACTCAGCAGACATCAGAAACTGTTCCCCATTACGTTGGGCAGTCAAAAGTGGAAGCAAGACTATTGTTGAGATGCTGCTTAACAACAGAAACATTGACGTCAACTTAAAGGATGATAAAACTCAGTCACTGTTATCATTGGCAGCTACTAGTGGAAGTGTGGAAGTCTTTAGGATCTTCCTTAACTCTGGAAAGTTTGATGTCAACGAAAAAGACGCAGGTGGCAGATCGCCTCTCTCATGGGCAGTCAGCACTGGTAACCAGATCATTGTCAAGTTTCTCCTCCATACAGGAAAAGTTGAGATCAACTCGAAAGATTTGCAACCGCCGAACTCCATTCTTGTGGGCGGCCTTGAATGGCCAAGAAGCTGTCATTGCGATACTTCCCAGTGCAGACGAGGTTGAAGTTGACACAAGCGACAGACAGAGTAGACGAACAGCATTGTCATGGGCAGCTGGTAATGGACACGAAGCCGTGGTCAAGACAATGCTAAGAACAAGCAGACCTGAAATTGACACAAAGGATGTCAACGGTCGAACGCCATTCTCATGGGCAGCTATGAATTGCCATAAGGCTGTCGTTGCAATACTCCTGGACACAGGCGTAATTCAAGTCGACTCAAGCGACAGACAAACTGGACGAACGTCATTGTCATAGGCAGCCGGGATAGGTTACACTGCTATAGTGAAGACACTTCTGGTAAAAGGTGAAGCCGACGTTAACTCACGACACATCGACGGACGAACACCGCTGTCATGGGCGGCTATGAACGGACACACACGGGTTGTCGAGGTACTCCTCGATACTGAATTTTGGATCTTGATTCCAAAGACAACGACGGCCGGTCGCCTTTATGGTTAGCAGCTATGAACGGACACACCACTGTAGTTAACACGTTCGTTGACACAGGCAGAGTCAACGTCAACTCGCAAGACAACGATGGTCGGACACCGCTATGGTGGTCGGTATGGAACATTTATGATCAGACGGTGGCTGCACTTGTTTTTAGAGGCAAGGCGGACGTTCATATTAGAGACAACAGGGGCCAGACGCCTTTGATATGGGCAGTCGAGAATGGACGCAGGGACACGGTGAAGATGATCCTGGGACTGAGCACCGCCTCAATCAATACGAAAGATCACGACGGATGGACGGCTTTGTCTTGTGCTGCACATGAAGGACACGAGAAGATAGTTGAGGACCTTCTCGTTACTGGCGAGGTCGACATTGACCCAAGCAACACAAGAAATGACCGGATGCCACTCTTGTGGGCAGCTGAATGCGAACATGAAGCTGTTGTCACGAGCCTTCTCGACACGGGAAGTTTCCCAATCAATTCCAAAGACAGCAATGGTTGGACAGCCTTATCATGTGCGACACGAAACGGACACCTGGGCGTTGTCCAAGTACTCCTCGACACCGGCAAAGTTGACGTCAATTCCAGAGATAACAGCAACCAGACGCCACTTTGGTGGGCGGTGGGAAATGGGCATGTCGACGTCGTTCGGATGCTCCTGGACAAGGGCAGTGCCGACGTCAGCTTGAGAGATAACTGCGCCCGGACTCCACTGTTGCTTGCAACTGATATTGGAGACCGGCACATAGTTATGATGCTTCTTGACAGAGACAAAACCTGTGTTGGCTCTCAAGATGATGAGGGCAGGACACCGCTATTGTCAGCAGCCGCAAATGGGCGTATGGATTTGGTGAAGCTGCTCCTTGACACCGATGGGACATATGCCAATTTGAGAGACAACAGCGGGCGATCACCATTATCACGGGCGGCGGAAAGCGGACACAATGATATAGTCAACATTCTTCTCGATATGAAATGTCAGTATTAGCTCAAGAGACGGAGAGCATGTGTAGATCCTGGGAGGTGAATGGGAAAGGCGATGTTGCGATGAAAACACTTTTTGACATACATAAAATGAGAACCGCGAGTTTGGCGACCAACCTAGTGGCCATGTTGACGCCCTTGCTGACACCAGAATCCAGTCAAGAATGCGGAGCTTATAAGACTGAGGGAGTCTGATAGAACGTAATTATAGCAGCAGACAGTGGGAGGTCATCGAGTTTGGATGATTAACTCAAGCCTCTCGCAGTATATTCACTACCAGGCTGTTATGTTTGTTTCCGAGGCTGGATGGCCGCTGAGCGAGATAGCGATCTGTCGCGTCGCGATGCACTCGAGTTCAACGCGGCACCTGGTGGAAACTTGCTGGCTCCGGAATAACTGCTATTCCGGATCTAGGAGAGGACCGACCACGTGAGATGCATATCGATACGCCTGGGCCTAGACAATCTGGATTGTAAAGGCAAGACGCATAAAGCCAATGTAATGTACTGCAGCATCTAGAATGACGTGTAAAAAAGAGTACGGTTTTTGTTCCATTGAAGGAAAAAACTGACTATGAGCTGCTAATCGGCTTGAAATACTACTACGGATAGTGGTGAGCCACGTCTGTGGCGCAGGTTGACTGCACAAGCCACACGACGCTATTCCCAGCTTCACAGCAGTCCACTATTGGCTCGCTGGGTCACATATCTTGCCACAAGAACCACCGGCCTTTGACAGTGAGATTAAGCACATTGAGCGAAGAGAAAATCTATGATTTATTCGATTATTTTCTCAATTAATAATGGGCATGATGCCAAGAAAAAGACCGTGTTCAGTCCCTGATCGGCACCGCTTTCACGACAGGAAACACTAAACGAATGCTGTCTCTAAAACTGCTCAAACTCATTACCCGCTCTCAATCAACCTGAAAAGGCCCACTCAGGGAAGTTGGGTCGTGTTGAACAGTCTGTTTCCAGTATCTGTGCCGCCCTTTCCCGTGAACTTGTTTTCTGACAGACGTAGTGCAACGAGGCTCAGATCCGTGGCGTTCGCAAGCGGCTCCAGGACACCCGAGACTGCTTTTTCCTGGACGACCCCAGCCACCACCACGATTCGCTTGATTGTATCCAGCTTGCGGATCTGCTCGACAAATTCAACGATGGTCTTGCCACTATTGACCACCGAGTCCACCAGCAGCACTGTCTGCTTCCCCGCAAGATTCTCCGAGTTGAGGTCCTTGGGACTGCCAGCGTGGAGGAACATGGCTTTCGGGAACGCTTCACTGACTCCGAGTGCCATTGGCTCCCCGCCGCGCATCAAAGCCACGATCACGGTGCTGTCCTCGTCGAGAAGTCGATAGCCATCGGTTGTGCGGCCTTGAACGTGCGCGATGGGATACTCCTCCACACCGAGCACACTGGTCAGGAATTCGGTTGCAAGGTACCAACCCACTTGATGATGAGCTGCTCTGAGACTGTGGCCGGCGATAGCCGCATCGCGAGTCGGTGTCATGAGCAGCTTAGCCGCATTTTTCGCCGTCGCATGAACAACTTGAAGGCATCGACGGCTGGTGATGGACTTGATGAAGGCCTGACTGGCAATGTTGACAATTGGCAGTTTGTCGGAGTCGAGACGGAGCGTTGAGAATTCGGGAATTAAGGCTTGTCGCGGACGAAGGTTGTCCTCATCAATCGCCTTCAACAAGACCGCGTCCATGCTTCGACTTCTGGTCTGATATTCGCCGACCACGACGACGGCCTGATTAGCCAGCTTCAGCATGGGCAAGTCCACCGGGCTATCTCCAAATGCCCAGACATAGAGGCCATGGTGGTCCCGCAGTTTGGAGACAACGGCGCCTTTGGCCAGAGGGTCGACGACATAGCCGTCCGCGACGCGTCCCCCACCAATGACCTTCACGCTCTGAGAAAAGCCCTCTCTCTCTAAGACTTTTTCCCAGACTCGGCGTATGCCGCAAGTGACAACGACTGCGCCTGTGGACGGCTCTCTCTCCAAAGCGCGGATCAAGGCCAAGAACTCAGGATGCATGGTGACGGCTGATGCAACCTCGCTGCAAAGGCTGTCAAAGTCGGATCGACTTTCCTCATAGAGAAACGTAGCTTGTCGGAATGCCGAATAAGAGTATCCCAGATGGCTGCTGAACAGAGCCCTGAGGGGACACTCTTCCTTGGAGGATTGACTCTCTCTTAGTTTCTCCCAAAACATCGTACCCGTATCCATAGCGCAGAGAGTTCGGTCCGCGTCGAGGACCACCATCGTTGCAATCTTGTTCTCTCTTTGCATAGTGAGAACCACCTCATCAACTCGGCTGTTGACACGAGACAGGTTCTCTTTCTCGGAATGAAGACGGATGTCGTGGAGAAGAGGCAGTATGCTGTCCAGCAGGGATGGGTCTGGCGATATGGTTCCGAAAAGAATGCCATTCTCAAGGCAGAGACGGCGGAGCTGCTTCTTCTCGGTGTCCTGCCACTTGCGGATATGGTCGACGGGCAGAGGTTGGCGACACCGAACCGTGTCCTCTCGAGAGCGTTCAACCACCACATCGGCAGGGACATCAAGGTAGAGGATATGCGTGTATACGCGGAGGTCGCGGTCCGTACACACAGCCTCGTAGGTGGCACTGCTTACTTGAGGCCAGAACAGAAAGTGGCCGGTGACGACCCCAACGCGCCCTGCTCGAGTGCATTCTTTGGCGATGGCGTCGATGGCCATCTGGCGCCAGTGAAGCTTCTTCTGGTCATCCGACCTCTTGAAGACTTCTAATCCTCCTGGAACGACTCTATCGATGGCATCAGAGCCCTCGAAGAATTGAAAGTGCTCATGGTTGAGCTTGCTCTTCAGCTTTCCCAGGAGAAAAGATTTGCCGCAGCCTGGGACGCCGTAGAGACCGACCACAATTGGTCTTGCTTTGTCGGAAGCAGCCATGGGAGCTTCAGGAAACTCTTTCGGAAAAGCGAGCAAGTGGGAATGGTGTCTGTAGACGGGGAAGATGCATGCAAAGTGAGTTTTGAGATGCAGACAGACCTGAAGAGGACGCTGGAGAAAGTGCCGAAGATATAGGTTGCTCGGCCACCATACGATTTCTGTCACATGGCGGCGCTGATATGAGATTCGTTTGTATCAAAGGATGGTAAACGCCATCCGCGACCGCATGCGGGAGGCCGACCACAATATAGGCAGCCATATTTCAAAATTGCCGGGAAAAAGTGCTACGGGCCGTTAACTGCGGTACAAACACCCTATCTGTAGGAAAAAGAGCGCCCAAACAACCGTAAAACAAAAGGAAGTCTTCATTCCGTTGTTGTCGGCAAAGCTACACAAAGCACCCATGCTACCATTACATGCCTGTTGTTAGCAAAGCTTGGGTTTCTGCATGTCACCAAACAAGACATTCCCCGGCGAACGTTGCTTTTGAGCGGCTGGAGAAATACGTAGGCGGGTTCATCAAAGCCGGACAGTTTATTTGGTTTACTCAGGCCAAGTTCTGTATTAGGAGGAACTAGAAGCGTGTATGTTTCTAGACTTATAGTTGAGCATAGACAATATGTACTGATTTCAAACCAGGGATGACATTATGACAGCATTATTCGAATCAATACGTCACAATCTTGGAACCCTTTATCAGACACAGCATCGGCAAGAGGTTTCAGGCAGCCGCTGTGTTATACCCTACTCCCCGTCCAACAGGACAGTTTGGCATGTTGGCTTGCCACGCCGCGTCCTTCTTTGCGAACGCAGGCAAGTATGAGTTTGTGGTGAACGTCTAGGACATGGTCAGCTTTCCATAATCATCCAAAACATGATTGAATGGGGGGATATGTCGCAGTAGCTAGCGAGAGTGGTGGCAGCTTCGACACCCGTGGTGCTAGGATCATCTGGTAGACGATCCTTCGGGTACCAGCTTCTTACTCAGGTAGACAGTAGCAAATGTTTGAAAGAAAATCCCCCATATAGTCGGATCACTTACACTAGGCAAATAGTACGAGGCGTCGTTCGACGTATAATTCGCACCCAGAGATCTCAATACCGAGATGACCGAGTTCGCAACAAAGTCGAGGAAAATCAGGTCTACCTTGGTGTCGTCCGAAATCGAACCGTCATCGGGGACGCTGGCGTTGACCTGGATGAAGTCGGGCGTATTGTATCTCTTAATCTTGCTGTGGGCAGTGTCGTCTCCGTCAGTGCCAAAGTCATCGCTCGTGGTATACCCCGGCGTGATAGTCTGCCGGCGGACGATGCGACCTCCAGCGTACGAGCGCTTCGTGAAGTGGTCGTTCGTCACGGGCGGGTCGATACAGCTGTCTACCGCGGACAAGGCCGGGTTCGCTTGGCTGAAGCCGAATGAGTCGGCCGTCAGAGAGCGCTTTCTCTTGGATGGGTAGTTGCCCGACTCTAAACCCTGAGTCACCTGGCTGGCAAGAGACCACGGGACGTCAGGGATGTACTGAAAGCCGTCGGTGAACGGGGAAACGATGAACGAAGAGTCGTAATCAAACGGCCCTTCAACAAGGTCGAAACGAAGGTGGCCCGTGTTGGCGATGATGATTCTCGGTGTCGATGCTCTTTCCTCGGTGACAATCGTGGCCGCGAGAGCTGTGGTAACCAAAGAGAAGATAGACCCGTTTGACCTGAAAGGCGCGCAATCAATGCACCAAGTCTGAGGTGCACATCCGTAGAGTGTGGTCAGATTCAGCTCCTTGCGAGTAGCCGTAATATCCTGGGATACACTGGTTCCCTTGGTTGTGTTGAAAGCCTTGGCCTGACTACCAACTGCATGGTACTCGAATGTCAAAGTGTTCCTGGAACGCAGTTAGTCATCTGCAACGCCAGTGCCTGGTTGGTCTTACCAGTCCAAGTATCGCCGGAAATAGGTGACACCAGAATCGCCAGTGGAGGATGGGAGGCTAGAAGAAGCAGTGTTCGAAGCCACTTTGATCGCTTTTTGAGTAGGGTGAGGTACGCCCTCGGGGTAGAGTGTGCCCTTGTAATTGCTGGACTCGATACCTGTCATAGACAGCCAGCCTAGGGTCTCGCAATACCTTCCAGACTCGAGAGCAGTGGCCTTTTCGTCGTACACAGCAAAGTCGCGGATGTGAGTGTGGCCCCCGAAAAACTGGACCGGCGTGTCGGGTCGGACTGCTCTAATCGCGTTGAGAACAGTCTTCATTGTACTGGTGCTTACCGTCGGCCGGACGGGGTTGTGGCCGACAACCAAAAAGAGGTCAATCGGCTCAGTGTAGTTGACGGCGTTGAGGAACCAGGACTGAGTAACCATTGTGGCTGCGGTGGTGACGACTGAAGCATTGGAGTTGCCGGTGAAGTCAAAAAGAACGCCGAAGGCCATGATGCGGAGGCCTGCGAGAGCGATTACGTGAGTAAGAGGTTCGCGTCAAGCGCAGATATGATCGTGATGCATACCTTTTGGAGTGGTGAAGTACCTGTACTGCTTGCCAATGTATTCAAGCAGTCCGGTTTGGGGGTTGCGGATCTGGACGTTGCTGGTGAGATATCTGTCACCATAGACCTTGGCGAACTGGTTAAAGGTCTCGTATGAGATAGTGGCCAAATATAGCTCGTGGTTTCCGATGGCCAGCACGTCGTAATCGAGGTTCTCAAAAATTGGGTTCGACAACTGGCCATTAACACCAGTACCATTTGCATAGGACGCGACACCCGTGGCATCGCTGAGCCCAGCGCCATCGTGCAGGTCCTGACATGATCAGCATAACTGAACTGAGAATGGAGTCGGGGCGGTCATACTCCAGTATCAACGACCAACAAATCGACGTCCAGATCATCGGCCTTCTGGCGCATGTGCTTGACGAAGCTGACAAAGTCACCCCAGTCCGCGCCGTAGTTCTGCTCCCGGACGTGACCCTCAAGCCTGTCCAGTCCACCCGAGTCAATATGAAAACCATGAGGAATGGGGTGGAGGCTTCATACCATCCGTGAGTGTCTGAAGCAATTTCATCAGCATACGTGAAGTTGTGACATCATTTGAGCGTTACATGGAGCTTTCATACCAGTAGTGTGGAGGAAGTTCAGTTGACCCCACGATAGAGGCCCACGGGGTGCCTCCACGGCTGCTTGCGAATCGGGTTGCGCACGGCGGACATTTCGTGTCAAAACGACGTCTTGCTCGGGGTGTTCGCAGCTTCCACAAGCCAGGACGGCCGGGGCACCAGCCGCGAGGACCAGCAAAGCTAACGGGCCGTTTCCGAGACGCATATTGAGACCGATGAAGACCACTAGCCGGAAAATTGTCACGAGCAGTGATCGGACAGCTGTGCCTCTACCGTTCCACTCGCCGCGAGAGAACCGCCAAGCTTTTAAGAAGATGCATTCTCCGCCATAGACAAGCTTTTCCCCACAAAGGACGCTACAGTTAGAGGGGCGGGCGCGGTAAATTGATGATCACTCTTATCTCGGAGAGTCGCACTACTATTTTGCTATGGTCCAACTAATAAGATACCTAGATTAAGAGAGCTTCCATTTATCGCCTAGTGCTGCCGATATTCGCCTTCTTTTAAGCAAAGGACCCGCACCACCTTTTCAATATTTGCCGAACTTGCCGGTGTTGAAGCCAGCCCCGGGTTCTGCCAGTAACGGAGTCGCCAGATGCTACTATGGTGCCAACAGATAAGCTTGGGTGGAGGTCGTAATATTGAGGCAAACCAGTCCCACTGCTGCAGGGGGGGATAATAAGAGAAGAACGGGCTGGCTCCTAGTACGCAAAATTCCGAATATTACAGTGAAGGTTGAGTCAAGCATTGGTTCATCCGAAGAGCCGCTGTCAGCAAACTATCGTGGCAGGCACCTGAACCCCTGTTAGGCGGAGTGCTTTCGCTACGATGCGATAAAGTGCCATTGTCCACTGGGGATTGAGCGGTCAGTTTTTTTTTTTTTTTTTTTGCAGGCGGGAAGCGACGGTCTCCGCTGCAAGTCACAGTATTTCAAGAGAGTGTCGTGGGGATAAGTTATTTGGCACTGTGATAAATTGCTTTCGTTACTCATTATAGCTGTATGAGGTTTTAAACCAATGCAAGGATCCCTGTTACTTTAACGATATTCTGGGTCCATCCTTATCGGAACTTGCCTCATAAAACTATCATGTTTCCCACATTGATGACTTCGACGAGTGCCGAAGAGATCAAAATTATAGACATCATGCCCATATACTTTGATCTCAATGCCCTTGTAAAACATGGCCCTCGGGAATAAATCTGGAATTCATACTGCTTACCCAAACGCCACTTCATCGCTATTAACCATGAGATCCCCACGCGACACCCCCACCCTGGGAGCGACCATACCCATCTGCAGAGAAGTTAGCTTTACTAAGGGCCGTCCCGGCGCAGTTTCCCCCGTGATTTGTACCGGCGGACTCCCACTCATGCGATGAAAACATATGCCGCCAATGGCAGCCCTTCAGCAGAGTGTGATTACTCACCAGCCTGCAGCGGAACGGCTCGACCAACCCAGATTGAGAACGTCGCATTGCTGCTGCATGGTTAATACCGCCTCAGTGGCACTTTGTTTTCGGACAACCGTTGGATGTCCCAGAGTTGCCTGTTCTGAGTCAGATAGAACGCATATCGCGTCCACTGGCCTGCAAAGGTGTATGTGGACTTGCGTCTCGGCTGGAGAGAGGAGGTGGTAAGACAATTGTTACTTCGGCACAACGCCAACTTCGACCAATAGACGCTGATGGAACACATGAGACCGCACAACGCCATCATTGTGGCTTACAGGCGTACTCTTGGCAAGCCTCTGGATTACAATCACCAAGCCGGCCAATATCTATGTGTACAGAAATGTGACACTGCTTGTTGACCACCGGGTACTTAGCTGGGCCGTTGCCCAACCTTGCATTCTGCGATGGTCCACTTCAAAATCAACTGTAGGATACTACCACTTCTAGATCTCATATTTTTCGGCCACATTTTGTATCCATTACGATGGACTTCTTCCAAAACCAGGTCGTGCTCCTTACGGGAGCAACGGGGGGTCTTGGGGGCTGCCTCTTGTATAAGCTCGCCGTTGTTCTTCGAGTACCCAAGATCTACGTGGTAATACGAAAAACACCCGAAAAGGCCATCCAGACATGGTCTACAATCATGCCGAATCACGTGGATGAGGTCCTTCGGACAGGCAGCATCAAGTTTGTATTTGGTGACCTAACAGCCCCTCAGTTCGGCATAGCGGAACACAATGTCCGGGCTCTAGAAAAGGATGTCACCATCGTCATCAATGCCGCTGCCAACATAAGCTTACGACTGCCATTACGCCAAGCTGTCCAAGATAATTGTCTTTCAGCCCTTGACCTAGGCGAAATGGCAACGAGATTTACAAAGCTCGTCTGTTTTGTCCAGGTCTCGAGTGCATACGCCTTGAGCGATCTCCCGGACGGTCCAATGGAGGAAAGGCTATACCCTATCGGCGATTCGGACCAGCTCCTGAATGACATCCTTTCAGACAAGATGGACGGCCCCGGCGAGTTCGCTTGGCCGTATGCCAGATCTAAGAGACTCATGGAGTGTCTACTGGACCGGAGGTTAGGGCAGAAGCTGCCGCTGGTCATAGTGCGTCCTACTGGCATTGCCCCTGCAATCCATGAGCCCTTTGAGCTGTACCTACCAAACGCGTCTTGCCCTCTGAACACTTTCTACGCCCGAATGATGTATCCTACGGGCGGCTCCGCGGTGTTCCACGCCCCTGTGGGTTTCTCGTCAGGCAAAAACATTGTCGACGAGATACCTGTCGACCTGGCTTCCAACATCATCCTTCAGCACGTACGGCGCGGGACCCGTGGTGTTATACACACATCGTCGCAGTCGTACATCCCCAGGACGTTCGATGATTACCTGCAAGACTTGGCGCGCTATGTCCCCGATGACTGGAGGACCAAGATGGCCCGGCCCGTCTTCACCACCGACCGCACCGCCCGGCAGTGCCCTGTGGCCGAATTCTACGTCATAAAGTCGCGGAACTGGCTTGTCAAGGCGGACCGGTCGCGGAACCTTGACATGAGCGGCCCGATCGGCCTGGATATCGGCGATCACGATCTCCAAGCCTTCACAGAGAAGCGGGTGAGACGTATTTTCGCCGAGACAAAGAAGTTTTTAGAGACGAAGGAGAAGCGCGCTATGAGCCAGCAGCTGAAGACCAAGCTGTAGTGAGGTTGGCTTCAATGTGCTGGGCAACATGGTGATCGGGAACTATGCTGCGGTGCCTTATGCCTTCTGATTATCTTCCCATGCGTCTAGAGCCGGTGAGTGGGACTGCGGCATAGGGTACACCACTTTCTCTATACTCATTATACTAGGGCCCCAGCTATCAGATGCCAGTACCCTGACACAGACTATACCGTTTTGCTTTGTGTCCTACTGGCATGATATCCTATATATTAGATGCTTAGAAGTGGTAGCTATACGTCTAAAAGTCCTTAGTTGCCTTGTATATTTAGGTAGATGTACAGCTTCTCCCATATAGAATCTCGTATGTACATCTACAATAGCTTGTTTCCTCGACGCTGGAAACTGTATCTCTTGCATCTCAAGCCAAGATGAATTCACCGGTGTGGGTAGCAGCACAGACTTCATAGCTGTGGTCTATTGAGACCCGCTCAACCAACTATCATTGGATGAAAACATCCATAAATCCCCGATAGTCTAGTGGTGAGGATATCTGCTTGTCATTGAAGCGATTCGCAGGGGACCGGGGTTCAATTCCCCGTCGAGGAGACTTTTTGAGCTTTAGATTCAGCACACAGTCCGATGAAGTCAAGAAGTGACTTCCACTTTTGAATTATGTTTCGTAACATATTTAGTTGTGTTTATTTAGGACATAAATATCTAGGGTCGGGTTTAATTTAAGTGGAGCTGTTAGCTGATAACCTGTAAGTATGGAACCTTGTTTACGAAGGGAAAAAAAGACAGCAGCCGAGACGGAAGTGAACAATAGCCTAGGTAAAGACGTGGAGGATACCCGCAAGTCCATATTCAACAAGACAGGGTATATATCCATCACAAGGGCATAAGAACTTTAAAAGAATTAGCACACTATATGATGACATGGTATGTAATCCCACCAGATCCTTTTGTACTTAATACGCGTGGTCCTGGGATTACCAGTCTTGGATTAATCTATTACTATTCTTTGTGCAACTCCTCTATTATCTACAAGCGGCAGCGGCAGCCTCCTGATCAGCGGCCAACAGCTTCTTAATAGCGGGTCTACCAACGACGCGATCCCAACAAGCAGCCACAGCTTTGCGTCCAAGAACAATGTCCCCATACCCACCAGCAAACAACCTTTGGATTAGCGGGATGTAGTAGATATCGATAAGCGTAAAGTCGTTCCCAGCCATGTAGTCCCTCTGCTCCAGGGCGTGCTCGGCAACGTCAAAGAAGGCTTTAAAGGACTACAGCGCGCTAACACCACGGCCTTGTCGGCAGGCAACCCTATAAACCTCTTAGTAAACTTCTTAAAGGTAATCTTGCCCGTAGGGTCTGCAAAGTAGAGCTATCAGGATATTCAACTGTTCAATAGTAGAGCCGATCCATGGTCACGTGATTTACTGTCACGTGACTCACCCTAGCGGCTTACTTACACCACTATAAATACCTACAGCAGTAACCTCTTCTCTTTTCCTTAATTATTATCTTTACCTAGCTACTAATAGTTAATTAATACTATTATAGCTACCTTAATTATAATCCTTATAATACTAATACTAATTAGTAGTTAACTTTATAGTTACTACTACTATAAATTAGTAAGGATTATTAGAAGAGGCTATAATACTTTACTTACTATAGTAGCTTAGATTAAGGTATTAAAGTACTACCTAGCCTAAAGATTATTAGTACCTAAGATCTTATAATACCTAGTAAATAACCCTTTAAGCCTTATATTTACTATATAATAACTACTATTACTACTATTAACTTTATTACTTTTAAAGAAGTTTTTTTTTTTATATACTACTTACTTACTAATAACCTCTATAGTATTTAGTATAATTATTTTCTTTTTATACCTAAGTTTTTTTAAGTTTTTTTTTTTTTTTTAACCTTTTTTCTTTTTAATTATTAAGATTTTTATCTTATTAAGTTTTTATCTTATTATAGTAGTAACAGCCTATATAAGATTATAAGTAAATAAACTTTTATAAGTTTTTATTTAAATAAGATCTTACTAGTAAGACTAGCTATAAAGTAGTTAAGTAAGAACTACCTAAGTAATTTACTTTTAATATAGTATTTATAAGTAAATAGCTTTTACTAATCTTACCTTTATATACTTCTAATATTACGTTATTAGCTAGGTGTAGCTTATAGTAATTATAACTTTTTTCCTTAACTAAATAGTTAGTAGCTAAGCGTTACTTTTAGTAAGTATGCCTCTTTTTATTCTTTAAGTAAGGTAAAGAAGGTAGAGGTTACCTATATTACCTTAATTTACTTACTTTTTTTTATTTTTTAAATACTTATTAATAACTACACTATCCTCTTTACTTTCTCTTCTTTTTTAAGTAAGATATAGTTATTAGTAACTAATATAACTTTTACTTAACTTTACTATCTTAATTAATTTAAGAAGACTACTTATTATTTACCCTTAAGTAAGGTATATAACCTTAACTTCTTACTTTTTTTTTAAAAAATCTTTAACTATAGTATCTTACTTACTAAAAAGTAAGGTCTATATATGTCTTTTTTTAGAGGTAGCGTATATCTCCTCTTGTTCTTTAAGTAAGATCTACTATAAGGCCTCCCTAGAGCTATCTCTTTATATTACTAAAGCATAAGGCCTTTTTAGAGCTATCTCTTTATATTACTAAAGCATAAGGCCTCCCTAGAGCTATCTGCTACTATTTATTTATTTATTATTTTATTTTTTTATTTACTTTATCTCTTACTTATACCTCCTTATATTATATTATTTATCTACTTATCTTATTATTATTTATACTAATAGTAGTAATTCCTCTAACGTATAGATTTACCTCTAACCTTATAAGTAAAAAGTAAGTGCTTATATTTAAGAGGTTAGTAAGGCTAATAAAGGGTAATAATAGTAAAAAAAAGACTAAGTAAAAGGTAAAGTAAACTATAGGCGCTAGCTAAGGTAAAGAAGTATATCTATTTATAAGATATTAAGGATTTATATTTTATCTTAAAGCGTAGCTAGCCTTTTATTATTATATAACTATAAGGTATAACTAATTTAGCTAATATTCCTAACAGCCTTACCTAAGTTAAGTAATATAACGCCTTAAGTACTATTATTATACTCTAAATAATATAATATAGCTTTATATAGCTATATAGTTAATAGCTATATAGTTAATAGCTATAGAGATATACTACTAAAGACTTTAAAGAATAGTTACTTAATGCCTTTAAAGGTACTACTTATAAAACTATTATTAAATTTAGAGACTACCTAATATATAGGGGTATATAGGTATTAATAGTAAAGTTACTAACTATTACTAAATAAATCTACTATACCCTTAAGGCTAATAATCTAAAGGTGTAGACGCTTAAGGATATTAAAGAAGGGAAAAAAAAAAGTAAGGATTTTTACTTAAAGATTAATAAACCTAACTTTATATAAGATATTATAGACTTACTACTAGAAATAATATTAACATAAGATTAACTAGGCCCCTCTTATATTATTACCCCCTTAGTATAAGTTACTTAAGTCTAGGAAGGTTAATAAAGGCCTATTAATTTAGCCTTATTATATAATAACCTAAATTTTATTTCTCTAATATTTAAGTAAGTAAGTAATACTTACCTTTACTTATTAGTTATATTAGTTACTACTACCTTACTTATAACTTACTAGCTTACTAACCTTATAAAATTACACCCTAATAAGATAAAGTATAGTAAAGAGGTATATAGGTTACTTAAATTAAAGCTTATAATCTTTTATAACTACTATATAAAGGCTAGGATCTAGTAAGAACACTTTATAAGCGCCTTCTTTATTATGCTTAAAAGTAAGGCTATAAAGTACTATACTAACTATCTTTATAACTAGACTAACTTTATTACTATAGTTATATAGATAAGTAGTAATTTTAAGAATAAAGAGACTTTTTAGGCCTGCCTTACTAAGCTATAAAGGACTAATTTAATAAGGACTATCTTAGATAATCTAGACAAAAGTAAGGCTAAATACTTAGAATTACTTATTAAAAAAGTAACTACCCTTATAAGAATAGTTATAAGGATTAGTACTTTATCTAATATAGCCCTCTATAACTAATTACTTAACTCCTACTATAGGATAAAAGAGTACTTTTTTACCTTTTTTAATCTATTTTTAACGTTTACTAGCGTATATAGCTAGCTCTAATTAGTAATTAGTAATATAATATAATTTAAATAACCTATATTATTATAAGATAAGGTAGTAAGTGCCTATAGTTAGGAGATAGATAGATAGTAAGGACTAGATACCTAATATATACGTAATACGTTATATATACCCTAGGTATATATCCCTTTAGTAGGTAACCCTTTATAAAAAGAGGGTTAACTATAAATACACCTACTATCTATTACCTATCTTATCCTATATTATTTATTTAGCTCCTTATTATTATTTATCTTACTTTACTACTTTATTATTACGCTTTACCTTTATACTATATTACTTTATAACACTACTATAGCTTAGCTTTATTATATTAGAACTATAATAGCTACTAAGAAGGCTGTATTAAGTAGTAGTATAACTATCTTAATCTATACTATTTTATTAATTTTACTATTTTTATTATTTTTATTAAGTTTCTTTTTTACTACTATATAGTAAAAAAATATATACACCTTAATAAGAGTAAAAGGCTTAAAGATATAGTATACTAAGAATACTTTAACCTAGATAAACTTCTAACCTTAGGTAATTCTATATATAGCTTTAGGAAAACCTAACCTATAAGGTTACTTAGTAACTACCTTAAAGCCTTTATAATAATATATAATCCCTTATAACTATAGAATTTAATAAGGATATACTATACTACTTTAGTAATAACTAGTAATAAGGCTTCTAGTTAGACGTTAGCTAGGCTAATAACCCCTTTTAAATTAAAGACACCCTCTATATAGTAAAAAGGATTATTAGAGATATAAGAATTAACTTACGGCTCTTATTAAGACTATATAGTAAGGTAGAGGATATCTAACTATCTTATAGTAACTTATAAAGCTCTTAGTTATCTAAAAACCTAGTTATACTAAAAAGGAACCTAACTAAGTAGATACTACTTACTCCTTAAAAAGAGCCTCCCTAATAACTACCTTTAAATAAAGATATTATAATAAGTAATATACCTAGATAAGAGGGAAGTATTCCTCTAGACTTATTATCTTTAAAGTAAGTAGAAGCTACTATAATAATATAGTCTAGGTTAAAAAAGTAAAGAATAAGAAATTATAAGCCTACTAGGCTATAACACTATCTTACTAGTAGGCTTACTTAGACTATAGTTTTTTACTATACTAAGCTAATTTCTAGATAGTATAGGTTACTACGCCTAAGGCTAATAAAAATAGGATATATACCTACCCTTAGGGTAGACGTAATACTTACTACCTTTAGCCTAGGGTTAAGTAAGAAATATAATTCCCTTAAGTTAGTACCTTAGTAAGGAGGCTAGTACTATAACTATAGCTACTTAATTAGTAAAGTTAAAGTTAATAATAAAATAATTATAAAAACACTAAGACCTAATAAGTATAGCTTAGTTATAAAATAACCTTAGCTAGTAAAGGTAGTAAAAAAGCTTATAGTTAACTATAGCTATACTACTTCTATTAGTATTAAATATAAAAAAGCTTATAGTAGCTTTTTTTTACACTATAACTACTTAAATATAAGTAATAGTAACACTAGTAACTACTATAGCTATCTTAAGTTATTCCTTAGCCTAGCTATAGACGCTATTTACTATAGAAATCTTCTAGCTTAATACTAACACTAAGAGGTACTTACTAGACCTTATCTTTTATAACTACCTTATAATATATTACTATAAAATAAAGCTTTAGATTTAGGTAGTTAAGGTAACTTATAAAGATCTTTTATTTTTATAGCGTTTTTATTAAATAATAAACTAGTACTTCTATAAATAAGTATAAAACTAGTAAGAATTTTAACTTACTAATATAAAGTAAAATATCTTTAAGTAAGAAGGTTAGCTAGTAATCTTAAGGTAATTTAGGCACTACTTTAGACTAACCTTAGTTAAAGTAAAAAAGTAGTTTTATAAAAATTACTTTACTACTAATAAGATTAATAGGTAGTATAATATCTATACTTTTACTTAATCCTACTTTAAGT